GAATATTGCACATTTTGATCCTTAATTATACTTTCAGTTTCTCATACCAAAGAGACGTGTGGTATTTACACCACGTGTGTCCAATTTATTTCACTTATGACTATGTTCTCAAGGTTCATCCATTTAGCTAGAAATATCTCAAGCTTAATCTTTATGGCAAAACTGTACTTCCTTCTATAAAAAAAACCCCATATATTCTTTATCTATTCATCAGTTGATGGGCATCTGGACTATTTTCAAGATTTAGCTATTACAAATTGTACCACTGTAAACATGGTTGTGCATATATTGCTGTAGTCTGATGCTTTTAATTCAGTAAGATACCAAGAAAAGGATGGCTGTGTCAAATGGAACTTTCAGTTTTACTTTTTTGAGGATTCATTTCCACAGTGGTTGCATCAGTCTACACTCCAACCAATAGTGATGAAGGGTTGCTTTTTAACCCCTACAGCCCTGCCATCATTTGTTATTGGTTGATTTCTTTGTACCAGGGATCAAACTCACAACCTCATGCTTGCTAGGCAGGCACTTAGGCCTGCTGAACTAAATCTCTGGCTACTGATTGATTCTTGAAAATAGCTGTTCTTTCTGGAGTGAGATGAAATCTCTGTATTATTTTAATTTGAATCGTTCAAACAACTAGTGATGTTGAACATCTTTTCATATATTTATTTGGTGTTTCTAGTTCTTCATTTGGTGTCATTTATTTCGATGACCATTTTTGGGTTAGGTTTTTAAATTTGTTTTTTTTTGGTACTGGGGATTGAACTCACAAACTAGTGCTTGCCAGGCAGGCGCTTATGCTGCTGAGCTAAATTCCCAGCCCTAGGTTTTAAATTTGAGGGATATATATATATATATATATATATATGGTTTTTTTTTTTCTTTATCGGTACCAGGGGTCAAACTCATGCTGCTGAGCTAAATCCCCAGCCCCTAGGGGTCTGATATTTTTGAGTTCTTTGTGTGGTCTCTATAGTAATCCTTTGAGGAACAAATGGAAAAAAATTTTTCCCACACTGTGGGTTGTCTCTTCACTCTGTTGGTGGTTTTTTTTTCTGTGCAAAAATTTTTAATAAGATCAGTTTCCAGTTGTTGATTCTATGTGATAGTTCCTGTTTGACTAAGGTTTTGTTCTTAAGTCTTTAACAACACCAGTGTCTTCAAGAGTTTACTTATTCTATGCTACATCAGATTTAGGGGAGTTTTTTTGGTTTTACTTGGTACCAGGGATCGAAATTACTACCTTATGCTTGGCATGCAGTGCTTGTGTCACCGAGCTGTATCTCCGGCCCAGCATTTCCATTTTACTATTTAGATCTTTGATCCATTTCAATTTAGTTTAGTGCAGGTTGAAAGATATGAGTCTAATTTTAAACTTCAGCATGTGGAAAGCCAGTCTTTTCAGCACCATTTATAAAAGGTTATCTTTCTTCCAGTGAACATGTTTGGCATCTTTGTCAAAGATAAGGTGGCTGAGTATGTCTGGACTTGTTTCTGAACCTTCTAATGTATTTCACTGATCCTCAGGTTTTGTTTTGTTTTGCTAGTTTCTTTTTTTTTTTTTTTTTTGTCTTTTTGAGACAGGGTCTCCCACTATGCAGTTCTGGCTGGCCTCAAGCTCACTTTGTAGCCCAGGCTGGTCTCGAACTCACAAGGAGCCTTCTTCCTCAGTCTCCTAAATGCTGGGATTATAGATGTGCACTACTACATCCAGCCTTGTAGATGATTTTATGCTAAGAATCTTTTCCTGGAGTATAATCCTGGGATAATTTAAGAGGGCATAGATGGTTTTACGTTAAGAAGAGTCAATGGAAAATCTCAGATCAGTGATACTGATAATCCCAAACCTGTATTTTATCCCTTAGAGAAGTGTGCAAAATTAACCATTGTGAATTTGTGGCCCCCCAACACAGGTTGCCTAAGAGTATTTTACCATTAAGTGACTGCATTAGTCAGGGTTTTACTAGAGAAAACAGATATAACACGAGATATACAAATGTATAAGAAATGGCAAGATTGGCTTACAATGGTCAGCCACAGAGTCCAATGAGGAAGCGAACAGAGGGTGTCTAATGCTAGAGGCCAAAGGATTCAATCCAAGTCTGGAGGTCGTCCTAGTGTCTTGTGCAAGTCCACACCAGCAGGCTGATGGGTCTGTGAAAGAAGGCGGAAAGCTCTATGATGGAAGGCTACGAAGAGTCTATGAGGGAAAGCTGAAGAGCCTACACTGGAAGCCCTTCATGTTGTTTTAATCACATTAGCTATGTAGTATGAAGTCAGAGACTGTGATGCCCTCTGCCTTGCCTTTTTTGCCCAGAATTGTTTTTGCTATTCTAGGTCTCTTCTGATTCTAAATAAATATTAGGATTGTTTTCTCTAATTCTGTAAGAAATGCTATTGGAATTTTGATCAGGAGTATCTTAAATCTGTATAACAGTTGTGGAAGTATGACCATTTTCAATATATGATTTTTCCTACTCAAGAGCAAGGGATATTTTTCCATTTTCTAGTATACTCTTCAATCTTCTTTTTCAGAGTACTGTAGTTTTCAATGTAAAGATCTTTTTTTTTTTTTTTCAGTATAAAGGTCTTTTACTTACTTTGTTAAGTGGGTTCCTAAGTATTTCAGTTTTCTGTAGGGTTTTTACTATGAGTGAATGTTGGACTTTGTCAAATGCTTTTTCTGCATCCATTAAGATGACCATGTGGTTTTCATCTTTCACTCTGTTAATAATCCTTATTACGTTTACTGATTTGTGTATGTTGAACCATCCTTGTATCCCGGAGATGAATCCTACTTCGTCACAGTATATAATCTTCTAAAGATTTGCTGCATTCCTTTTCCAGTATTTTACTGAGGATTTTTGCATTTATGTTCATTAGGAGATTAGCCTGTAGTTCTTTTTTTTTTTTTTTTTTTTTTTGGTTGGATCCTTTTCTAGTATTGGTATCAGGGTATTGCTTAATTCCAAGAATGAATGTGGGAGTATTGCTTCCCTTTCAATTTCATTAGTTTGGGAAGTTGTAGTATTAGGTTTTCCTAAGTTTCTGTTGTTCTTTCTTTCTTTCTTTCTTTTTTTTTTTTTGAGGCAGGGTCTTGCTATGTAGTTCAAGCTAGCTTTAGTCCAGGCTGACCTCAAACTGTGATTCTTCTGCCCCAGTGTCCCGAGTGCTGGGCTCACAAGTGTGCCCCACTGCGCCCTGCTGATTCGGTTCTTGAGCCCCTTCCTGTATCTAGTGTCTCTTAATTCAAACTATATTCACCCAACTGAGAAAATCTGTTCAAATCTTTTTTTAACAGAGTGCAGTTCAAACAACAATAGGTGTTTGTTTCCAAGTGTGAACGTTATTATTTAATACATTCCCATTACCCTCTCACTGGTTTGCAATTTCTCTCCCACTGAGAATCAGTGAAAGCCACAGTTACTCTAATTTTGTAATGGCATAAGGGCAGCATCAAGTCCACTGTTTAAAATCTATACACTCAAAAAAAAAAAAAATCTATACACTCCCACACCTTCTAAAATATAATCCGTGTTTGGTTTATATTTATCTTTGAAAACCGGAGAAAAGGTACGTCCCAGTTCTAGAGGAGGGGCAGGAAGGGGACCAAGAGGCTGTTTCCTGTTTGTGTGGGTGCACAACAGGCCTAGTGGTGCAGGAAAAAACAAAGTTCCAAGAAAAGGAACATAAGGGCCACCTTCCACGTGACCAGCACCTGCCAGCTGGGGATAAAGGAATCGCCTGAAACTGACTAGGGAAATGGTCAGTCTTCCTTGGCCCGATATGCCTCGATTGAGTGATAGTTATTCTCGAAGTGGATCGAATACACATTTGACTGTTTCACAGAATAAACTGCGAAAGGCCAGATACAGCGAGCGAGCGCTCTATTCATTTTCCTGGGTGCGGGGTTGTTTCTTTCACTTATTCACTATTGTATTTTCACCACAACTTCGGGACAATGTAATTCGTGTCCCTTTCTTACAGATAAGGCCGGGCACTACTCATTCAGAAACAGCATGAAGCTCTTACCATGGCGGCTGGGGTTGGAGGTTCACCTCGCTGGAATATGGCTTTCGGGAATTTCTTTGTAAATTATCGCCAAAGGCCGGCTCGGGGTACAGCCCAGGCTCCACAAGTAGGTTTTAGAAACTGTGTTTAGGGGAGTGAACGTGTTCCTTACCAAGAGCCCTTTCCAGGGCGGTCCCCAGAGGAGGGCTTCCACTCCCCGCCTCCTCTCGGAGACAAAGGTGGGGCTCTTTCGGGTGCCGACGGGCAGCGGAGCGCGGCGAGCAGGATCGCGCTTTGTCTTCTCTCCGCTGCCGGGAGCACCACGCGGCGGTGCGTGCCAGCTTGGTCCGAGGCTGCCAAGGGCTAGGCCGGCCCAGATCTCCCGCTCAGGGTTCAGCGAGTCGGGGGCGGCAGAGCCCTAGCGCCAGGCTGGAGCCCGCAGCTCCCGCACCGAGAGTTGGCGGGCCTGCTCTGGTCGACAGGTGTCGGTCCCCTCCGCGTGGCGCGACCCCGACAGCGCTCCCCGCTAGGCTCGGGGGCAGGCCTGGGCTGACGTCACCCACTCGGTCTCGAGGTGCCACACCGCACCCCAATTGTTTGCCACAAAGAAGTCCGTGTGACAGACGCTCCGCGAGTGAGGGTCGGGGCCCATATTAGTGTAGACACGTCAGGTTACACCCTAAGATTCTGGATCACCAGAGGACCACCCTCGAGCTCCCCCGTTAAAGCTGGGAGCACGGGTACAGTATGCAGCTTGGGGGAATCTGGGTGGGCGGACCACGCCCTCTTCTCCATTCTGGGTTTCCCATGCCACGCCCACCAAGGGGAAGACCATTCTAGAACACGCCTCTTCCTCGGGCGCGCGGAAAGACCACCCAAATTGACGGAACTGAAGCAGCTGAATTAGGCGCTCGAAAGCCTCAAGTGGGTCGCCTTCCGCATGCCTCTTCCGGGGCTCTGCGCCTGCGCACTTCTTCCATAAACTTCCGGACTAAGCGTCTAGGTTTGGGGTCCCTGGGCGCGCAAAGGAGGCGGGGCTAGTTTGCGTAGCTGCGCGCGCGTCTGGCGTAACGCAAGAGAGGAGGCGAGTCCGGAGGATCCGATGGGTAGAGTGACGCAACCAGAGTGTTTGGCGGGCGGTACGTAAGGCCGCTCTTGGCCTCGGGAGCCTACCTCACTGGCCCGATCGACTCTAGGAACAGATCCGGGGCAGAGGGTGGAGATCTCCGGGTTAGGGGTTGCTGTCCCCGCTGTTGCCGCCGCCGCCGCAGCCGCCGCCGCCGCAGCCGCCGCCGCAGCCGCCGTCGCCGGCTTGCCAGCCCGCGTTTGGTTGGCCCTGCCGGTTAGGGTAAGCGGGTCCCCCTTCCCAGAGAGAAGAGCGTGAAGTGAAAGTGTGGGAGGCCGTCAGGCCTGCGGGAGGCGTTCTTGAGGGGCGGGTTTGTTGTGTGTGTGTGGGAAGTAGCGGTGAGAGCCCACACAAGAATAATTTTCTGGGGCTACGTGCCAGGACTTTACAAAGCACCTTTTATCCGTCATTCTGTTGAACCACTACTGCAGTCCTCTGAGGTGCATGCTGCTCTCAGACCCATTTTACAAGTGGAATAACGGAGACACAAAAAGTAACTTCTGCGAGGCTCCACAGACAGTACGTGGCCGGGCGTCGAACTGGGAGCCGTCTGGTGCAAAGGCCTGTCGTCTTACAAATATCGTTGCCTTCCAACGATAAACTAAGAAAAGAAGACAGAAAAGTGAGAAAAGAAGGGGAATGAGGTGTCAGGGGGCGGGGAGGGAATGATGACAGGAGACGCGGTGGGGGAGACCTGGGAGCTTGGCGTGCTTCCTCTTCGACCTAGCCTCCTTCTTAAGTTTCTGCCGCCCCACAGCTTTGCTTTGCTGTCGCATGGTTTTACGGAGCAGAGCAGTTCTGCAGGAGCTGGCTTTCAGACGTGGGCCCTTAGGGTGGTTTGAAACTGGGGGGACGGTGGCCAGGACAGGACAATGGCTTCAGACACTTTGCAGGGCTGGGATCTGTGCCAGCCTTGGGTAGAGAGGACCCTGCTGTCATTTCTTCTAGCCTGCAGCTACTTACTTTTCCGTTTGTCTATGCTGGGCAGAGCCTTTATTCAGGCCTCCCAGAGTGCGGTCTGATGTTTCTTGTTCCTTTGCACAGTTAGGCTAAAACAAAGCCAGAAAAACCAGAGACTCAAGTGAACGTTCTTTTCCCAGGCAAGCATAGTACTCTAGGCTGCTTGCAGAGAAAACTCGCCAGTGGTGTTATTATTAGTTGCTCTTCAGAGCTTTGCTGGATGAAGAGCCTTAAGTTTCGTTTAGAAGTTTACACAAGAGAATAAAGAGATCACTAGGAGCGATCTGAGCAGATTGTTCTGGAGGTCAGCGCAGGACAGGGGGCTTGGTAATTTGTAGGGTTGCATATGTGAGCATGTTTCCCTCTTGCACAGTTTAAGTGTGGCTCATGTGGGAGTCAAGTTTTAAGGTCAGTCTGTGAGACAAATATTGCATGTGATCAGAATTATCCTTAAGAATGCCTTAAGGAAAGTGCAAAGTTTGGGAGTGTCATTTTATGTCTGAGACTATTTAGCTCTTTTTCTTAGCTATGAGACTTAACAGTTTGTGTGGTTGTAACTGAGAAAAACTAATTAGGTTATCATTAAGGCTTCATTATACAAATAAACGTAGTTCTTCTGCACAGGACAGGGGGCTTGTGAGATGCTGGCACCCAGAGGCATAAAAGAAGGAAGTAAACCAAGTGAGGAAAGTGTGGTTCTTAGGCTGGTTCTGGAGCATGTGCCCACAGAGTGGAAAGTGCCTGACCAATTGCTTTTTCTTTCTTTAGAAACAGAGTCTTACTGTGTAGAGCTTGCTGTGTAGCCCAGGTTGGCTTCAAACTTTTGTTTTATTTATTTATTTTTTTTGGTACTAGGGATTGAATTTACGACCTCATGCTTGCCAAGCAGGCTCTTACACCCGCTGAGCTAAACCTCAGGCCCCATTTTATTTTATTTTATTTTTTATTTTTATTTTTGGGTACTGGAGGTCAAACTGATAACCTTGCACTTGCCAGGCAGGTACTTATGCCTCTGAGCAAAATCCCCAGCCCCTAAACATTTTAAGTAAAGAAAAGGAAAAGTTTATTTTGGCTAACAGTCAGACTTGTGGTCCTGAACATTTTTATGTTTAGACTTCTGATGGTTTTTTGCTTTTGTTTTTGTGGTGTTAGAGATTGAATCCAGGGCCTCAAGCATCTAAGCAAGTACTCTACCACTGATTTATACCCCCAGCCCCGTTGTTAATATTAAGCTGTTTATTTCTCTCTCTCTCTCTTTTTTTTTTTTTTTTTTTTTTTTTTTTTGGTACGAGGGATTGAATTTATGACCTCACACTTGCCAGACAGACACTTGTGCCACTGAGCTAAATCCCTGGCCCTGATTTCTGTCCTTTTGGATATCTAGTAATGTGACTTACTAGATTAATTGTGCATTTTATTATTTCTCTTCAGTTAAGCTATTTGTTTCTCTACTGATTTCCTAGTGTAAGATTTAGTGTAAGATTGCCTTAAAGATTTTTGCTTGTTTGTGGGCCCCACTTTTTAGATACGTGTAACAGTGGCTGTTTTTTGTATTTGCTTTTGTTTTTTCCTTATGGTGGGTAGCTTTTTAAAATTAAAAAAAAAATTTTATTGGTACATATGTGTAGTACATAGTAATTACATTTCTTGGGAGAATTGGTGCATATTTTTCTGTCTGCTGTGGCTAATTTTTTAAAAACAAAACTTTCTCATAATGGCCAAGCCTTCTTTTTTTTTTTAAACCTTCTTATGTATGTCCCTTTTGTTGCTTTTGATTTTATGGAAACTTATTTGAAAAGCCCAGTTATGATACCCTCTTTGCTTAATGATTGTATTTGAAATACCAAAAAGGAAGTTCATTGTTTTAGCTAGAGAAGTAAAAAAAGTTGCCCCAATTTAACATTAAATGGGCATAGAAAATGGTTTTAATGCCTTTTACAGAGGGAAAAAAATGTTAAGCATGTTAGGAATCTAAAGTTCTTAGTTCTAGTATTTTCTTTATTGTGTTAAAAAGTTGTGAAATTTATTCCCTGCTTCAGTATGAATTTGTCTTTCCTCTTTGTTGATCTGCATGTCTTTAATTGGAGTAAAACAAGAGAATTCTGCCATTAATTTTTGCTGGTTGTCGTAGCACACGCTTGTAATACCAGCACTTAGGGAGGCTGAGGCTGGAGCATTGTTATGAGTTTGAGGCCAGTGTGAACTATAGAGTAAGGTGCTGTCTCAAAAGACCTAACAAACCCTGTCTCAAAACAAAAGGGCAGGTGCGTAGCATAGCCTTGTTATCCCAGTGCTTGGCGGAGGCTGAGTCAGGAGGATCACTACTAGGCCAGCCTGAGGCTACTGAGTGAGTCCAAGCCCTGAACTGCATAGTGAAATCTTTTTTTTTTTTTTTTTTTTGTCTTTTTCCTTTTTATCGGTACCGAGGATCGAACTCATGACTGCCTGCTTGCAAGGCAGGCCATTATGCCACTGAGCTAAATTCCCAGCCCCCATAGTGAAATCTTGCCTCAAAAAAAAGGAAATTTTTTTTTGTCTGCCTTCACTGGGGAGATGCTATTTTTTGTTTTTCTTTTTTGAGACAAATTCACCGTGTAGTTCGGGTGGCCTTGCTCTCACACTAAGCCTCCTGCCTCAGCCTCCTGAGTGCTGGGATTACAAGATGCACCATCAGGCTGGGGATTTTTGTTTGTTTGTTTGAAGTCTCACTATATAGTTCAGGCTAACTTTGAAACTCACTGGGTCACCCAGGCTGGCCTCAAACTTGCAACAGTCCTCTTGCCTTAGCCTTCCCAGTGGCATCTGCCAATCTTGAAAGTAAAAAACAAAAGACTTTTCTTTGTAAATTGTTTACATTCATTTTACTGTTTCTAGGAATTTCCACCAGATATAAATACAGGAGCCCACCATTACATTGAAGATCTGTGTGGTTGGCTTGTCTTACAAGTAAATGCTCTTAGGATAAGCTTTTTCTTTGTTGTTTTTATAACTAAGACTCTAATGTTGAGTGTGCTGTATTAACAGCATTAATCTGAGGCCAAATAGTATTCAATTTTATCTTGTGGAATATTCTCCCCTTCAGTTTCATCCTGGAAAATACACTGTAGATCATTCTGTTTCTAGTTGAATTACTTATCCCTACCCTTCTCTGTATTCTACTCTTAGAATCGCTGTATAGTTTCTATAATACTTACATACTTAAAAGTAGATGTTAATAATGTAGATTCTTTCATTATTACAATTGTTAATTCAAATCAACAAGTGAACGTGGTGCTTACCACTTAAACATTTCACCTTATAATCTATGTCCCAAAATCTAAAGAGGCACCATAATCAGGTCATTGGCTCCAGCTATATTGGAGTTTTGGGTTGCGTAGAAATAGGGGGAGTCCTCTGGCGTTTACTCATGATGGGTGTGGAGACTTGAGAGAGTTTAGGTTCATGTTTATGTCAGGCTTTCCGAGATTCCAGGTACATGTTTAGCAGTACAGGTGATTCATTTTTCTAGAAATATTTCTATTTGGTCTTCATGCAAAGTGATATGAAAGTAATGGGTAAGAGCATATTTGTGATCAAAGGAGACTATTAGTCTTCCATTAGCAGAGGGCTGAAAAACTGGCTTGGGGTAGCAATTTCCCTTCTGTGTTAAGAGTACTTGGGCAAAAATTGCTCCAGGATTTTTGGTTTTTTCCTGTCTGTCTTGACATATCACATAGAATGGGGAGTAGATATAGCAGTCTTAACATTAATGTAGCAGCCTACATTAATGAAAGAAGTAAATGTTACTGGCTGGATCTGCCGGGCCTGGCAGTCTGTTGCTTCCTGCATTAGGTAGCTTGTCTTGATTATCATCGTTAAACAAGTACCTGATTTGGGACACACTGTACATCTCAAGAAGAGCTAATGGGCAGTACTAGAGGTGGCAGCTGTCTGTGGTAGGCATAGTACACCTGGGAGAGACCCAGCGGGCAGCTTGGGGAAAGGCCAGGTGTGCAGACAGAGTTGGGTTAGTTTATTGGTATGTTGGGGAGGGTTCCAGGCAGGCAGAATCAGAGGTGACAACTGCAGTGAGGTCCAGGGTTAGTTTGTCTTTTGTGTTTCCTAGGATTTGGAGGAGGAATGGCTAGGGTTATTGTAGACAGGACTTTTTCTGGTCATCATAGGATGGGGGCTGCAGCCTGAGGTTGGGAAGGGGAGTGTTAGAACTTAAGAAGTCTTGGCAGGAATGAATCTGGTGGCTGGATCCCATGGAGGCAGGGTCAAAACCACAATGCAAATGTATGTTAATGAAGCCTAAATAGCTCAGATGGGGCCTAATAGGGTCAGAGTGGGGCTCGAGGCTCCCCAGGTCTCAATGCATTGACCCACAACCTGTGTAACTCGGTGTGAGACACCTACGTGAGTTTTGGGGCGCCTGTAAGGTACGTTATGAGACTGCAGATTCAGGGTGTTGAGCCTACTGTCTTAGTTACTTTTCTCATGCTGAGACAGAGTACTCAACACCCAGAGTTCAGGGAGGAAAGGGTTATTTAGGTAACAGTTTATGGAGGTTTCAGTCCATATACCACGGTTGGCTCCAAGGCAGGATGGCGTAGCTGAGGGGCAACAGTTCATGGTGGTGGAGGACAGCAAAAGCAACAAGAGAAGAAGACAAGATTCTTTTTGTGTCTTATATCCTGTGCAGATCACCTACCCTAGGTGAGTGTAGCATTCATGGCAAGAACTATGGCACACCAGTCAGTGGACTGATTTACTAATCACACACCGTTAATGCCAGGATCACACATTCTAAATTCAACCACTTTTGAAAAAACCCTGGAGGGGCATCTAGACACAAACTATGACACCCACATTCTGTGGCAGGGCTTCCTCCCCGGGCTCAGGTATCACGCATATCTGCCTCCCTGTTCTATCAGCGGTAAAATAGTTTCTTTTTTTTTTTTTTTTTGTCTTTTTCCTTTTTATCGGTACCAGGGATCGAACCCGCGACTGCCTGCTTACAAGGCAGGCGCTTATGCCGCTGAGCTAAATCCCCAGCCCCCAGTAAAATAGTTTCAAAACAAATGTTTTGTCTTTATTTGTTGGTATCTTATATCATTGTGTACTTACATGATTTCAAATATGTTTTTAAATCTAGATCAGATAAACGTTGGTGATCAGATCGTTGTCATACCTTCACACAGTTACCTAAAAGCCACTTCTGAGGTTCTTCAGGATGCCTGCAGCACTTGTGGAGAACAGCCAGGTTATCTGTGAAGTCTGGGCCAGCAATCTAGAAGAAGAGATGAGGAAGATCCGAGAAATTGTGCTCAGTTACAGTTACATCGCCATGGTAAGGAGTTCTGTTCTGTTTGACTTACCTTCTTGTATGGCGTTAGGGAATGTTTCATGTAAGAGTTTGAGAAACGCTAACTGTATTCCAGTAAGTTTCAGTTGGGAAAGCTTGTTTTGTTTTAGGAAATATCAGGGTAACTAATGTGTCTGGGGAGGGGTGCAACTTCTAGTTTCTTAGATTTTTTTTTTTTTGTAAACTTACTGTTCTTTTTTTGTTTGGTGGTGCCGAGGATCTGATCTATGGCCTCACACCTACTAGGCAAGTATTCTGCCTCTGTACCCTAGCTCTGTTTAAAAATTTTAAAAGCAGGTGGGTGTGGTAACACATGCCTGTAATCTCAGCACCTGGAAGACTGAGGCAGGATAATTGCTATGATTTTGAGGCCAGTTTGGGCTGTAAAGTGAGTTCAAGTCCTGGCTAAACTACATAGCAAGACCCTGCCTCAAAAAGGAAAAAAAATCTTAAAAACAAATTATGTTGGATTGGGGATTTAGCTCAGCAGCATAAGTGCCTGCCTTGCAAGCAGCGTAGTTGTGAGTTCGATCCCTGGTACCAAAATAACAGCAAATTATGTCAGTCATAGGGTACATATGCACCATAGATATGGTGAATTTGACTATGCAGTGTATTTAGAAATTTTAAAAAGTTTGCTGGCATTTAAAATCATGAGCTGGTTGTGGTGCCACATCCCTGTAACCCCAGCATTTGGAAGGCTGAGGCAGGAGGATGGCCCCAGGTTTGAGGCCAACCTGAACTACATAATGAGTTTAGGGCCAACTGAACTACAAAGTGAGATCCTGTGTCAAAGAAAAAAAAAAAAAAAAAAAAAAACAGAAGCCATGAAACCTCACTTAAATTCCAGTGCTGGTATCTGTGGCAAAAGTGGGGAAATCTGGCACTATATGGTGCTCATGTCCTGCCCGACATGAGTGGCTAGGGAGCAACAGGCCTGTTTTGGTAGCAGTATGTGTTGGCGGGATACTTAATGAGTACATTCCTCCTGGGGAATTGGTACCCATGCTCTGCATCTTGATCCTTTTTACTTCTCCTTTGCAATGTGCTCAGCTCTTTGCTTCAGTGCCTGCAGTTCTCATAGCCAGGTTGCTTCATTCTATTAAGCCTGTGGCTTATAGCTTGGGACTTTTGCTTTAAGGTGATAGCATCAAGTCGTTAGCTTAGTATTCATGCCTGTGTGATCTTGTCCAGTCTTTCCAGTCACGCTGAATGTGATTTTGTTCTTGATTGCACAGCTACCTACAGTTATCCAACCCTTGTGCTCTTACCCAGCCTAGGATCTCTTACGTTGTGCAAAGTGTCATGATTCTGGTGCTGCTTCAGTAGACATCGGCACAATCATTACATTAAGATAGGTTTTGGTGTCCAAGCATGGGTCTTATCATCTAATTTTTATAAGTTGACATAAAAATATATTTACAAATTATCATTCAGTGTCCTGTTTTGTGAAACCTTATAACAGTAGTAGTGCGTGTGCTGTGGTGAGCTGTTTGTATTGCTGAAGGGTTCACAGTCCCTACTTTAAAATGCAAGGCTTTTTCCTTTTCCAGGACACAGAATTTCCAGGAGTTGTGGTACGTCCTATTGGTGAATTTCGTAGCTCTATAGATTACCAGTATCAGCTTCTACGGTGCAATGTTGACCTTTTAAAAATTATCCAGCTGGGCCTCACATTCACAAACGAGAAGGGAGAATATCCTTCTGGAATCAACACCTGGCAGTTCAACTTCAAATTCAACCTTACGTAAGTATCTGAGATGCTTTTCAGTGTTGTCCTGAGATCCTTGACAGTCATGTTGACTGCAGTTTCTTTCTTCTCCCTTCCCTTCTTCCCTCTTTTTTCTTTTTCACCTTCCCTTGTCTCCTTTCCCCTCCCTCCCCTGTACCCTCATGGTTTCTACTAGGATGGAATCCAGGGCATTTTGCATGCTTGACAAGTGCTTTTACCATTGAGCTAGGTTCCCAAGCACCACCCCTGCTCTTTGTTTTGAGACAGGATCTTGCTAAATTGCCTATGCTAGCTTTGAATTTGTGATACTCCTGCCTCATTTTCCTGAGTAGCTGGAATTGTAAGTGTGTGCTGCCATGCCTGGCTAGTAAAACAGAGTTCAAAACTTTTTCTTTGGGCAAAACTGAAACTTGTATATGACTCTAATCTCAGCACACAGGAGGCTCACGTAGGAGGATTGCCATGAGTTCAAGGCCAGCCTTGGCTACATAGAGTTCAAGCCCTGTTTGAACCACAGTGTGACCCTGTCTTAAAAAGCTAAAATAGAAAACCAGAAAAACAAAAAACTGAAACTCTATTAATCCCCTCTCCCTTCCAGAGCTTGGTAATTACCTTTGTACTTTGTTTTTATAATAATTTAACTACTTTAGATACCTCATACAAGTGGAATTATCAGTGTCTGTTTTTCTGACTGGCTTATTTCACTGTTTTAATGTCTGCAGGGTTATTCATGCTGCAGCATGTGGCATGTTCCAGTGAGCACACGTGTGCACATGCGTGTGTGTTTGTGTGTATCACATTGTGTTTATCAGTGGACACTTGGATTTCCTCAGCCTGTTAATTGTGGATAGTGCTGCTGTAACATTGGTGTGCACATTCAGTTTTTGAGATCCTGCTTTCAATTTTTTTTACTTTAAAGAGAATAAAAATGATACAGAATTTCAAAGCGAGCTAATAGGGGATTAAAAGTGGTTAATACATCACATATTATTATCTTCAAAGTAGTGCTCAGATTACAAGTACAGACATGAAAAATTGATCAAACAGTATTAGCACAAACTGTTTCACTGAACTGATAGAAATCAGTAATTAATCATCTTAGCTATCTTGTGTATATATTTTCTTTTCTCTTTTTTTACCCTTTCCCCCTTCCCAGTTGTTCTCTCCTTTTGAGCAATTTCTTCCCCTTTCAGAATATCTATTGTACATTTTAGGTCTTTTTTTTTCTTGTACCAGGGATCAAACTCATGACTATGCACTTGCAAGGCAGGTGCTCGCCACTGAGCTAAATCCATGGCCCTACATTTTAGATCTTATTTACTCTTTTAGTTTCTTATACCAGGGAGGCAATATAATGTTTACACATGTGAATCTGCTTTATTTCACTTGAGTGTTTTGAATCCCATCTGTTTACCTATAAAAGCCTCAAGTTTATCCTTTATAGCTCAGTAGTACTCTGTTGTATACAATTACCGCATCTTTCTTGCCTATTCCTCAGTTCTATGGCATTTGGATTGTTTAGGAAATTTAACTGTTATAAATTGTGCTGCTAGAAATATGGGTACACATACGTCACTGTGGTATGATGTTTTTAATTCTTTTGGGAAAATACCCAGAAGAGGGAGTAGCTGGGTTGAATGGGACTCCTAATCCTACAGGGTTTTTTTGTTTTTTGTTTTAAATTTGTTTTAAAGAGAATAAAACCAAACAAACTAAAATAGAATAAAGCTTATTGAAGCAAAACAGTGAAAGAAATACAATGGATTTCAAAATAAGACAATAGAGATGGAAATCAATAATGTCTCGTTATCTTCAAAGTAGCTGCCAATACAATCAAGACATAAAGTTAAACAAAACAATAAAATAAAACCAATTGAAACAAAACAATGAAAGCCATACAGGACTTCAAAACAAGATGATAGGAAATCAGTAATGGCTACCATAAGATACCATGTTACCTTTGAAATTCTAATCCTAGTTTTTTGTGGAATCTCCATACTGATTTCCACAGTGGTTGCACCAGTCTACACTCCCACCAACAGTGGAGAAGTATTCCTTTTTTCCCACAGCCCTGCCAGCATTTGTTATTGATTGACTTGTTTGTAATAGCCATTCTTTCTAGGGTGAAATGGAATTTCAGCATTGTTTTAATTTGTATTTTTTTTTTTTTTTGTCTTTTTCCTTTTTATCGGTGCCAGGGATCGAATTCACGACTGCCTGCTTGCAAGGCAGGCGCTTATGCCGCTGAGCTAAACCTCCAGCCCTAATTTGTGTTTCTTGAATGACCAATGATATTGAACATTTTTTTCATATATTTATTTGCCATTTGTATTGCTTCACCTGAGAAGTGCATGTTCATCTCAGATGCCCATTTTTTGGAGTGGGTCTTTGAGTCTGGAGGATCTGATTTTTTCAGTTCTTTACATGTTCTAGATAGAAGTCCTTTGTCAGAGGGAGGGGGCTGGGATATAGCTCAGGGACACGAGCCCTTGCCTGCCAAGTGCAGAGTCTTGTGTTCGACTCCCAATACCAAAGCAAAACAAAAAAGCATAGTGTCACCTTTGAGGGCCAGTTGGCTAAAACTTTTTCCCGCTCTGTGAGTTTTGTTTTCACTCTGTTGATAATTTATTTTGATTTGTAGAAACTTTTTAATACAATGAGATCCCAATTGTTGATTCTTTGAAATATGTCTTGTGCAGTTTGGGCTTTGTTCATGAACTCTGTGCCTACCCCTGTGTCTTCAAGATTTTCACCTACTTTCTCCTTCAGTATGTTTAATGTTTCTGTTTTAATATTTAGATCTTTGATCCATTTTGATTTTAGTTTAGTATATGGTGAAAGACATGGGTCTAGTTTTAGTCTTTTTGCCTTCTGTTCTTTTGGGGTATGTGAAGCTATGGGATTGCTAATATATGATTGTTCTGAGTTGGATCCCTGGTACCAAAAAAAAAAAAAAAAAAAAAATGGAGACTTATTTAGTTTGCATGAGATGGTGTGTGCTATATTTTGTATTAGGTGCTATATTCCTTTTTTTTTTTTTTTTTTGAGAACAAGATCTTGCTGGTCTTGAATTTCCTATGTAGTCCAGGCTGGCCTCCAACTCGTGGTGATCTTCCTGCCTCAGTCTCCTGAGTGCTGTAATAACAGGCATGAATTACCACACCCGGCTCAATATTGGCTTGTTTGATTTAGCATCAGGATCATTTGATGCCTCAGAAATAATTTTTTGACTGTTCATATGTTTTAGAAATTCTGAGGTTCAGATAATTTTGAGAGATGATCTGAATCTTTCAAGATTGAGGTAGTTTTCTGTGTGATTACTTATTTGAAGTATGTTTGAAAAATAAAATTGTGAAATCTAATGGGAAAGGAGCTATTCGACTTAATTATTTCTCTAGTTTTGTGTTATGTGGTATTGTACATACATATTAATGTGTTTAACATGTTCACAAAAGGACTGTTAATTCCTATATCTTGCTGGTGGGTGGCTCTGAACCACCAGTGGTACAAGCTGCCCAATGGGACAGTCATGCATGTACCAGCAGTGTGGTTCAAGTGGTTTGGAACATGTTAAACAGATGTACAGCCCAACATGGTGGTGCATGCCTGTTATCCCAGCACTTTGAAGGCTGAGGCAGGAGGAGATTGCTGTGAGCTCGATGCCAGTTTAAACTGTGCTGTGAAACCCTGTCTCAAAAAGACAGAAAAAAAGTGATGGACATATTTTTACAATGCAATATTATGTCAGAATTACAAAGGATGTATTGTTGCATTATCAATTTAGAAAGATGACAGTGGGATATATAAACGTATTTATTGGTAGAGAAAATAGACTGGAAAGGAGCTGTTACTTCTGTTCTTTTTTTGTACTGTGGATTGAACTCGACCTCACGCTTGGCAAGGAGCTGTTATTTCTGTGGGGAGGCATTATACGAACATTAATTCATTAATTAAACAATCCTTTCTATGTTAACATTTTCATATTGATTAGTGTTTTTTTTTAAAGCAAGAAAATGGATCTTTTGTAATTGGGAAATTTAGTTTGGGCAAATATCCTATTTTCCCATTTATCACAGAAGTAATAGCTGCTTTGAATGCTTGCTGGAATACAGGAAAGAATGACTTAGGATATTTTTTGTTGTTATATTATTTGTTTTTACATAAAGTTGGTACATTTTAGGTATATAGAATGAGCACATTCATTATAGAGAATTTGTACCTCCACTGATATAATGGATTCTTTTTTTTTCCCCATGTCTGTACCTCCCATCAGTCCCTTTTCCCCTCCCTATGGGTACCTTTTTTAGTTGTGAAAAGCATTTCAGGAATACTTGTACTGTGATTATAAAGTGATGGTAATAGTATTGCTGATACTTCTGTTTCGTTGTGGGCCAGCTAGTAAGCGCACACACTATCTTTTAGAGAGGACATGTACTCCCAGGACTCCATAGACCTCCTTGCTAACTCAGGGCTGCAGTTTCAGAAGCACGAAGAAGAAGGGATTGACACGCTGCACTTTGCAGAGCTGCTCATGACATCTGGAGTGGTTCTCTGTGACAATGTCAAATGGCTCTCATTTCACAGGTCAGTCCCAGACTATGTGTGTCTCTGTCTGTCACCGTGGTGATTGTCTTAGTTACTTTCTCATTGCTAGAACAAAACACCCTACACACAAAGTTAGGGGAGGAAAGGTATATTTTAGCTCACAGTGCTTAGAGGTTTCAGCCCATGGTTGGCTGGCTCCAGGGCAGGCCAATGGTGTGGCAAGCAGGAGGTAGCAAGACTTCCTTCTTTTCCTTTCTAGTCCATGCTGGCTACAAGCCTGTTGGCTGGTGCCACCCATACCCAGGGTGGTCTTCTCTCTTCAGTAAGTCCATCATTCCCATCCAGAACTGTACTAAGTCAGTCAGTGCACTAATCCAGCATCACACACCCATGACCCATCACTTCTGAGAGAACTACCTGAGTGCTGAGGCTTTCAGGGGACATCTAGGTATAAACTATAACAGAGACATATTTTACCTTTTGTACTTGAGCTTAGCCAAAAGGCCAAGAAGTGATATATTTTACTTTTTGATTTTAATGAATTAAGTCCATATTTCTGACCCTTGGGTTCTCTTGCATAATGCTCATGATAGTTTCCTGTATTTTGTTACTTAATAGAAAAGTTTAGATTATAGTAGGGTGTGCTACAGAAGACTAAAAGTTTCTAACATAAAAGCTTTTAGAAATAAAGTGGTGAATACTGAAACCCAGTAATTTGCTTTCTTACTTCCCTGCTTAATTTTCTCTTTGTAGTGGCTATGATTTTGGCTACATGGTAAAGTTGCTTACAGATTCTCGTTTGCCTGAAGAAGAACATGAATTCTTTCATATTCTGAACCTTTTCTTCCCATCCATTTATGATGTGAAATATCTGATGAAGAGTTGCAAAAATCTTAAGGTATATAACATTTTCCTTTTTCGTTCTTTTGTTTATTTATTGATTTTTGGTACTGGGAATCAAACTCATGACCTCACACTTGCCAGGCAGGCACTGTGCTGTTGAGCCATATCCCCAGCCCATATAACGTTTTTTCTTAATACTAACAAAAAAATTAGAAAGCAGACTGATTTTGTTTTATCACTGTGTGTACCAGGCAGTCCTGTGTGCTGGCCAGGTGCTGCCTTACCAGCTGGGGTGTACCATAGAGCGAATTGGGACAGAGGTTGGTGCAGCGCAGGTGGTTGTCTGTGTTGTGGTGATCAGGGATGAAAGGAGGCCTCTGTTTCTCTCATCTCGAGTCAGCCTTTCTTCCAGAGGCCCACTAACCTCGTTAAGCAGTTGGCAGCATGAAGTGTATATGTAGTTCGTTAGGAATGAGTTCTGGGTTATCCCAAATTCTTGTAGGGATTCTTAATTCTTGAAAGTTAAAGAAAGTACTACCTTTTGATTTTTTTTTTTCCCCCATGGTGGTACTGTGGATTGAACCCAGGACCTTCATTCTGGACTGTATGCCTAGCCTTTCTTATTTAATGTCTTGCTAAGCCATTAGGTTGCACAGGCTGGGGCTGAGCTTATGATCATGTTGCCTCAGCATCCTAGCATGCTAGGATTATGAAAGACCCCATTGAACTGTTGACATAAGAGATTTGCTGAATTGGATTTGTGTTTACGATTTCCTTAGCCTTGTTTTATAGCAGCTGTGATTTTAAAGGGCTTAGGGCTGGAAAAATTAGCAAGAAAGGAGCAAAAGGTAGAATATCATGCATTATATTTGGAGGAAAGAGGAGTTAAGCGTTAAAAGGAAGACACTGAGGCCCTTAAATAAATGGCTGTCCTCTTTCTTCCATTGCAATAAAGTGAACTCAATAATGGTCTGAAGTGAGTCCAGCGTAGCAGTCACAGGTCTGTAATGTTCTGTTTCTCGTACATCTCTAGGGCGGTCTTCAGGAAGTTGCTGATCAGTTGGATTTACAGAGAATTGGAAGGCAACACCAGGCAGGCTCCGACTCACTGCTGACGGGAATGGCGTTCTTCAGGATGAAGGAGGTAAGTAAGCTCCATTAAATATGAGGGCCTCTCTAAAGAGATTTTCTATTCAGAATTAGATTAATACATAACTTGCTGGAGGCGGGATCCCTGGGAGGGGATCTCTGAGGGCTGAAGTTTGTTGAACGTTGGTAGTTTGCTGGCAGTTAGTGGCTACCTTAAAAGCAGTTTGTGTTAGTCTGTTAGGGCATGCCAGTATGGCAAACACAGTTTGAGAGGCAAAATTGAGCCTAGTGTAGTGGAATATGTAAGTGTTCCTCAGCATACTCAAGCGCAGGTCCTTGGTGTTCCTACGTGTTGTCATCTTTTCAGTGATTTGGTTTTCTTATTTATAGAATAGAAACATATTTGTTAGGCCACCCATTTATGTTATGTTGAGTTCTTTTTTTTTTTGTCTTTTTCCTTTTTATCGGTACCAGGGATCGAACTCACGACTGCCTGCTTGCAGGGCAGGCGCTTATGCCGCTGAGCTAAATCTCCAGCCCCTATATTGAGTTCTTTTAATTATTTTATATTATATGAATTTCTTTTTTTTTTTGTCTTTTTCATTTTTTCATTTGTATCGGTACCGGGGATTGAACTCACGACCGCCTGCTTGCAAGGCAGGTGCTTATGCCGCTGAGCTAAATCCCCAGCCCCTATATGAATTTCTTGTAAATCATTAATGAAGACTGAGTTTCTCTCTTAGTTTCTTAACCACTGTTTTTTTTTTTTTGGTACCAGGGATTGAGCTCATGACCTCACACTTGCCAGGCAAGTGCTTGTGTCACTGAGCTAAATCTCCGGCCCTCTAACCCATTCTTAAGATTTAAAATGTATTTGAAGAGGGTGGGGAAGTGGGACACTGTTTTGAATGTAATGATGACTTTATTGACAGTTGGGGAATGAACCGGGTGAATCTTTCATGCAGACATGGGCTTGCTTTTTAGAACAGTGAGTGTGGCAAGGGATAGTACATTTCTTCTATGTTAATCCTAATCATAAGCCACAACCCCTGAGTAGTACTATGAACTGAGAAATTATATTTGTCAGTCTCCCATCACTTACGTCACTCAGGTACCTAAGATAATAAAAGGTGTAAAAATTCATTTTGGCTCACAGTTTTAGAGGTTTCAGTCCATGGTCTGTTCTCTTCCTTGATTTCAGGCCTATGGTGAGGCAGAACATCATGGCAGCGACTGTGGTACATAACTTTTTCCCCTATGGTGACCAGGAAGCAGAAAGCAGAAAGAAACAGAGATAGATAGAGGTGGAAAGAAAGGAACGGAGAGATGGAGAGAGAGAAGGGCCTGGGTTCCAGTTTCCCCTTCTTGCGTTCCCCTTAGGGCACGCTCCTAAACCGGATTCCTCTTCTGCCAGGCCCCGCCTCCTAAAGCTTCCATCACTTCCCAGGAGTGCCACAGGCAGGTGAGCCAGGACTGTTAACACATGGCCTTTGCAGGACATTTAGGATCCAAACCATAACATGCTGCCTCTGACCCCCACAGGTCCGTGTCTATCTCACAGTCTGTTTCCGAGAATGTCTACAGTCCTAATAGTGTCACTTTTGCTTGAAAGTCCAAGTCTAAAGTCTCCCGTGAGACTCAAGGAAGGCTCAGCTGTGAGCCCCTTTAAAAGTTCAAAGAACAGCCAGGTCCTGTGCACAGATGTTAGCCCAGCTGCTTGGGAAGCTGAGGCAGGAGGAATTCAGGTTTAAGGCCAGCCTGGCAACTTAGCAAAACCCTGTTTTAAGAAAAAAAAAAAATGCTGGGAATGTAGGTCAGCAGTAGGGTGCTGGCTTAGTATTTATGTAGCCCTGGGGCTAATTCTCAGTACTGTATAAATTAAAAGAATGAGTGAGCACATTACATCCAAGATACAGTGGCCAGAAGTAGGGAAGAAGAACAAAGAGAAGAAAGATCAGGCCAAAGCAAAATCTAAACCTGGCAGGACAGACCTGAAGTTGGTATGATATCTGCCACCTGATGCACATGGTGGCAAGGTGTGAGCTTCTGGTGGCTTGGGACAGCCCCACCCTTGTGGCAGTATCCTGCACGATCATCCCTTGGGCTGGTTTTGCTTGCTGCCTGTGGCTTCCTTGGCAGATGTTCCATGTTCCTGGGATCTCTAACTTCCTGGATCTCCATCCAGTCTCGGCTTCAAGCATCCTTCACCCCATGGGGGGCTGCTTAGGGACCTGAGCCTGCCATACCCTGCCTGGCCTCCCAGGCTTTCCTTTGACATCCTGGGGGAAAGTACCCACGAAACTCATGTCCTGAGTGTCAGCAAGCCTGGCCTCATATGGATGACATCGAGATTTCCTTCCGGAACCCTGGAGAATTCCTAGGCAGCCTTGTGTGAGTGAGGCATTGGGCTTTGTTCTTAGCCAGGTCTGTGAGCCTGCTGATTCCTGAGATGCCCTGAAACATCTTTCCTGTTGCCTTGGTGCAAAGTATTTGGCTTCTTTTTAATGGCATTGATCACTTTAGCAACAGCACTTTCCATCTTTCTCCTTTGCCTCAGCTTTCAACGTACTTCTTTTCTAGCCAAACTGCAAATTTTTAAGCTTTCTTCCTGTTCTGATTTTTGTTTTAGATTCTCACTGGAACCCTGGCTGAAATCAGTCACTAATACTCATTCCACTGCCCGAAATCTCTGCTGCCTTGAAATTTCTTATGCAAATAGACTAGCCCTTCACCTTTATGTGTTCACAACAGGGCATGACTTCTGGGCAGCTGTGATTTGGCAGAGACAGTCCCATCAGGTGGTGTGAGCTGCCTGATGCAACAGTCATGCGTGTACCGCGTCGGTGGTTCAAGCTAGTGGGAATGCGTTAAATTCAACCTCCCACTGAGTCAAGGCATGCTCAGGATGTAGGCTTTGATAGATGTAACACAGCTGACCTACCTTTGATAGATGAACACAGATGTTCCCAGCAGGCCTCGTTGCTGAGACCTCATCAGCACAGCCTTCAGTGTTTGCACTCCTACTAGTGCTCTGTGTGGTACAGCTCCCACCAGGATACTCTGCTTCAGGTGCTATTCTAGGCTCTCTCCAGCCGTCCACTCCAAACTTTCCTAAGCCCCTCCCACAGACCAATCCCAAGTGCTTCTGAACTGTACCATAGTACCATCGCAGCAGCGGCCTGACTTGTTGCTGCCAGTTTTGTGTGTCAGCCAGTTTTCTTTCCCTGTGACAGTACTTGGTTGAGATGATCAACTTCGAAGGGGGAAAAGCTTATTTTGGCGTTCAACATCAAGGTTTCAGTCTATAGTTAATGGACTCCCTTATTTATGGGCCTGTGGGGAAGCAGAATGTTGTGGTGAGGAATAAAGGGAGGAAGGGGCCTCATCACCTTGTGGCAGCAGGGAAGATGTGGGGGAACCCTGGGGTTCCAGTACCCCCTTAAGACACATGCTCCCAAGCCTTACTTTTCCACTGGGTCCTGTCTCCTCCCTGTCTCCTAAAGCTTCCGCTACTGCTCAGCAGTGTCCCAGGCTGGTGATCCTCACCACATGGCCCTGGAGGATTGGAGGACATTCAAGGCCCAAAATAATAAGCATTTTAAGATTGTGGTTCTCAAATTAGTGTGGTGGTTATTTATTTACTTATTTAGTAGTAGGAACTGAACTTAGGACCTCAGGCTTATCAGGCAGATGCTGTGCTGCTGAGCTATCTCCCTGACCACTTTGTGGTCATAGTATACTTGGTAATATCTGGAGGGGTTTTTGGTTGTCATGGTTTGGTGGGGAAAGATGGTATGCTGTTGGCCAGGGGTGCTGCTAAACATCCCACAATTCACTGGAAAGCCTCTGCCATGAAAAGAATTACCATGCTTGGCTCACCAAAAAAAAAAAAAAAATATGCCCAGGAGTGCTAAGGTTGGAATACCTCCTTTTAAAAATATTTTTGCTGCCCTTAGGATTGAACCTAGATTTTTTTTTGTACTGATCTATATCCCCAGCCATTTTTATTTTTTATTTTGAGATATGGTCTCTATAAAACATTTAACTTGCCCAGGTGGGGCTCAAATCTTGACCCTCCTGCCTCGGCCTCCCAGAGTTCTGGGATTACACCTCTATGCCCCTCAACTCGGCTGCACTAAATATTCATTATCTCATTCCTCGTAACAATCCTATTATTATATCGAGTTTTATTCCACAAGGAATCTTAAAAGACGGACACATAATGAGCCTTCAAAAGAGCTAAGGTGACTACCAGTGTCACATGGTGACTCAGAGTCCAGAGCCGCGTTCTTGGCTGTTGCCTTGCATGTGAGAGAGGGGCTAGCAGCTGCACAGTTGAAAGAATTCACGCAAAGCCAAAGTCAGCTAGGAGCAGCGTGTATGTAGAGAGCAGCCTGAGAAGACGATGGGCAGGAAAGCCTGGGCCCCCTTTGCTGAGCGGGTGGCTTGCTGGGTTTCTGGACGTGCAGAGCTGGGCAGTGTGCTGTGGCAGTGTTGGTCCCACATGTCCTTACCACGGCTCTTTGTCCTGCTCTGCAGTTGTTTTTTGAGGACAGTATAGATGATGCCAAGTACTGCGGGCGGCTCTACGGTCTGGGCACAGGTGTGGCACAGAAGCAGAATGAAGACACCGACTCCGCCCAGGAGAAGATGAGCATCCTGGCGATCATCAACAACATGCAGCAGTGACCGCCGTGGCTGCCCTGTATGTGGCTGCACCTGGACTGGTGCTTCCTGTGCTCTGCTTCCTCCCTGAGAGCGTGCATCTGAGCAGACCAAGCAGACTGGCTCTGTGGAGCAGGGAGACTTGCTTTTTACTGAAGGCAAAACATGTCTTTATTTTAGATCCAGAAGAGGGGAGTCTGCTCTCAATTTGTAAACAGGTCTTCCCTGTTCCACATCCCCACGCCTCTCCTCTCCAGCTGCCTCCTGTCACCAGCATCCATAGCTCCTTGACACTATTTTAAATATCCAGGACAAGCCTGAAACGAGCGAGTAAAATGTATATAACTCTTGCCTGTTGTCATTCTTTTTCTTTTAAATTTGTTGCTAATTTCTGAGAGGATTGTGATGCTCAGCCGAAGGTTCCCAGAGGAAATGGTACAAACACAAATGGTGTTCTGGGGGAGTGGTTAGGACATTCTGAGTCTTGGCCCTCCCCTTTTTCTGACCCTTCATGAAACCATTGGCTTTGCTGACATTTTGGTGGTCTTTATTTATGTATGATTATATGGAAATGAATTGCCCAGTGCTGAAATTTAGACAATTCTACTAAATCTGTCCTCATGACCAACTCCAGAGTGCGTGTTGACCACTGACGTGTCTTGACATCTGTGCCACTGAGATTTGCTGTCATTTATGCATCATCTGAAGTTACTGTAAACTTTCAGATAATGAAATATCCTGGACTTGATCTCAAGGAAATGAGTAGGATGAGATTTTTGGACACATAATGAGCCTTCAAAAGAGCTGAGGTGACTACCAGTGACACATGGTGACTCAGAGTCCAGAGCCGCGTTACGTTTTAAGAAACGAGATTTCAGATGGTCATGTCGTCTTCCTGCTCTGCATTTCTCATGCTTTCCCTTTCAGCAAACCTGAGGAGGCAGGAGATGGTTAACGTAGGTATTTGGCATGTGGATCTTTGCATTGTACCCAGGGCAGTAAAGGAATGTTGTTTAGAGAGATCTCTTGGAGTAATTTCCCACAACCAGGATAGGAAACTCAGGACTTTGATTTTAGAACTAGTCATTTTAAAGTACAGTGTTTTCTTTGACTACAAGATGGACAGTTTTGAAAAATCAAAAACCCGTTTTGAATGGTGAAAATAAAACACCTCGCTAAAGCAGGATAGTCTCACATTTTAAAACCTTCAGAAAACTTAATTTGAAATGATTAAAAAATGTCAAGTGTTACAAGCTGGTATTTAAGATGTTGTAAATATTATTTATGTTTTTAATTTTGTAAAATAAAGATTTCTTTTTAATCACTGGCATGAAGGTTTGGTCTTTCATAGCTATAAATTGCTGGCTCTAGAAGACAGTGTGACATGGGAGTTTTGTTTCAGTTGTCAAATTGGATTCACGTATTTCTGCCAGCACGAACTGCTGGGGGTATGTGCACGACTGTCCCATTGGGTGGCTTGATCCCCTGGTGGTACAAATAGAAATAGATCTAACCACTTTTATTGTGGCTTTAATAAAAATTAATAGTCTATAAATGGACTGACTCTAGTTACTGCTTGCATTTGGATAATTGCTGCCCAAATATAAGTGTTAATACTATTCATACAATTATAATTATTACAATAATCAAAAAATTTATGACATTAAAAGAAATTTACATTTGTGAAGTTTATCAGTAGTTCCCTAAATTTTAACATGGAAGTGTTACACATGCCCTATTGAGGGGGATATATAAAATGCATTTATAACTGCTGTACCACAAATTAGCTGCTTAGCAATTTTTTATGCCACTTTAATGTTTCCCTTTAGGACCTGTGTAATATGAGCTCTCATCTGCCGAATCAAAGCCTTTCTTTGGATTATGTGATCAGAGACCCCCTGAGAAGCGGTACAAGCTGCCTGATGGGACAGTCATACAAGGGCTCAAGCCTGTGGGAATAATCACATCCAAATTAGAGCAGGATATATGAATGAAGGCCTTGTTGTGAATTAAATACCGAAAGTCTCACTTGGTAGGAAGCTTTTAATGAGCATGTGTAAATGCAGTGGTTTCTTTGCTTCAGACCCTCTGCTTGCTGACTGGGCTTTACTAGGAAATGAATTTTGTTTCCTAGGGCCACTCCATGTGGTAGATTAACTTGTCAATTGGTGGAAGTCTAGGACAGATTAAACTGCAGGTATCTTAGATTTGGCCCAAAAGTGTTTGCAGTCTTTTCTGTTGGCACAAAAAAAGAGGAATAGTGAGGTGTAAAAGCAGAACTAGAATTTATTGTCATTTGGTTGAGTTGGGTTCATGCCATTGCTCATTGGCCTTGAACTCCTGGCCCAAGTGATCTCTGCTTCTGCCCCAAATCCCAGGGCCTACAGATGCATGCCACTGCACCCAGCAGTTCTGGGGTTCTGGCTGAGGGTCACAGAGGAAGAAAGGAACACGTCACTGCAGGTGTAGTCGGCAGTCCTCAGGGTGTTCTGGCATGCTGTGGATGTGAGCTTTGTACATGTTCTAAATTTTGATTAAAATAGGGACATATGGACACTCACATGTTAAGATGCTGAGGTGCAGGGCTGGAGAACAGTGTTGAGCTGGGGTCTGTTCACTTGAAGGAGAGGAGAGGTCCTGTAACAGTGACGCCAGGGGAGGATGGAGTCGGTAAGAACTGTCAGGAATGCTGTGTTGCGTGTGTTAGAATAAGGCTGTGTAAATGGTCACCCTCAAACGGGTGGTGTGAGGGCGAACAAGAGAACTACCGTGGATAGAATTCACTTGTGTCCACTGGCAGATTCCCTTCAGTTGGTGCTGGTTAGCCATAAGTCTGGTCATCAGCCCATTGAGAGGCCTGTAAGTTCAAGCTGAAAAATGAGTATGCTGACAGCCTACTTTGTTCAGTTAGTAAGTTTTCATTTAAGCACCCACTAAATACCAGGCATGTATCAGGTGCTAGGGATAAAGCACAGGACCAGCGAAGACCTAAATCACCTTCACTGGAGTTTACAGTTTGCCTTTGTTGCCAGTCAATAATTCACAGAAATTCAGTTCGAACTGAAAGGTGTAAGACGCTGTTGTAACTGAGGTTGATGTTCAGGAACAGTGTTTTTTCTTTGGCTGGGGAACTAGCTCAGCAGCACTGTGCCTGCCTGGCAAGTGCAAGATCCTGAGTTCGGCTGCTACCTAAAAAAAAAAAAGTTTCTCATTGTTTGGCCTTCAACTTGTGATCCTCCTGCCTTGGTCACCTGAGTGCTGGGATTACAGGTGAGTACCATCCTGCCTGACTTAATCATAGTCTTTTTAGAAAAAAGGAAATTTAGGCCAAGATCTAAAAGGTGAGAGTAAGTCATCCAGACAGAACAACTCAGGCAGAATTTTATAGGTGACAGAAGTTGGAGGGTTCCAGCATCCATGAGACCAGTGTGGCTGGAATAGAGGCAGGAGATCAACAGGAAAGGCTGGGTGAGGCAGGCGACAAACCACAACTCTTGTCTGTTCCCAAAAGCCACATTTCCATAGCTACTGACAGATTTTTAAGAAGGGAATTGCTGAGACATTTGCCATAGTCACTGCTAGGTAAAGAATGGAGATTAGCAAGAGCAGATTTGGAAAGCCAGGTACAATGGCACACGCCTGAAATCCTGGCACTGAGGCAGCTGAGTTGGGAGGACCACAGGTTCAAGCCCACTCTGGGAAACTTAGTGAGACTGTCTCAAAAAATAAAAATGGGTGAGGCCAGGTGCATAGCTGAGTGCAGAGGCCCTGGGTTCATTCCCCAACAGTGGAAAGGCAAATAACCATGTCAGAGATGTGTTGGGAGGTTGGTACCCATCTTGGTAACCATGGGAATTCTGCATGGTGCTTCAAACTACTGTACAATTTAGTTTGAGTAAGAGAGTAAAGTTCCAAAAAATTGCTTAGTGACAAATCCTATGCACTCAGCAACCTTGGGGAGGCCTGGCTCATTGTGGTTCTGGTAATTAATGATAATTTCCTCAAGTTATAGTAGTTCGAGTGAATTACATAGCATTAGAAAAAGGAGCTTAAAAAGAAACTTTTTTTTTTTTTTTTTTGAGACAGAGTCTTGCTTATGTAGTTCAGACTGGCCTTCAGCTCACTTTGTAGCCCAGGCTGGTCTTGAATGTGCGATCATCATCCTGCCTCAGCCTCTCGAGTGCTGGGATTACAAGCATGCACCATCATGCCCAATTTGAGTTGTCATTTTTGTGACTCTCCTGGCATTGGGTAGTTTCACTGCAGTTTTCAAGTTGTAATTCGTCGTCTTACCAGTAATCAAGGACTGTGCAGGGATTTTCCTGCCCACAGGTGATGGTTTTGGTAAATTACAAAATAACTTAGTTTCTAGTTTAGTAAATGCTCTACTCAGGTGGAAGGGGATAAATTATTTACCATCTGTAAGTGAAGTTGTTCATTTTAGCAGACCACTGCTATTCAGTCCTCCCAATCGCAATCAAAATTCCCCACCCGAGGACTAAAGGCATCTTCTTCCTAGAATTTTGCAGTATTTCCTTTTTTAAGTTTAACATATTGTAAACTCTAGAGCGAGGCATACACAGATGTCTTTGTCTTTGTTCAAACGTTAAGTCTTTACAGTGAATCTCAAAACAGTTCGGTTGCTGGGAAGGAGTGCCTCGTCCCATCCCCCTGAAGACCGTCCAGTTTTCCTGTCCTAGTGAATGGTTATAGAAACATCTGTTTCTGATACTGTTCATCTGTTTAAATGACCAGGGCAGAGAACAAGGATTTGGAGTTAAACAGTACTTAGATTCCATTATGCTGAAGTGATAGACCCATGATCCAGAGGTCATATAAAATCAGGAAAATGCAATTTTCTCCAGAGTATCTATTGCTTTACAAATATATTCCTAGGTGACTGAGCACCTGCTCCTGCCTGAGGTCACCTCAAGGTCACCTCAGCCACTGTGTTTCCACAGTCAGGCCCATCTAGTTTGTAAGCAGGATCATTGTTTTTATTTCTGTATCCCTAGAGCTCTGCACTGTGCCAGACACAAGCTTGATAAATGTGCTGAGTAAGTGAATCCTTACAAGCGAATAGGTCAAGGAGGAGGAAGAGGTAGGTCCAGGAAAAAAGCATTCTGGCTCAAGAATGAGCAGCAGGGCCAGTGGGCCGCACAGCAGTGCAGTGGTCCTAGGGATGAACCCATCCAGACGGGACAGTGAGATCCCCAAGAGAGCTGTAAGAGCACAGTGGGATACACATGTGTTCTTTAGCCTATTCTGAGATGAGGTTCACACCTCATCAGAAGGGTAAAGCTTCCTGTTGATTAGTAGCACCTGTATAAAACAAAAGCAAATAACAAAGACACTGATGTGGGAGGGAGAGCGTAGCTGTGGCTTTAATACTGTTCTGAAGAGAGTTCCCTGAACATCCCCCACGCCAAGTAAGAGCCACTGAAACAGTAATTGCTTCCTGAGCTATTTCACTGCCGTCTGTTATCCGTTATAAAACTGAAGGGATAACATCTTTGAGTGTGTCATTTGTTCTTGCAAAGCTTTAGTAATTTATCCAAATAAGCAACTTTATGAAATAGTAAAACCAAAGTTTTAACCCAAAGTTGACACAGGACAGAATCAACATGATGGTTAATAAGGCCTATTTCACATTTCAAACTTTTGGAAGAGCGGAGGTGGAAGTGCTTAGGTTAACCAGACCAGACCAGACCAAACCAAACTGTGTATCCATTGTCACTGAATGTGGCAATTCTGTCTCCAGCCAGAATGAGCTACTTGTGATCGCAGAAAGTATTTACAAAGGTCGCTTGTGTTCAGGAACAATACTTTGGGTGATTACAGAAGTTTCTCCTCTTTGAGGGAAACCTGCGTAAGGCTGAGATGATCAGTCACTCTGCGAGTGCCGGCTGTAAGAAGTCCTGGCTTTCCATGATCTGCCCTTCAGTCCCTGGCAAACCACAGTGGAGGCCAGAGTCAGACTGCGCTTGGTCTACGGTAGACAGAGTTGATTCAAGTGTTCCCCTCTAGAGTTGCTCTGCATCACTGCAAACACATTCAGTGAGGCTGCCGGATGAGGTGTCACTGCAGAGACGAGACAGTCATCCTGTGATGGTTCCTGTCAGGCCCTCCGGTGCTCACGTGCAGAAGGTCCTGCGCTGCCTTTTGTGCGCTTTAGTGTTGCCATATTTCCTGAGGAGCTCTCGGGCCTGCTGTTGCAGCTCTTCAGTTATGCAGCCGGGACACTGGGCCCCGATGTGAAGCAGGACGAGGCAGCATTCCAGCACATCTGGGAAGGGCCAGGTCTGAAAAACAATAGGAAGGTGAGGACGGAAGCATGTGCGCAAGAGCCACCTGTGGCAGAGAGGGCACCAACACACCGCCACAGGCAGATTCCGCGCAGGCTCACAGGGCCCCCTGCTCTCGGCAGCCACGTCCTTTCTCCTCTCAGTTACTGCGAGGAGCTGATACTCAGAATGGGGCTGGTCGGGGAGGTTTGCAACCCACAGTGTCTTTTTCTTATGTCCTACTCTAAAAAATGCTGCTGCTCTTACTGCGAAGCGACAGAAAATCATACCTATTCACCTTAGGCTCCCAAATACCCAGCAATTTGGGGCTCGCTTCTTCCCTGCAGCTCTCACACCTGTTTGGATTCTCCGAGGGCTGGGATGTAAGACTGCTAGTGTGATCAGCAGTTGTAACTTGTCTTCACACTGAGCTGTCTCGTTGCCCAGCCCTTTTATTTGAGACAAGTTGCAGAGGCTGGGCTCAGACTTAATAGTCCTCCTGCTTGTCTCCCAGCGTTGGGGTTACAGGTGTGTGCCACCAGGCCTAGCCTAAGTAAATTTATTTCCAAAAAACATTCTGGCTAACAAAAGGTACATGTATCCTAATTTTTTCCCCAGTACCAGTGACTGAACCCAGGGTCTTTGTGCTGAGCTGCATCTAGCCCTGTTTTTATTTGGACCCAAGGTGTTGCTGAGTTGCTAAGCTTTCCAGGTTGGGCTCAAACTCTTGATACTCCTGCCTCAGCCTCCCAGAATGCTGGGACTATAAACGTGTACCACTATGCCTGGCCTATACTGTAAAAATTTAAGCACACATAAGTAGGTATATTTTAGAAACTGAACAGAGGAATAAATGACCTTTAAGAATATGGTACAGTCAAGGGATAACAGAAAAAGTAGTGTCTTACCAAATGAACTGCTTTATAAATCTTACCTTGATACTTTCGGGAAACTTAGCCATTCTTTGATTTGCCTCTGTAAGCCTTCTGGTTAATTCAGGCAGAGAAACTGGCTCATTTTCTTCTTCTTCTTTACTATTACTAGTAATAAAAAGCACCAAGTCATGTATTTCGCCTTGGGTAATATGCTCTCCCCAACTGTATTTATTGGGATAAAATAATCATGAAATTCACATCTTACCTATACCACTCTACATTTCAGTGGTATTAAACATTTTGTCAGTGTTATGCAACTATACCTACCCATATCCACAACACTTTCTGTCTTAGAAAACTGAAATTCTTCACCCATTAAAGAGTAACTCTTAGTTCTCTACCTCTAGCAACCGCTGTTATACTTTCTGTTTTAAAGGAAGAATCATATAGTATAATTTCTTTTTCACTAGCTTCTATCATGCAGCATAGTGCCCTCATGATTTAGGCACCTGTCAGATTTTCTCCTTTTTTTTTTTTTTAAATTTCTTATATTTTTGGTAACTTATATGTTTATTTTATTATTTTTTGGTACCTGGGATTAAACTCACGATCTTGAGTTTGCCAGGCAGGTGCTTATGCCACTGAGCTAAATCCTGGGCCCCTTTTTTGTCTTTTTGAGATGAAGTCTCACTCACTATGCAGTTCAGGCTGCCTTTGATCTAACTTTGTAACCCAGGCTGGTCTCAAACTCACAATGACCCTCCTGCCTCAATCTCTTGAGTGCTGTGACTACAGACCTACACTTTTAAGGTTTTTTTTTTTTTGGTACCAGAAATCAAACTCAGGACCTTGCACTTGCCAGGCAGGTGCTATGCCACTGAGCTAAGCTATACCCCCAGCCCAATCCCCTCCCTTTTTAAGACCAATACTCCACCACACACATGGAACACACTGCCTGTCCATTTGGCTGTTGGTGGCTACTTGGCCCGCTCCCAAGTTGGCTGCTGTCCACATGGCTGTGCAGGTGTCTCTGAGATCCTGCGCTCAGTTCTTTGGGGTCTCTGCCTAGATGTGGAAACCTCTGCGCTTCATGGTAACTCTCTTAATTTCTTGAGGAGCTGCCATCCTGTTTTCCACAGGGGCTGTCTCATTTTATATTTCCACCAGTGGTGTACAAATATTTCAGTTTTTCCACATTCTTAACAATAGTGAGTGCTTTCTGGCTTTCTCATAAAAGCCATCTTAATGGACATGAGGTGGTGTTTTACTTAGTTTTAATTAGCATTTCCCTAATGATTACGGGTGTTGAGTATCTTCACGTGCTTGTTCGCCACGTGTATACATTTTTGGAGAACTGTCTATTCTGGGCTGCTGGTCATTTTTCAATCGGTTAGTTTGAAAATTTTGGACCTTTAGGGGATCTGACTGCAGTCACGTGTTGCAGGCCTGGATCTTTCTAAGGAATGGTTAGACTAAGCCTGGGCTCTCAACCCTAAGGGGTGGAGATGCAAATCTTTCTGGGCAGAATGTCTCAGCATCTCACAGAGGTGCTATGATTGAAGACTAAGAGCCAGTGGATTAGACAACTTTTTAGCATTTGCTTTGTTTTGTTATAGAAAGCTTCCTAAAGAAGTGACTCAGATCTCTAAATTGTGATTTTTTTTTTTGGTACCGGGAATCAAACTCATGCTTGCCAGGCCGACGCTTATGCTGTTGAGCTAAATCCCTGGCCCCTAAATTGTGATTTTTAAATGGGGTATTTTTTGATGATTTAAATTAAGGGCTTCAAGGATTCTTAATTTTTAAAAGTTAATAATAATGGCTGTGGGTTTACTGATTATGCTAGTATTTTCTCTAGGCTCTGGACTGGGGACATAAGGCAAAATGTGCTCAGCAAGGTAACAAGGGAAGGATCAGTCTCTGCAGAGCCCCGAGCAAAGCACACCACAGTAACCCTGACCTGGCTGCACAGTGACTGGTGACTGGCTCCTCGCCTCTCCTGCACCGTTTCCAAGGGAATCATTAGGCAGCGACTCATTCTCTCTGGGATGTTTTCTGTGCACTGTGCAATTTTACAACTCTTTGTCTGTTTTTGAAATACTGCAGAATTAAATATATTTTTTCATTAATGATACAGTAATACAATTCCTGATTTTATTGCCCTGATTTGGGCAATCTACTTAGCACATAACCATAGAATCTAGGACTTTACTATTAATGACAGGTGTGATTTTGTTTTGCTCTCAAAACCACCAAGGTAGAAGTTGGTACCTTTATGTAACTGGTGAAGAAAGTAAAGCTTAGAGACATGAAGAGACTTGCCTGGAGTCATCTGGAAAGGCCAAGATGACTGACCCCCAAACCCCCAAAATCTGTGCCTTGATTACCAAACTCTTCTGTTTCCATGTGAGCTGATCATTAGCATCATGTGCTTCTCTAGACCAAATTACAGAGAACCCAGCTGAATATTTTCCACTTTGTCTGGGGCTTGACTGTGTACCTACCACTGGCTCTGAGCCTCGGAAGGGGGCGCTTCTGTTTCCTGGTCAGGTTCGTTGTTCCTCAGAGCACTGGCCATAGGTTTAGAGAGCAGGCTCTTTCGGTGCTGCTGGATCATTTCTGCCAGAGACTCCTGGACTTGAGCCACAGTCCTCTGTGCGTTCTGAAGGCTGGCATGCGTCTCGGATAGGAGCTTCTGGCACGCGCTCAGCACGTGCTCACTCTCTCTTGAGAGTCCTATGCTGAGACCCGGGGGACTGCCTGGCTCTGGCAGGCAAGCAGCTTCGGAGCCCGTCTCCTCTGTGCTGGCCCCGTTCTCCTGCTGGCTGCGTGCAGTGGGCACTGTGTTTCCATGGGCAGCCCTGACCCAGACACTGGGCTTGGAGCAAGGCCCAGAGACAGACCACCAGATCTCATACAGGCGCCCGTACATGAAAAATGCCTCCAGACTTCTGAAGGCTGGTGCAGCCAAGGACTCATGGTCACCCAGTTTGTCTCTTAGGTGGTCACAGCCTAGGAGAAGGAGAAAAGGTGTTGGGGTCGCATATTTCTTTAGTCTTCCCAAAATATGGCTTCCTGCCACGTTTGGTACGTGTTGCCCAGGAGGGACCCTGAGAAACAGGCCAGCGGTGTGATGCTTGGGACCTCCCATCTCCTGCCTAAAACCAATGGGAAGGAAATGTCCCCTGGCTTGGGGTGATGCTGTCACTGGTACAGGGTAGGAGTGATGGAGAGCAGGATAAAAGAACTATTCCATTTCTCCTGGGGCCACAGGAAGGTGCAGTCACACTGCCTCTGAAAACCATGAGGGTCTGGTGCAGTGACAAATCGTGCAGATCAAGTAATGTCTTTTCCTCTGCCTTTCTCATCTTCCGAGCTTGTGACTACGTTATCATCCCTCCCCTCTTACACTGTGTGTGTGGAAAGTGAGTGGGAAGCAGTGAGGCAGGCAGTGCCACGTAAAGGAAAACAGGGCAGTCATTCTGGCTACCTCTATTTTATGGTTTGTTTTTGTTTGACACAGTGTCTCGCTGTGTAGTTCAAGCTGGACTTGAACTCATGTCGATCCTCTTGCCTCAGCCTCCTGAGTGCTGGGATGACAGGTGTGTGCCACCACATCTGGTAATGGCTACCCAAGACCTGGAGTAACAGAATTCCAGCGCAGCCAGTCTGTCTTTTAATTAGCCTGGTATCCCAGTGCCACACTATTCCTAACAACAGTGCACCTCCCAGGGGAGGCAGGGTTGCTCACCGTCAGGGAGGAACGCCGAGCACACGCCTTGCATGACGGTGAAGCTGCCTGAATCATAGCTCCGCACCACAGCCCGCAGCAGCGCCTGCACGGCTTCATCCCAGGAGGCCACCTGCTGGCTCAGCACCGCCAAGGTGAGGTCGTGACAAATGTGAAGCAGGAGCTAGAGAGAGGGCGGAGTTTTCCAGTAAACATCCTGCTGGGCAGGCACTGAGAAGGACAGGCCCTCCTCTGAGGAGCTGCCGTGGAAATGGGTTTCTCGTGGTCCTCTGGTCTCAGCTTTGCTTCCCACCAGAAGCTCTCCTACCAGAGGACTCGGCCACACAATGTCTGCTCGCACTGGGAAAGGGCCTTTTCATTTGCATTTGATGAAAACAAAAAGTTTCTTGGACTAAAAGCTATAATGAAAAGTCAAGGCTGCCAGTATAAATGTAAAATCAGTCAGTTTTCATGAGTTTTGGCAAACAAATAGTTGTGTAGCTACCATCAAAACCAAGACAAAGGGCATTTTCACCAACCTAAACCATTCCCATGTGGTAGTCCTTCATGGACAATCATTACACCCTGGTCCCTGAAAACCCTGACCTGCTTTTACTGCTTCTACTCTTCTAGAACTCATAAATGAAACCACAGAACATTGTAGGCTTTTGTGTCCTGATACCTTCTCTTAGCATGTTTCTGCGATTCACTAATAGACATTAGTATACTGGAAATGTGCTCTTTTTTACGTTGAGCAGTGTAGCATTTAGTTTTGAGTGTACTATAGCTGCACAGCCAGTCACACCAGGTGGTTTCGAGTTTTGGGTTTTGTGGAATAAGCTGTTACAAATGTTTGGTGCAAGTCTTTGTGTGGACACCTTGCAGGCAATTGGGTTGCTAGGCCATAGGTCTTGTGTATGTTTAACCTTTTAAGAAATGGTGTATACCATTTGAGGAAGTCTTATTTCAAAAATATAGCTATGTCTCATTTTAAAAATAAAGAGCAGAGCTAGAGATTTAGCTCAGCAGCATAAGTGCCTGTTTAATGTTAGTGTGATCCTTGGGACCACAAAAAAAAAAAAAAAAAAAAAAAAAAAAAAAAAAAAAAAAAAAAAAAAAAAAAAAAAAAAGCAGATAAGGTATAGTCACAAGATGGTTATACCAGTTAAAATAAATCACTTTGACCTCTTTGTATTAACATGGGTAATTTTACAAACAACAGCTAATGAAATAAGTAAGCAATACAAGCTAAGAAGGTAATCTAAGATAATATGGTGAGGGCCGGAGATACAGCTCAGTGGCACAGCACCTTGTGAGTATGGTCCATAGTTCAATTCCAGGTACAAAAACAAACAAACAAACAAACAAAAAAGAAAAATACTAACACAAAATAATACAAAACAAAAGCTTTCTTTAGTGAGTGAGGGGAGTGCTATGGGACTGAGGAAGGGAAGAAGGTATTTCAACTTCATTGTATTTTATTTTTTTAACCAAACAAAAAATCTCAAGTGGAGCTGGGCATGGTGGCACATGCCTGTAATCCTAGCCTGTACTACATAGTAAGATCGTGTCATTAAAAAAAAACCCCAAAACCAACCAACCAACCAACCAACCAAACCCAGAGACAAGACTGATTTTAAGACCTCAAATCCAAAGTGCTTTAGTCTGAAGGGATCTCCTGCAGGGTACATGGGCCTGTCCTACTTTTTTTCTGAAACGTAAACTGTATTCTACTGCTTTCCCTGGTTCACTGACATGGATGGATGAGGCGCAGTACCTGATGGGAGGGAGTGTTGTTTGTAGCAGACGGGTATTTAATGTCTTGCAGTTTCTGCAAGGCTGCCCGACACTGCAGTGGGCTGTCCAGTCCAAAGACTCTCTTCCACACTGAGGTCACTCGCTGCACGAAGGGCCCTTCGCTGTCCATGGCCCAGGTGTGGTGAGAGGGGGTGTATCTGGCTTCTGGAAGCTGCTTCTCCTCCAGATGCCGGCACAGTAGCTCAAGGAGGCAAAACACCAGTCTCTGCCCCTGGGACCCGACAATAGGGAAGGATGTGTTATGCAGGGAGGGGAAGGCTCTCCTGGGCCTTCCGAGCATTTCCCCTGGCAAGCAACCCTTCCCCATGAGCTGCCTGCCCAGTCTAGTCCCGTGCCAGGAAGGGGAGGCAGGGTCTGATCCCTCTTTCCAGCGCTTTTTGGTGGAATTCTATTCTTGGAACCCAAGGAACTGTTTTTTAATTAATTAATTATTTATTTTTGGTGCCAGAGATCAAACTCATAACCTAGAGCTTGCCAGGCAGGTGCTTATGCCACTGAGCTAAATCCCCAGCTGTTTTTTAAAATATATCTATATGCATCATGTCTTGTCTACCCAGGGGATTGAATCCTATCCAGGGGATTGAATCAGGCTACAGTCTTTGCACTGAACTATACCCAGCCCTTTTCTATTTTTAAGAATATGGAACAGTATCTTGCAAAGTTGCCCAGGCAGGACTTAAATTTGTGATCTTTTTGCCTCAGCCTATTAGATTGCTGATATTTTAACTGTGTGCCATGGCCAAGGAACTTTTCTTTTTTTTGAGACAGGGTCTCGCCATGCAGTTCATGCTGGCTTTGAGCTCACTTTGTAGTCCAGACTGGTTTTTTAATATTTTATTTTATTGCTACTGGGGGATCAAACTCACAGCCATGTACTTGCAAGGCTGGCGCTTATGCTGCTGAGCTAAATCCCCAGCCCCTCCAGACTGGTTTTGAATTCGAAATGATCTTCCTGCGTCCGGCTCCTGAGTGCTGAGATTATAGGTATGTGCCACCACACTGAACCTGAAGGCCTATTTTTGTAACATGGAACTCCCAATTGTAGCCCCATTTGTACAATTTGAGGCATACATGGACAAGCTACCTAAGAGTCATGGTTCAGTTTGAGAAGGGGCTCTGCCCCTTCACTGTCCCTGGCTGAGTGTCAGGCTGAGGAGTTGGGAGTAAGGTGGACAGACCAAGGGTTGGTGCAGAGCTCTGTGATCTGCGAGCCGGGGCAGGCCTATGGGTCCTGTCCAAACAGGTCTGCTGGGGAATCAGCTGGAGTACAGAAGCTCTGGAAAATGTTTATTTTTGCTGGGTTTTTGGTTGTTACAAGATTCTGTGTGTAGCCCTTTAACAGTATTTTCTCACTTAAGCTTGCAAAGGTCTATGTCATAGTCAAAATATGCATAATTAGCATATTTAGAATAAGCTTATAGGTCTTTGTTTTTTGCTTTGTTAAGAATGCTGCTTCAGGGGCTGGCGATTTAGCTCAGTGGCATAAGCGCCTGCCTTGCAAGCAGGCAGTCGTTGATCCCCGGTACTGATAAAAAGGAAAAAGACCAAAAAAAAAAAAAAAAAAAAAAAAAAAAAATGCTGCTTCAGAAAAAAAAATGAAACACTAAATAACCATTCTGGAACCCATTTTGTGGTTGTGGATAAAACTGAAGCCAGCTTAGGTTACTGAATTTAACACCAGCCTGAACTACACGGTGAGACCCTGACTACAAGAAAAACACACACACACACACACACACACACACACACTCAGTGGCACTATCTTCCAGGATACACTATTTTGCCTCCATTTTTAAGTATACTGTATCCAGAAAGCTACTCTCTGCCTACCATCTTCCTTGGGCTCTGAATACTCCGTGAGGCATTGTTATTAGATAGTCCCTATGCTAGGGAAATTGCTTTCCAATGTGCTATAAAGGCCGTGGTTGTCACTGTTACTATTTTGTGTGGTGCAGGGGACAGAACCCATGGCCTCATGCACACTAGCCACGCACTCTACCAACTGAGCTGTACGACCCTAGCCCAGCTACTCATTTTCAACCAGACTGGGCTAAAATGCCTGTTTTAGGCCTGATGAAGGCCATTCACAGATACTTTGTACAAACTGACAAGTGAGGGGTTAGGGGAATCACTGTGCCACCTCTCAGCCCAGCCCACGTGTGGCAGTGAGAAGCCACAGCACTGTCCGGGACAGCCCGGCCAGGCTTGCTGCACACCTGAGGGGACCTCCCAGACCAGCAGTGTGTGCAGGGGGCCGGTCCATGTGGCCCTGCCTAGAAGGATGCAGGGGCCCTGCCCTCCTGAGGAGCGGAGCGGGAGACCAAGGAGCAGACTGACCTGGAGACTTCCGTGCAGCTGCAGTGCTTCCTGGGCTCCCACCCAGTTCTTGGTCAGAAGCAGCTCCTGGGCGCATCTGAGAGCCAGAAGAACAGACAACTCGTTCTCTCCTGTGATCGCAGCCAGCTCCGCAGCTGTTCTGAGTGACGCTGCGTCCCCCTTTTTGGCCAAAACCTTGGCTGCATCAAAAGGAGAAGTGGCCCCTAAATAGCTGCAGTAGGAACAAAATCCAAACACAGTGTCAAAAACAGATGTACTATTCCGAGAGAATAGTAAAAAAGCTTGATTGAAAAAGAAAGAAAAAAAGATTGATGTGGTGACACGCCTTTAATCCCAACACCTGGGAGGCTGAGGCAGGATAATCCTTGTGGGTTTGAGACCAGCCTGGACTACAAAGAGAGTTCAAAACCAGCCTGAACTGCACAGTACGAGCCTGTCTCAAAAAGACAAAAACAAATAGAAAAAAACAAAACACATAGAGGCTTTATTGCCAGGCATGGTGGCACATCCCTGTAATACCAGCACTTGGATTGCTATGGGTTTCAGGCCAGCCTGGGCTATATAATGAAGCCCTTCTAAAAAAATAAACACCTCTCTCCCCCAGCAAACAAAAGCTGTCGTACAAGTTACAAAATCCACTATATTCAGATACTGCACAGTAACTTCTTAGTAAATTTACTAGGTAATCCAATCATTACCCTGAATCAATTTTAGAATCTTTTTATTATCAGTGAGACTCCCTGCCCCTTTACGTCCATTCTCACCACCAACCCCAGGAGACAACTATTTTTTCTCTACAAACTTGCTCGTTTCATGCAATGGATTTTTTTGTTTCTTTTCTGCTACTGGGGATCAAATGCATAACCTTGCATTTGTCAAGCAAGCGCCTGAGCCACTGAGCTAAATCCCCAGCCACACAATGGACTCTTACAGTTCTGGGCTCTGGCTTCTTTGCCAGTACTTCTGCAACTCATCCACAGGCCAGAAGGTGCAGGGAAGAGCTGCTTCCACCTGCTGCAGGTGCCCTCTGGGGTGCCACGTGTCAATGAGCCTGTCTGTTCCTGGGGTGGCTAAGGCCAGCACAGCTCAGCACAGTGAGTGAGACAGCAGCACCCAGCTTAGGGACAGAAGGGAGCCCCAGTGTGTTCTGAACTGGACTCTGGCAGTGCAGTCAGTTGCTCTCATTCTCCTTATTTGATGCTATTAGAACTCAATAGAAAAAGGAAGCTGAGTTTCCTCCTGCGCCTGCAGTTTACGGAGATTTGTGTCAATACCAAGAAGGCACATCTGCGTAGGCCTCTGAAACTGGGCTTAGCACATCCTTGGAATTTCCCTGGACTTCTAACTTTGTCCTTTCACTCTCAAACCTACTTCCCTGGCAGAGCCTCTCCTGTGTTTGGTCACCGTGGTCCTCTTACCATTTGGCTGCCACAGCATAGTGGCCATCTCTTTCCAGGATGGCTCCCCAGCTGAGGTACAGGTCCTTCAGCACAGGGTCCTCTGGGCGCAGCCGGGCCTTGGCAACAGCAATAGCTTCTCTAAAGGCAAGAACAGAGAGCGTTGCCAGTGTGAAAAGCCTCTCCAGAAGAGGCTCGGGGAGGGTGCAGGTAGGACGGTCCTCCCTTTTGTGTTGACCGCACTGTTTGGGTACCCATAGAAAGCTATACCCTTCCAATTCCTGGCCAAGTGGAAGACACATGCTCCCTCTGATTCCTCCTTAGGCGACCAGTTCTTCAAGTGTGGTCTGTGGGTCTAAGACCTTTTGCGGGGTGGGGGTGTTCATAGTATGAAAACTAACACACAGCAGTTATTTGCATTTTAGAAACTGTGTTAACATTTGCACTGAGTATGCAAAAGCAATGGTGGGCAAAAGCGCTGGCACATGGCAAGAATCAAGTAGTGGCCCCTACTGTCAACACGGACTCCCTGACGAGGCAGTGAAGGTACTGATTTTACTGATCACCGAGGTTAGTACTTTAATACTCGTGTGACAAAATGGAAAGAACATTTTGTGTGCTGTTACATTCCAGAGAATAATGATTTGTCTCCACCAGGAAAAGTGTCTGTGAATGAACTGCAAGCTAAACTAGTTGCTGTCTTCATAGCCCCTAGTTTAGTTTTTAAAGACAGTACAATCAGTGAGTTGTCTAATGTTAGGTATTTGGCAGGTGTTCCCTCAGATGTGAAGCCAGCCTGAAACTAGACTGCCAGACACTGACATCCAGCCACGGCTCCACTTCAGGGCCGCACAGACCTGTAGAAATGGTGCGACTTCAGCAGCTCCACAGCTTCGTACACCTTATGGATGGAAAGCAGGTGAGAGGCAGCCTTGACATACTGGTCCTGGAAACACAGCTGTTTGGCAAAGGCTTCCACGGCCCACAGCCACACGTGGTAGCCAGCTGAAAAAAGAATGAAAGGTGGCTTACAAAAATAAACGTGAAACAAAAGCAGGTTTCGGGGGAAGGAAGCGGGTACATCTGCGTTTAAAACATCTCATTCCAGAGTCCCTGCGTTAACCAGTGCCTTTGAGTACTAACTGAGCTGCCACTGAATATCATCTTCATTTCTCTTCCATGCACCGTGAAACATAAATTGTTTCCACGCTTATGTAAGTACAAAACACAGAAGGGATGGACCTCAGGAAAGCAGCTACACTTGCTGGGGCAGGCCAACTGGAAGAGAGCAGGAGGGGAGACTCTGGGGCGAGGAATGGTTTATGTATACACATGGGTCTGTGAGGGGATGTAGGTGTGCGGGTATGTACACATTTAAAAAAATAAGAATGTGGACCAAATTCTTGATTTAGGAGGAAGAGAAAATGGGCACTCCCACTTTAGTAGAGCTAGAGATGGCACTTCTAGTTTGAGGTGCTGGTCACACCATGTACTCAGTTTTGGAATTCACCGTACACTCACGATCCCTGCCCTTCCCTCTATTTAAGCACATGTGATTAAAAAGGTAAAAAGAAAACTGGGCACAGCATCAAAGGCTTCCCTGTTATCTTGGTACCTTCCTCCCATACCTCACCCAAATGCCTTTTCTTCTGGGCAGCAGTCACTGCCGGTTCCTTTGACCCCTTTGGGAGTAGTCTAAGACTACACAACCACATCTCTGGAAGTACAAGTGCTGGCTATTCTGCCGTCCCCGCGCAATTTCTCACCAGCTCTGTCTGCTCAGGAGGTGCAGAGCTGCCTCCCTCTGCGTATGGTCTGGGCAGATATGATTAAAGCAGTCTGTTGTGGATGGACAGGAGGTCTTGGAAGTTTTGCTACTGCAATACAGCTTCCATGCAAGTCCATGTATATTTCTCACTCTGTATGGCCGAGTACAGTCAGATAAATTCTTATAAATAGGATTGGTGAGCCAAGGCTTATGTGCATTTTAGAACTGATCAGAGAATGGTGAAATATCCTTCAAGATGTCCTCGGCTGCCTGTTCTGATGCAGCCTGACCCTTAGAGGCTCCCATGCGGGAGGCTCAGTCTCCTGTGAGGCAGGTTCAGGGAGCTGTGATGGAGACCTTAATGAAGCAGCTCAAGCAGGATTTGGAATTTATCAACTGGCCTGCATTTACTCAGCAGTCTATCCCAGGGCAGGCGACTCACTCAAAAAGTGGTGGCTGGGATGCAGCAAAATCAGACCCTCCACACTAACACTCACAGTTGAGGCCTGTACTGTTCCGCGACACTGAACCACGTTGGAGGGCAGACAAAGCCACAGCTGAGGACACCTGGCTCTCACTGCAATTCTTAAGACAGCAGCTGCAGCCATTTGGCTGAGCTGTGAATGTCAGCCCTGGAGACAGGACAGTTCTCTTAACTGGCAAGACTTACTGCTCGGAGAAGTCTCAGATCTCTACGTCCCAAGGCCCTGCTCAGTTTCTTGCCGTTACTGCAGCTATCCCTTTCCTTTGTTTGAAAATGGGTACGCCAGAAGTCTTCGCCTCAGCTCCTATAGAGTTTTGACCTTCCTGGACCCCACAAACCATAACTGTACTTGTCTTTTTCCCTCCTTTTCCATAAGCTTAAGAGCCTGACCAGCCCCTCTCAGAGGGGCCCCTCAGGAAGGGTTCCTGCAAGACTGGGCATTATAAAACAGCGAGCCCTGGGCTGGCTGGGCATGCAGCTCATGTAGTGTATGCCTGACATGCAACGGGCCCGGTTTCATCCCCAGGGAAGGAGGGAGCAGCCTGGACCCTCCCTGGTCTCTGGCTTCAGGATAGCACTCGGCTCATGAACCACCATGAGCTGAGTAAAACCCCCTCTCACAAAGTATCCAACTTTGGGTAATCTGTTACAGTGGCAGAGAACAGACCGATCCACCACTAAGCATGCTTTAGCGCCAGTGGGCAAGGGTCTTGCCTTCCTGTCACTCACAGTGACTCTAAGCTTAGGGCCAGTGTGTTATGAGCTGTCATCAGTGCGTGCATCCTACAGGCAGCAGTACATGTGCTGAAAAGGACGTACCGACTGGGGCCATCGCCACAAGATTGTCTGTCAGCTCCCCTCTTTCAGCTGCGGTCTGCAGAACACCTTGCAGGTCTCCTTTCCAAAGCATGAGCTGGTGGAATAACTCTGGGTGGCCATTTTCTAGATGACCTTTTCCTGTGTGGGAGAAAATGTGTAAAAGACACCTCAGGAAAGTCTGTCTTTGTTAGAAAAGGGCAGAGTGAAAGAGAGAAACTGAGCAGTCATCGTTGGGTTTGTCCCCTACCAGGGCGACTGGCTGTGATGGGGCCTGGAGCCCCTGGTCACCTGCCTACCTCCCCACCCTCCCTTGCTCCCAGGCATCAGAGTGGGTAGAGGAAGTCAGGACCACATGGGCGCGCACACTGCTGCCTCACCTTCCGTCTCGATCATCCTGTAGAGGGTGTCCCTGTCCGTGAAGAGCCCCAAGTGAAATCTGTCTTCAAGATCAGCAGACAAGTCCTTATTTAACTCTGTTAGTTTACAATGACACAAAACCACACAAAAATCAGGTGACATCATTACACAGTTGAGTGTTTTTGTCCAGTGACTTCTGACCGCACTGCCAAGGGTCACTTCAGCTACCGTTATCAGCTGTGTGCCCTTTTAACCCTCATGGAGACCCTGCAGTTCACAAAGGCCTCAGCGAGGGCAAATCCAGTGAGACAGCACAGACCATAGTGTGGTTATACACTAGAACGATCTGAGGGAAGACATGTGAAAAGTGCACCTGAATTCCAACGTGTATTTAAATACTGCAGATCAACGAACAAAACAAAATTAAAAAGAATGTTCTTAGCATTCATTGGGACTTACCAGAAAGGGAATTCAGTTATTTATTTTCTGCTTTTAAAAGTCAATTTCTTACAAAAAAACTTTTTAGTACACATCTGCAGTACATGATGACTGTATTCATCACGGAGTCTTGGTATTTATGTGTAACACATCTTACTTCGTTTTCTGTCCTGTTCCCTTCCCCTCCCTACTGGCTTGCTCCATCTCTTGGTCACCTTCCCTTACACTGAAGATCTACCTTCCTGTTTCCTGTCTTATTTAATTTATTTGTATTTTGGGTTTCTTATATAAGAGAAATCATGCCACACTTAAGCTTGTGTTTCTGCTTTGTTTCACTTAAACATGATAGTCTCAATACATCAAATGACTCAAGTCTTTCCTCCTTTATGGCACAGTAGTACTCAGCTGTGCATAAACGGCACACTCTCCTTATCCGTTCCATGTATGTGCAGGGGTGCAGCTGGGGAGCAAAGGCTGGAGAAGCATGCCAAAATACAGATGTTTTAGACATTTAGACATCTGCTCGTTCATCTACCGAACAAGCAAGTGTGCCCTGCACACCTAGAAGTGCACGGATGGGCCCAGAGATGAGCGCTGTACCTGTGGCGTGTTTTGCAGTTGCTAGAACCAAGCAGTCATGATGGAGCTCCTCTTTGGACCTGTGGTCCAGGCTTGTACTCAGAGGGAGCATGGAGCGAGCTTTTCTCTTCTTCATTAAGGCTTCTGAAATGTGATCAAAGTTGAGTTTATCGGAAAAGCAGCAGGTCAGAAACAAAAGGGAAGGAACGGCTGGGACTGCATCGCCCAGAGGACCCCTCCTGCCCCCTGCCCTGGCACACAAATGCCTCCTCCTATGGGGTCACACTGCTTCACCGTGCCATGTTCCCCTTGTGCATGGCACAGCCGGCCAACAGCTGCGAATTTAGTATCAACCACAGACACTGCAGCATTAAAGATAGTTTTGAAGGCAAGACCCAAAACAGACACACTTGCAATACCCGCCCCCCTCCACACCTAGAATACCATGACACTCCTGCGTTCTCACAGAAATGTAGTATTTTAGGATGGCTACCCAAAACATTTTAATCATTAGGTACTGACCTGGCTTCTCTTTAGGTGGCTCCTTTTTCAGTACAGTGATTTTATTGTTGTTAATAATCGCTTTTGATTTTTCACAGCTTGATGAAATCTGAGTGTAGACAACTGGTTCTTTAGGGATTAGGAGAGAAAAGGGAAAGAAAAAAGTTTGGGATAAGAATCAATACAGAATGTAGTTCTTTTTAAAAATTCACAGCTTTACCAGGCCCAGCAAAGCAATTTTTGTCTGCTGCCAAAACATGCTCTGGAAAGGAAGTGAGGGTGGCGCCCCCTCCCCTGCCATGGTAGGTGGCTGTGTTGCGGGAATCTCTTAGTGGGCGAACTGTGACTAGGGTAGAGTAAGCTTCTGGCTTTCCTCAGCTGAATTTATGCCACAGGCCTTGGAAGCTCCACTGTCCACTTGGGTGACAAGGGACACATTTAGTCATGTACTAATAACTGCAATTTATCCAAATAAGGAATAACTTTATTAAAAGAGCATTAAATATATGTGATACAGGGCTGGGGATTTTAGCTCAGTGGCGTAAGTGCCTGCCTTGCAAGCGTGCCGTTGTGAGTTCGATCCCCAGTACCGATAAAAAAAAAAAAAAAAAAAACAAAAAAACAAAAAAAAAAAACATATATACATATGTGATACACAGCCACAATCTGAAGCACTCAAACTTCTTACATTTCTTTTAAACAAGCTGCTGGTCTACAGGTATAAAGGACATTTTCTTTTTTTCTTTATCGGTACCAGGGATCGAACTCATGAGTGTGCGCTTGGAAGGCAGGCGCTTTATGCCACTGAAGTAAATCCCCAGCCCCGTAAAGGACATTTTCATGCAGTCGTTTTGTGACACAAAGGCATGTTAATTAAGAGAAATAAGCTTTTAGCTCTTTATTTACCAGAACTGTGGTTCCAATGGCATCCTTGCGAGAGGGCTGGGAGTACCACTGTCATATATTTTGGCATTTTATTTATTTATTTTTTGTTTTTTTGAGACAAGCTCTCACTATGCAGTTCATGCTGGCCTGGACCTCTTTGTAGCCCAGGCTGGTCTCGAACTCATGACGATCCTCCTGCCTCAGCCTCCTGAGTGCTGAGGTTACAGGCGTGCATCACCACACCTGGCCTCTTTGACTATTCTGCTATACCAAAACGTTACTTTGGAATTAAACATAAATAATATCTTTTATACTGTTAGCTATTTAACCACTCCTTTTGTAGGTAACAGATACAAGATATTTACAATGGCTGGTCAAAATAGATGGTAAATGTTTCTGAGACAGGGACTCACTATGTAGTTCAGGCTGGCCTTCAATTCACTATATCGTCCAGGCTGGCCTTGAACTCATGTTCCTCCTGCCTCAGCCTGTTTAGTGCTAAGGTTATAAGCATGCACCACCATGCCTAGCTGAGGCCAGGCATTTGTAAGGAACAATGGTTTCTTTCAATAGACATGGATGACAAAATTAAAACTTTTTTCCATGTAAGAGCTATGCACAGACTACCCTACGTTTACCTTTCCTCATAGTCTTAGCCTGTCCCACTGATTAACAAGCTTTCTCCACAGAACTTCACTATTTTCATCCCAATCATCCAGAAGATCTCAATGCTTCAAAGATATTTAGAGATTGGATACAGATTTAAAAAAAAATACTGCACTCCTGAAGGCACTGGAGATGGTGCGTACCTACAGGAAGATGTTGGGGAGTTAAGTGGGTCAGAAGCAGGGAGTTTTAAACTGAGCGGTCTGGGGGACCATGCACGTACCCACGGGGGTGAGCTCACAGGGCATCTCCAGCTCCTGCGCCTCCTCCTCACACTCTGGGTCTGACACCCCGTTCTCCACGGGCACCGCATTCTCCTTTGTGTTCTCCTCTTCATTTCCCTCAAACGACTCTTGTTTGACAGGAACTTGTGAAGTAGGCTTTTTCTTCTTTTTGGGCTTTGGCTTGGGTTGAGAGAGCCGTTTTTTCTCTAATTCAATACCTTTTTTGCCTACAAAATTCACAATAAAAAAGCACAGACTAACACACAGAGTCCTGGCTGAAAGCAGCCTAAGTAGCACTCCCAGGGTAACACTGTTCCCTGTGTTACTTGCTTTGACAGCCTTCCTAATCTTCCCCTTCTGTACACATGCCTAGGACCTCTCCACTCAGCTACACGTGCTTTCTCTCTCTTTTTTTTTTTTTTGTCTTTTTCGTTTTTATCAGTACCAGGGATCAAACTCACGACTGCCTGCTTACAAGGCAGGCGCTTATGCTGCTGAGCTAAATCCCCAGCCCCATGTGCTTTCTCTTTTAAGCCAGGTCTCACGATGACATCACCACACTGCCTAGGCTGGCCTCCAGCTCAGGGTGCTGGGATTCCAGGCACTGCCACTCCTGTCTATTCCCAGCCATTTCCGGTTTTGTTACTGTAATGCTGAACAAGCCCTTTAGGGATTTCACTAACTCGTGAATAAGATGTCCAATTACCCCTGAATACCTGAGTGTGCACATTATAGATAAGACAGTGTCTACATCACAGTACAACCAGCAAGCCAGGACACTAACAGACACCTTGCTACCATCTACTAACGCAGAACCAATGGTGTTTCATAGTTAAAGGAATTGTTCAAGATCTCACTTTGTAACTGGTGGTCATGCCTCTCTTTCCTTTAGCCTGTGCAGTTATCCTGATTTTCCTGACTTTATGACTTGAAGCATACGGAAAAGTTACTTTGTCAAGTTTCACCTCAATTTGGGTCTGCTTGATGTTTCTCCTCAGATTTAGTTTGTGCACTTTTTTTTTACTTTTTTGAGACAGGGTCTCACTATGTCGCTCAGGCCAGGCTCTAACTCACCATGTAGCATAGGAGGGCCTTGAACTCATGGCAGTCCTCCTGCCTCAGCTTCCCAAGTGCTGGGATTACAGGCGTTGGCATCACATCTGGCTAGCCTGTGCCTTTTCAGCTGTAGTACACACCCAGAAATGATGCTGTTCATCTCAATGCAACCTATGGGGAGCTTGCAATTTTGAAATGTCCCACTGCTTGGTTTACTTTAATCACTTAAAGTATTAAAGTAGAAAAAGTATTTCTACTGCTTACGAGTTCACTTTCAGACAGTGCTACTTTCTGTGGGAGAAGTACATACCATCCTATATCCTGAGAGGAAAGGCACTTCTACATGAGTGATTCTGAATGGGCTTCTGTACCACCATGCACTCTGTGCCCACTGGCTGTGTCTCCTGAACTGTTTGTGTAGGCCCTTCCCTTCTGGCTTAAGCTGCTGCTCCCTAGCTCAAAGAGCCCCGGGTATTTCAGTGAATAGATGGCATTTGGGAACCCAGACCTGCGAGGCAGACTCACAAATATTTGGCAGTGGTGGTCACAGTCCTTCAAGGCTGCCACTTTGTTTACGGAGCAGACCCCTGCCCTGCTGATGCACAGTGACTAAGGAGAGGGGAGTTAGGAGCACGACAACTTCTGGGCTTCGTGTTCTGACCAACCTTGGGGAGGCCGGGAGTGATCCTGTGCAGAAGGTAGCCATCTGTACACGCAGAAGTCATCTGCTCCCGAGTAGATGCACTCTGGTTCCAACGGGGACCACACCACACACAGCAGCCGGCCTCGGTGTCCTCGGAAATTGTGCAGAGGCTGCTCACGGAGGGTGTCCCACACCTGAAACCAACAACCCATGGTAGAACAATTTCTGGTTAAGCTGTTGTTTGAAGTGGGGAGTACAAATTGCTCCTTTGAAAAAAATCAACAGGTTAGTTTCTCATCTGATTGTAACTTTTCGCTTAAGACTTCAGTTTTGGGGGTGAGGCCTATGCCTATAATCCTAGCACTTGGGAGGCTGAGACAGGAGGATTGCAACCAACCTGGGCTACCTAGTGAATTCAAGACTAGCCTGAACGACATAGCCAGACCCTGTCTCAAAAAAACCAAAACAAAGAGGGTTCAGTTTCAGACAGTATTGTTTCCTGTAGGAGGGTAGGTGTCTGGCTACACAGGCATTCCTGTGGGGGTGATTTGCAGTGAAGTAATGCCTGCAAAGTGTACTGTGTCAGACCAGAACTGTGTTAGTATTTGGCCTGAGGGCTCTGATATCATGAAGGATATAACTCACACCTAATTCAGAAATTAAGAGTTCCAGTTTCTCACAGGTAACTACTTCTTTCGTCTCCAAAGTCCCTAGACAAATGATTACTTTCTTTGCTATTTCTTGAAGTATTCTGGGGTCCATCTTGGAGAAGGCAGCCTTCCTCACTGCTCTAAGCTTTTGTACAGGGGCCTTAGTGACAACAGTGAGACCCGCGCCTCACAGGGTGTGTGCATTCCATGGCTGCTCAGGTCTGTCTGGCTCTACTTCATGGCTTCTACTTCAGTGCCAGAACTTCTCCTTTACAGCCCTGGTTTGCCATTTCATCTTAATCTTTCAAATGTGGAGACTGCTGACTAATTTACCAATTTGTTATTACAAATTGTTTCTGTTATAAGTCAGTATTTCTGTGTTTGAACAAGAGAACTTCTCACAACAGTTGATTCTACCATATGGTATTAAGTCAGAAGGAGTAATACTTTGCCTTTCATCTAAAAGCTCAAACTTGACCAGATAAAACTAAAATGCCTTCTAGAGCTCATATAACGACTTTCTATAGAAGATAACTGGTAAAATCGTCTATAGGTTGAGGGGAGGATATCCGTTAAGTACACAGCAAAGGAGCCTCAAGGGCAAGGACACATGACGGTACCTGGGCTGTCCCATCATAGGATGCAGACACCAGGATTCCATCGTGATGCGGGCTCCATGCCAGGCAGGTGATCTTGGCAGTATGTCCTGAGAGCGTGCGGAAGGGCTCAGTGATGGTCACTGGAGACTCAGAACTGCTCTCTAAGATGTAGGGGGAAACACAAGAGATCAACAGATACAGACAGGAAAGGGTCAGCTGACAGGAGCCACGGTCTGTCAGATGTGGGCGATGCTGAGGGCAGCGGTGCTGTGCACCCTCTGACCCACAGCCTTAACTCAGGACGTGGCAGCTGTCATTTTTTCTAAAAGCCAATGAAATGAAAATAATGCCTACTGTGTCTGACAAGAAGGATCTAGCCTCACTCAAATGCTGTTCTAGGTAAAAATGCACAATCTAAAGCTGATCATGAGAAAATATGTGGGCATATCTTCAAACAACTGCTCTGCATTCATCAAATATGATAAAACATGACAATTTACTGACCCTTGGAAAGGGCAGATGGAAGTTCTTTGTACTATTCTCAAAACTTTCTAAGTGTGAGTCTGAGTTATTTCAAGAAAAAGAAAGTAAAAATAGTATGACACAGTGCTGGGCGTGTACACCTGTGATACCAGCCCTTGGAAGGCCGAGGTAGGAGGCATTTCAGGGCAGCATGGGCTACACAGCAAGACCCCATCTCAAAAAAGCCAGAAAAAAACCCAGGCAACCAACCAACCAACCAAGCAAACTAAAGAACCAAACTAGGGCCAGACATGGTGGTGCATGCCTATAATCTCAGCACTTTGGAAACTGTGGCAGGAGGATTGCTATGAGTTGGAGACCATTCTAGATTGTACAGTGAGTTCAAGGCCAGCCTGAACTACATAGTAAGACTCTGCCTCAAAACACAAAACACAAATTCACATTCATGAAGACATATTTTCAATGTGACTCATAGTAATAGTCCTTAAATTGTAAAAATGCAAATAATTTAAATGTTAACTGTGGAATGGATAATCATGTCCTTATAATGGAACAGATATCTGTTAATAGCAGTAACATCCTCATATGTTGATATAAAACGATAGCCTATATATATTTTAAAGAATAATTTTAAATGATATAGTATACATATATAGAGAGAATTTCCCCCCATTCTGGGGATTGAACTCAGAGCTAACCAAATTGCTTTGGTTTGTGTCTAGGTGGCCTCCTAAGCTTCATGTAGTCATGGAGGCAGTTGAATCTAGAGTTTGTGATTGGTTCATTGTCTAGTGGTGGGATTGGTGGTGTGAGTGCTGCTCCTGCCCAGGGGCAGAGCCGGCATACAATATATGGGAGGGAAGAAAGCATGTTTCTCCCTACCTCTTGCTCTCTGGGTATTGTCACTTGTGGCTGGAGCCAGCTGAGTATGTATTGAAACCTCCAAAAACTATAAGAAACAAACCTTTTCTTCTTTCATTTTGGCATCATGTATTTTGCCTCAGTAACAAGAGAAAAGTAACCAAGACATAAACGCTCGTTGGTACTGTATTATATTCCCCAGACTCGGCAGTGTTTTTCCTTAACTATACACAGAAGCTGTTCTTTCACACTGGTACATAGGAACGCAAATACATTTATACGGATCATTACTGAGAGAGGGTTGGTGTTATGGAATGAACTTTTTTTGTACTGGGAATTGAACACAGGGCCTTGTGCTTGCCAGGCAGGCATTGTGCTGCTGAGCTATATTCCTGATTTTCTTTCTTTCCTGCCCCGGAGATGGGACCTTGGCCTTCAGCACTGACATATACCTTCAGCCCTTTTTACAAAATTTGAGACAGGATCTTGCTAAGTTGTCCAGGATGGGTTCAGAGTTGTGATTCATCTGTCTCAGCCTGCCAGAGTGCTGGAATTTTAGGCGTGCACCAACCATTCCCAGCTGGAAGCTTCATTTTCTCAATCAACACTTTTCTTACAAAGTTCACAGTGGAAAGTGGACGAGCACACGACAGCATCCCCAGGTCGGGGGACGCAGTTACCTAGCACAGTTTTCAGGTTGTGCACGTAGATGACCGCATTGTTGGAGCCAGAGGCCAGGAGATAGCTCAGCTCTGGCTGGCTGCCGTGCTCGTGGTGCCAGCTCATGGTGTTCAGAAGCTTGTGATGTTGCTGGATGGTGCACATCAGTTTCAGGTTGGGAACCTGAAATATCTCTATTGATCTGGAATGAGAAATACATGAAGACAAGAAAGCTGCATGATCAAACTGTAGTCTCATGCAAACACATATATCCCCCTGCCTGTGTCAGCCAGGAAAGGTGAAATGGAATAGGACAACCCCGCAATCACTGAAATGGTCCTGGTCTTATAAAGAGGCAGGTGCAAAAGAAATAAGTACATTCAGCTTTAAAACATTCCAACAATCTCTGGAAAATGGTGTTGAGTAGGCATTCGCAATAAATGTTATGAAGGATAAACAGAGAGAATCAATGAAGCATGCCTGAATGACGACTATGTTACTATGATTACCACCAAATAGGACATAGGAAGGCCGGATAAGGATTTCTGCCTAGGATAACATTTAAGAAAATGGAGATATAGGCAGTTTGACATAGGATGAGAACCTTTTGTGAATCATCAAACAGCCAAAATTTTTGACAGTGTAGCCAGATACTATCTCTGCACTGAAAATATCCAAATAATTCTGCAATTTTCAAAAATGCTGTGTGCTCCTGAATCAATTGAGGACTTCAAGGATAAATCAGAACATCAAATACAATAGGGCTTCCTTCCCCAGCTAACATTACAGATGGCACTGGCCAGCTCATGATAAAAAATATGTGCAATTACAATTTTTTCTTTTTTAAAGAAACAAATGCATACCCGTCTTCATTGCCAAGAGCCATGAATTTGCCATCTGCTTTCCAGCTGATGTCTGTGTGCACAGGCAGTTTGTACTAGAAAGCAAAACAAACCAGTGCTGACTGTAAACAATGTTCTTTTCTCCACACATTTCACAAGTCCATGACAGCATGAGAAAAAGTCTAATTACACAAAACCATCCTTCTTTAAGCTTCATCATGAGTCAAAGAATTATGAGAACAAGTTTTAATTTCCTAAATGGGACAGAGTGAGGCCAAGAACTGTCTTCAGTGTTTTACCTTATGAAATAGACTTTTAAAAAATTTTTGTTTTTTTGACACAGGGTCTCACTATGCAGTTCAGGCTGGCCTTGAGTTCGCTTTCTAACCCAGGCTGGTCTTGAATTTGCAGTGATCCTCATGCCTCAATCTCCCAAGTGCTGAGACTTCAGGCATGCACCACCATGCCCAGCTCTATGAAATACACTTAAAAGGATATTTTCTCACTGAATGAACCATGCCCAGTGGTCTTGGCAGTATGGGTTTTACTTTCCATAATAAAATTTATACCCTTATTTTCTTCCTTTCCTTTCAGTTTCTTTTCCTGAATTACTTCCCACACCAAGACTATCTGGATCCTCTTGTTTTATTAGTTTCTTTAGCCCATCTCCCTTGTACATACCCACATCTTCTTTATCTTTCATTTATAAGAAAGGAATCCAATTTTCTATGTCCACCCAGCCTCCTGATACATGAGCTTCTGATCCATATTATCAGCTGCCACTAAGCTAAAAGCCTGTTAGAAATTTAAGGGGCAGCCTACTTGGGATCCCTTCTGTCTCTCAGACAGAAGCTTTCTTTCTCTCAATAAATATATTCTGCTCTTAAAAACAAACAAAAAATTCAAGGTAATAAAAGAATATAACCAATAAATATAATTTATGGTTAAGAATTCTTTTTGTGTTAGCCATACAAAAATAATGAGATGGGAAAATCAGCTCATTTGCAAAGGTTGGGTAATTGCCATATTTATGGTGTGACCCTAAAAAAACGAGTTTTGGTAGCTAAATATGTGGACAGAATGTCACAGCAAATGTCATTAAATATGGGAATCTGGGTAAAGGACCGAAGAGGACCACCTGTATTATTTTTGTGGCTTTTGTAAATCTGAAATTATTGTCTATAAAAACAAAATGACAGTTCTGTTATGAGCCAAAGGAGCTGCACATGGCTAAAGGGTCAGCCTGCAAGGCTGGGTTAGTTCACAGCATCACCAAGCACGTTACAACCGAGGCCCCTCTGCGCACTTCTGGGGCAAGTTCCCTGTTTCATTCAAGGACAAAGTCTCCTAAAATACAGGTTAAAACCCACAAATTGGCTCATACCCTTTAGCAACATCTTAGAAACCTGACTTAGCAAATGGCTGTCTTTAAGAACGATGTTTAGTGTGTAAATCAGAAATGCGCGGCAACAAGAGGAGACTTCAGACACAGGAACTCACCTTGACCGCATTGGTGTCCCGTATGAGTTTGTTGATGTCGAAGGCCTCGCCACTGAACCTCCAGGGATGGTGCTGGAGGACAATGCCTTCCCCTCCACAGCTGTATAGAGTGAAGGAAGGTCTGTCTCCTTCTCCTTCTAGGTAAGGTAAGAAAGCTGCTCAGTTTTGTGCTGTCATATACAGCTTAATTGTTATGACAGTTGGGGTCATACTATGAGAATTAAGAATGAAAAAGAATCACACTTTTGAAACATTCAAATGCAAAGAATAGAGTCATTGTTCTTTCTATCTGAACATGATTGTCGGGAAGAGTAGAAAAGGTATACCAGTTCTGTGTTAATCTCTGCGATGTAATGTATTACTTTAAATACTGACATTCAAAATAGTAGTGGCATCAAAGCTAGGATCAGAGAGCAAACATATGTTCTTAATCATTTAATAAATATTCAGGAAGATCTGTTACTTTGGAGAGAAAACCATGAAGACAAAGCTGATGGACTAGGAAAGGGAAAAGGCAGAATGTAGTCATCAAAAGCCAGGCCCCAGCATGAAATAACAGTACAGTGAAATTTTCAGCTTGGAAAAAGAATTATGCTGTAGAGTTTGAAGAAATTTATGCATAAATCGTTTCTCTCAGAAATACCAATTTATCATGTACCACTGCTGCTCTCATGGAGCCCTGGGGACATGGCAGACAACATAGATGGGTCTCTGTACTGTAACATTTATGATTCTTCCCACCTTCTATGTTCTAGGGCTAAAAAGAAAGGGAACCCTACCATAGTTGTAAGAGAATGGCTTAGAAACTTACCGAGTGACATGGGGGGTACTGGTGGCCCCCAAGCTAGTGTGTACACAGTCTTCTTATGATATGTGCTTGAAATCTGTGGAGGTCTTCAGGGGAGGGGTAGAGAATAAGTTTAAATAAAAAGTCACAGTGGAAAATAGAACACCTTTTTCTAAAAGGTCTTTAGTTGCTGCTCTTAGACATAAAGAATCTAATAGTAATCTAACTTCTCCAAATAGTTCATTGTAAAAAAGCAAACACTTAGATATAATTTCCATACCTAAACACCTAAGCCTGAACATGCTCTATAAAAGTACTCCTATCTACCTGGCCTGGATGGAATGCTTCCTGTCTCTCTTCTGAACTGCCCACTTTAACTGAACCAAGTTATCTAATATTACTGTAGTTAGAAGGGTAAAGGTGATCACAGTTACAGAAAACTGGGCCACTTTTTCAGTATGTCAAGACAGGATAATGGAAATTATTCAGATTAGTGTTAAGGTTATTGCCCTGTACATGGTAATCACTACCCAAATGTTTTTACCCTTTGTTCAAGTTACAAAACAGGAGTTATCTTAGACTTATTCTGTGCCACTAACATCACATTATTAAAATTTGACAAGATTTCAGGGCATACAGAGTAAAAGTTTTTGACTGTCTTCTTAAGGAAGACTTGCTCTTGAGTGTTTCTGCAGGTTTTCTGGTTATAAGGATGTGTGTCAGTAAAGAATCCTTGAGTGCGGGAAGGGGGATGGTACCACTTATTAATTTTAATATAAATTATATTCTTTGTATGATTTTACTTTATTTTTCTAGACAGGGTCTGACCTTGCTATGTAGTCCAGCCTTAAAACCTGGGGCAAGGCTCCTGCCTCAACCCACCAAGTGCTGGGATTACAGGTACGTACCACCTCACCTTATACTTTGTATGATTATTGTTTTTTCTTTTTTGATTTTTAGAGCTCCTGTAACCTATAGCTGAGCTTGGAGTAGAGTTACCTATTTGCAGATACAGACAAATTGGTTGTGATCATTTTAGAAAATGGACCAAAATAACTTGGCTAAGACATAAACAAAAGCAGCCATTCTGGCTGAATGCCTAACAACATGAGTATAGCAATTTACCTTGACGTAACTTTTCTAGTTATTTGAATATTCACTTATAATAATCGTCACACTAACAGAACTAGTTAATTCTGTTACAAAGGCTATTTAAATCGGTTTATATTGTTAAGTAGTGTATTAATTAAAAAAGGAGAAACACTGTCCACCGGATGTGGGTTCTTTATGAGCGCTCAAAGCACTGCCTATGGAAAGGAGAGTGGTAGGGCGGTGGGACAGGCACCTTGTGTAAAGGAATAGCAGCAAAGTCAGCTGTGGGAGCCAGGTGGTCTCTGCCGTAGCTGCTGTGCTCTGCTGGGCCAGACACTATGTGGCTGTCTTCTAAGAAATGTTACTTTTGGACACTGAACTCTGAATTGTGCAAGGTAAGTGCATCCTTAACTCCGAGGGTGAGTTCCCCACCACTGTCCAGAACAGCTGTCCCTGAAGCAGCCTGGCTGCATGCGTGTGGCTCACGGAACTGAGGAAGTGTTTTTCTGATTGCATTTAGTTTTAACTAAACCATGTGCAACTGTTGGCTACAGAACTGAGAATGGCCCACTTATGGACAGATAGCAGGAGTCATATATGTTTTTTTTTTGTCTTTTTCGTTTTTATCGGTACCGGGGATCGAACTCACGACTGCCTGCTTGCAAGGCAGGGGCTTATGCCGCTGAACTAAATCCCCAGCCCCATATATATGCTTTCTTACAGTCACAGTACATGTAAGAAATGAGTAAGAAATATAAATGAAAGAAACAAGTGGGGTTTCATTTATTAATATATTTTATCTGAGTATACTGAAGTATTTAAAATGTAATTAAAATAATTACTAATAAGATATTTTCTTTTTTGGTTTTTTGAGATAGGGTCTTGCCTTGTATTTCAGACTGGCCTTGCTTTCTTGTTAGTTCTCCTGCCTCAGTGTCCCCAAAACTGTGATTACAAGTGTGCACTGCCATGCCCAGCTTTCTGCTTTTTAGTACTAAGAAGTTAGTGTATTTTACATCTGTAACATACCTCAGCTTGGATTCACTACCTTGCTAGTGCTCTCTGGTATCTAAGAACTATTGTAATGGGCAAGGTAGCTCAAGGCATAACTTGCAGTTGATAGGAAATATATGGACTAGGAAAAACAAATTAGAAGTCACTACAAGGAAATAAAGAAGTCAATAAAGGGAAATATAGATATTCCAACCTACATGTTTAATGACTCTTTGGACTTATGACCAAGGCGCACTGTTCAGATTTTTTTGGTACAATTTTGTACATCTCATTTATAAAGCTTCAGTGTCTTTTTTTTTGGGGCGGGGGGTACAGTATATCTTGTTTATATAGTACAGTAGTGTTTGCTGATTGTACTCTATAGTATTATAGGTTTATATTCTCTTATACATTGCATTATACATTATGGAGTACAAGTTATGCAAATAAAAGCAAAGTCATCAAGCTGGAGTTTCAGTTGACAAACTTTGTTCTGAATATTGTCATGTATATACTAAACATAATTATTTAGTGAACAATTCATTTAATGATCTAGTCACAGGAACCCAGTCATTAAGTAAGGAATGTCTGTAATCAGAAGAGTGCAAGGTGTGGAACAGTTTATAAAAGTATTTATCTAGAGTTTTCAAAGAGAAAAGGCAATATTCTAGAAAGGCAACAAGTAGGGGCAGAGTTTTAGAGTAAGAAAGAATAAAGAGACATGACAAAATGCAATGTATGAAACCTAGTGAAAAAGTCTGGAAGGAAAAAAACCTAAGACATTAGCTTAGCTGGGGATATCTGTATATATACTGATACATATACATGACAGTTTATAATATGATAACACTACACGAATATGATGAAGTTACTGTTAATTTCTTAAGTGTCACTAGGGTACTATTGTTACACAGGAGAAAGTCCTTACTCTTACAACTGCAAAGGAGAAGTATCAGGATGTGTGCAACTTTGTTTCACAGGAAACACAGACACACAGATACAAATTGAATGTAAAGGCAAAATGTTATGGGCACACAGCAGTTTACACTTGTCTTTCAACTTTCATGTATGCCTAAAAACTTCTGTAAAAACAAAAGCAAATGGTGTATACTAGTGGCTTCCAAATGTGATAGGCTGAATCACTATCACCTAACAAGAAATTTTAATTAAATTCTGAGTTCTGAACCTCAGTATTGGAACTAGAGTATTATTCTAAAAAAATAATGCTGTTTTGAGGTGCATCTAGGTTTATGAATTCGAAATGAAATCTATCACTGACATTGGGCGAAGAGACTGAAAAAATGAGTTGCATTTCTTACTTGTTGGAGTAGGTGTCGTACAGTCCCACTTTTCCGTCATCAGTTCCGAAAGCTAAGCAGTGTTCCTTCTTTGGGTGCCAGCATAGCTATAAGAAGTTTCCAAATAGGAATTTAGAAGAAAAGCGGCACTCAAAAAAAAAGGGGGGGGGGCACTCATTTAAGGGAATCATTATGTTAATCTTTAAATGTTCAAACAGCAAACATTTTTGCTCTTTCCTTTAATTCTCAATGCGTAAAAGAGAAGCGTTTAAAAACAAAACTAAAGTTACTTGTAACTCATCATCCAAAAGCTCTGTATTTTTGTATCTCTGTTTTCTGAATTTTGTTGGAATAAACTTAAGATATACACAACAGAAAAAAGTAAGTTCGAACACTTCAATGAAGTACGTGATATGTTGTAAGTTGGGGATAAAAGACTCTAGAACAACTTAGAAAATGTCACTCTATTAATAAATAAAATTTACTATGGAAATTGTAGTAATAATTTCTGGATTGCAGAAGTGGGGGTACTGGAGTAGACGGTGTGGTGGGGAAAATGATCGCTTTCTCAGACACTACTATTTGGTTTTCTTTTTACATCACAAACATTTACAGCTGTTAAACTAAATGGCTACAGTACAGGTATGATTTGTACTTTTTTTTTTTTTTTGTACCAGGGATTGAACCCACAACCTTGTGCTTGCCAGCAGGCTCTTAATGCCACTGAGCAAAATCCCCAGCCTCTATCATTTGTATTTGAAAAGAAAACAAAAAGCTGTACATGTTTTCCAATCTGTATTGTTTTATAATTTGCATTTTTATAACTTATCTTTCCACATCAAAAAAATCTACACTATCATTTTCAATAGATACTACCCCAACATGTGGCTGTACTATACTATTAAAATAATCTTCTATGAATACATATCAAGTTATTTCTAATTTTTTACTATTAGCAATCACAAAGCCTTAACTTTAAACTCTGAATTTGGGGATGATGGGTTTTGTTGGAGGGTCCTTCTACATTTCCTAGTTTCAAATTTCACTGCAAATACCCTTAAACAATAGAGTGCTAATTCAAGCAGATAATCTCTACAAAACAGTCATTTATTTGAAAAAAAAAAAAAAAAAAAAAAAAAAAAATCTTTAAGCAGCAGCCTTACCGCTGTAACCTTGGACTTGACTCCTTGCCAAAAATTTTTCACATCATAGTTGTTCTTCTGAGATGCTGTATTCCACACCCGGATCATGCCATCCCCAACACCGACAGCCAAATAGCCCGTATCCTCAGGAGAGAAGGCCAGGCTGTATGCAAACCCACCAAGGGAAGGCAGGGTCCAGCAGCACTCGAGCGTGGTCATGTCCCAACATTTTACCTGAAAAGATCAGGGTTAGGTCCTAAATACAGAAGAAAAAGCAGAGGAATCGGAAAAAACACTCCCGTATTTCAAATGGAGAAGCCTTAAAGACTGGGCAAGCATACTGTAACCTAACCATTCTAGTAGGAATTGGAAAAAGCATTCCTTAGAAAAAACACCAGTCATGAATTATCCATCTCAAAGGGATCCTGGAGTACATTTATTCCCAGACAAGTCTAAATTCAGCATCATACAATTAATAAACTAGAACCCTGACTTCTCATTTCCCAGAGGTCTGGGCACCCTATTACGTCTCCTTCCACCTCCTTGTTTAGTGAACCCTAAATAAGGATGAATTTGGCCTCAATGAATGGAAAAGCAGAAGAGCTGCTATCTAAAAAGTTTTTGAAGAGAAAAAAATCTATCAAATAAACCCAGCCTAGCTGCAAAGTGCAACACAGACTCTTAAATACAGTCAGTTCATACTTGGAGTGATTTTACCAAGAGCAGATGATTCTGTTGCCTAAAATACTGTGTAGGACAGTGATGGTCAACCTTAGAAACCAAGTGCCCAAACTGCAACCCAAAACTCATTTACTTATCACAACGTGCTAACACTGCAGTTGTACTTGAATACTACTGAAGTGTTTCTAAAAAAAAAAAAAAGACAACTCACACATTAACATGTTTGTCTTAAAAGAAAAACACATGTCACAGGTTTGCCCTCATTACAAAGGATAAACCAAAGCACAGTGAGTCCACACATTTTTGTGGACACATACACTCTGATGGTCTGCTTTAGCAAAACAGCATCTGATGAGCCCTCACATTTCCCCCCATCCAGGGCACTGTGGACATTTAGAGCTGATCGATAATAGCAACTCTGAGGATGGAAGTGGGGACAGCATGTAAGGACTGACAGCTTCAGTTCCATCCAATTGCACTACCAGGCAAAGGAAACCAAGTGGTTCTTACATCTCTATCCATTGATGTGGACAGGAGCAGCTGCTTCTCATCCTCAGTTTGCAAAGGACACAAATTAAAGACAATTCTGGAGTGATTCTGCCCTTCTGAAGCGCTAAAGAGGGTGTATTTCCGTCTCCAGGACTGGGTGAGATCCCATAGCAGCAGTTCACCTCTAAAGAGGAAGGACGCCGGTGTTAGTTCTCCCTCACGAGTAATCTGAACTGGGACTGCGGGGGAGGGTCTGGGCCTTAGTTGTAAAATGGTTTAATTGTTTCATGACAAAACACAAGTCAAATGGCTGCAGAATGAGCAAGGAGAGGAAATCCTTTGCTGAGCATCAAGAGATTTACAGACAGGAAGACTGCCACGCACATATCCAGGCAGGGACTGAATCTGCCAGCAGGAACAATTTTCCAGAACCTAACAGTACCTGGTGATTGTTCTGCCTCCTGACCTCAATATTCTGCAGACATGCCAGATTTGTAGCACCTGATTTGTGTCAGTTTCTCACTGCTGGATTTGCTGTGCATTTCCCCAGGACGTTAAGCTGCAGGTACCTACTGCTCCTTGTTGGAAGAGCTGAAGTCATGCACTTCTCAGCAGCTGTGTTTTCTGGTTTGCCTATCTGTTTTATGCCCACATACAACGGTTTTTATTTTTGCCTAAAGGGAGGGGAATCAAGTAGCTATGGAAGACAGAGGTGGGAAGGATACTTCATTATATACCTTTGTTCTTAAAGCATTAATGACTATGTCATCTTTTAAACAGACTGCTCCAACAGCTTTAATTATAAATGCCACCATAGTCTGCATGGCTTCAGTTTGCACATATCTCTTTTTGAGGGTGGTAATGAGAAGCAGGATCATATAAACATTTTGGAGAGATCTGTATGCTTTACTGTATGCAGTTAAAAGCAGGGAATTTGCTTATTAAATTTACTTATTGTCAGTTGTTATATTTTAAAGTACACATATAGCCTTTTGTTTATTTATTGTTTTGGTACTGGGAATCAAACTCATGACCTTGTGCTTGCCAGGCAGGTGCTGTATCACTGAGCTATATCCCCAGCCCCTGGCCTTCTGTTGTGTTCAAGTGTGTGCTGGGAACTGAACCAAGAGGTTGAGTGTTACAGGTGAGTGGTCTGGCCCTGAGTCACATCCACAGCCCTATAGTTAATCTTTGTCTTTTCCTAGCATACAACTCCTAAAATCCTTAGCATCTAGAGCATCATAACCATCCTTTTATATGAGTGAGCTGACAGATGGCCTGGCAGCCTCCAGGTAGCGTCAGGATGGATCTGGACTAAGGCAGAATTAGAGGATTAGTACTGCTGGCCCCACCCCAACCACCACCCAGAAGTGGGAGGGATGAAGGATGAACTGATCACCAGTGGCTAGGGATTTAATCGTTCATGCATATGCAAAGCTACAGCTATACAAATCCCCAGGAGACAAGGCTGCAGAGAGCTTCCTGACAGCCCATCCCTCATCCTGTGTATCTGTGTGTATCTCCTCATGTGTGTGCTTTAATTTCTGTATAAGTGTCCCTGGGCTGGGGATTTAGCTCAGCAGCATAAGTACCTGCCTTGCAAGCAGGTGGTCGTGAGCTCGATCCCTGATACCGGGGGGGGGGGGGAGAGTGTCCCTGAGTTCTGGGAGTTGCCTGTGCAAATAACTGAACCTGAGGAGAGGGTGGTGGGAACTTAGCATCAGTCTTTTGGTCAGAGGCACAGGAAAAACAATCTGGGAAAGTGTATGTGTGTGTGCATATGGAGTGCTGGACACCAAGCCCTCAAATTGAGGGATCTGACATTATCTGCACGGAGAGTTAGAACTTCAGAACTGAATTGAATTAGAGCACATACAGCTCTTATCTGTGGCAGAATTAAACACTTACTTGCTGATGGGGACAAATCCCCTTAAGATTTGGAGTCCCAGAAGTCTTCTGCATTGACTGTCGTATGAAAACAGAGGAACAATTTTTTTCCCATGAAAAATGCTCAATAAATTTTGTTTATCAAATGGCCATAACCATTTTAAGAAGTAGAAAATATTACTACCCTTCCTTCTGCATAGTGATTTTGTGTAGAGTAACTGAAGTTCAGTGTTGTAAAGGGTTTTTTGCTCATGAACACGAACCAGGTAAGCATCAGATTGATTCTGGAGTTCACTTGTGTCTCACTGAACCCCAGGATACAGTTCTGATCCTTTTATGACCCTGTTAGTAGACAGCACAAGTCTTACGATATTCCTATTTTAGATGGTCCGTCCTAACACATGCCTTGGCCATTACATTCTCCATCTTCTGTGTCTACATGAGAGATCTGAGAGAGAGAAAGGCAATCACAGAGGCCAATGGGGAAAACAAAATGGATCAGAGAAACCGTGATTATAGACTTACCCAAAGCAACTGGACACCAGCTGTGTCGGCTGATTCTTGGGCCAGTACAGTGTCAACCAAAGGCGCTCTTTAACCGTTGGGTCCACACCCCCTCCTCTTCTCTTCAGGAAGGGGATTTTCAAAGTCATCACTCCTACAAATCAGGGAAAGAGAAAGAACGCTTGGGATACCAAAGCTACTTACTTCAAGTTGCCCAACAATTTACAACACACTGTCGGTGACTCAAGCCTGGTAATTTGGTTGCTTTGATTAAATGCCTTATTTTGTCAATGAAAACATTGTTATAAATGGTGGTTAATCCCAATTTGGCTGCATTTAGGTCAAACAAGATTTTATGCATTGTTTTGCGTTAAGAATATTTTTTGTTAAGGGAAGAATTCCCAATTAGAATTGAGACCCCCCAAGGTGGTAACAAAACCTAAGATTTTCCAAAGCCAGAAGGACAGAAACTGGGGTTCTATCTTCTTGTTGGCCATAAAGCCATCAAGAGGAAAAAACCAGCAGTCAATACAGTGTAGCAGAGGAGAACCTCCACTAGCACTACACTGGTGGTTCCTAATCTGTATTCTACAGTGGACTTAGGATAGCTTTAGAAAATGCGTCTGGCACAGTCCAACTCGCAGAGGTTCTGATTCCATAGATATGAGTGAAGTGGGGTCCAGGAGCCTCTATATTTAGAATCATCCTTGCTCATTTTGCTCTACAGAACTGAAGGTCTCTGTATTTGACAGCTCCCAGTTTAGAGGTTATCATTTTGGAGGAATTCTCAGCCCAAGGGCCCCATGTGGATTTTTAGCTTAACTTGGATCAATGTAAACGCACATACATATACTTCTATGCTGGATTTATTCATTCATTCTGTGGCTCTTCTATTCCTATGACTTAGGCCAAGCACCTGTCTTGTCTGTTGCTTTTATACCCAACAGTAACCCTTGTATAAAGCAAGGATGTTTGCCTTTTACTGAAATGCATCAGAAAACACCAAACCTGTACGCGCAACACATAGAGAATTCTAGCCCAGGCTGAAGTGGGGCAGCAGTGTTTGAGACAGGAAAGTAAAGAACCGATGATAAACTCTTAGAACAATAATATGGAACAAAAAGCAGCCATTTACCACATCAACACAGGTTATGCCGCAAGAGCCTTGTATCACACACCAGTCTTACCTCGACCCCTGGCGCAGCTCCAGATTCGAACGGTCTGATCTTTGCTTCCAGTGGCTAAGTAGCAGCCCTTTGCTTCTGTAGTTGGTGGGGTAACTTTCTCATTGGGAATTTCAGGTTCTTCTAGGAGAGAGATGGTAATTTTGTTTCAGATTTGCATAAAACAGGCACATATGCTACTTAAAAAAAAAGAAATAGCTCACAAGGGTTCCCAAAACTTAGCTCTTTTTCATAGGTCTACTGTGAAACCTAGTTTTAAAACACAATTCAGACCATTTAATTTTATCCACTTTATTCTTTAGGTCTGAAAAGCACTAAACTCTCCTTTTAATCATCTCTACCTGAGTTTTCTTCTTGATTTACGGATAAACAATCTTCACCAGGCAGGGGGCACCAGACTATGGAGTGGATTTCATCATCATGTCCTCGAAGCCTGTGAATAACTTCTCCTTTCTTACTGATGTCAATTATAACCACTATGCCATCCTTGTAGCTAAAAAACCAACAGAAATATGAGTGAAAAATCTGGAGTCTCTCTAGCAAACATTTTAGCTTAGAAGTCACCACCGTGCACTTCGAAAGGTTAGCAAGGCACTCTAGGGGTAAGGGAGAGAGGGATAGAACAAGAATCATTTTTATTTTGTCCTTCTTCCTAAGTACTCATTTCATGCTTTTTGATTTTAAAAGCCTCCTCCATGACCAGACTTTTGGCACTAATACTGTACATATTTTCTGGCACAAAACGCTAACACTGAACATGCTTTTATTCTAAGGGAACTTAAAACAGTTCTTACAAGAGTATGGCAGCTCCCCTAATCAGAGATGAATTTGTGTGGGTGCACTGAAAAGTTTTCTTTTTACAATGATACTTTTCTACAAACTTCTAAGCTACATCACTCTATACCCTACACCCATATATCTCTTGGCTGATACTTTATGAATTCAGAAGAAACTGAGACATTCTAATTTCTTTCTTTTTTGGTACTGGGAATCAAACTCAGGATCCTGTGCTTGCCAGGCAGGCACTGTGCCACTAAGCTATATCCCTGGCCCTCTAGTAGCTTTTTAAGAAAAACGTGATGAATTACTATTATTATATTTATTTTTTTGAGGCAAGGTCTTGTTATGTAGTTCAGCCAGGCCTTAAACTCACTTTGTAGTCCAGCCTGCTCTTGAACTCATGGCAATTCTCCTGCCTCACTCTCATGAATGCTGGGATTACACACATGCACCACTATGCCTGGTGATTAATTATTTCAGACACATAAATATCTATTACCCAGCTAAGAAACAAATAATACAAATGGCCTATGTGTTCGGTATAACCATCTCAATAAAACTTCTCCTTCTTTCCCAGAGATAAATCACTAGCTGTGAATTTTCTTCTTTTGCAAGGTCTCTATGTAGTTCAGGCTAGCCTTGAACTCAGTGATCCTCCTACTTCACACTATGAATTTTTATTACATCATTCCTAGCTTCTTCCTGTATATATTACTAAATAAGACAGAATTATTTGATATATTTAGAAACCTCATATAAATATCATGCAGTCTATTTTTCTGAAGATTGCTTTTTTTATTCAGTCAGCCATGCTGACATAATTTTAGCATCTTTTCAATCATTTACACTACTGCATTAGTACTGTACTATGTAGATTTATCATAGTTTAATCACCATTTTCCTTCTGAAAGGTTTTCAATTTTGCTGTATACACACAAAAAGGGTGCAATTAATATTCTTGTACCTATGTAAGATGATTTCAGATTAGCTGTCTACTGATAGACTGCCAGCATGTAAGACATGTGCATATTTGTTTTTTTAGAAAGCATAAAATTGTTATCCAGCTATCCAATTGTTATTGTTATCCAGCTATCCAATTGTTATTGTAGCTATTCACATTCCCTAAAAAAATCATACAGTGTTGCAGGGAAAAAAAATCACCATTACAGATAAAAAAGAAAACAAAGAATTTAAAGAACTCTAGGTAATATTATGCCAGTCTGAAGGCTTGGACTTTGAAAATCATGAAGTTAGGACACCTGTCATGAGATCAAACTGTTTTGAGTTTGACCTTTCTGGAAGTCACTGTTTTGAAAGATTCTCTACAAACCAATTGTTATGATCACTGTTGTTCTTTCTATTTCAAGACTTTCTACCACTTCAATTAGTGCTTTTAGTTCAAGATCTGTTAGAGTCAAGCTTTTCAGACTCCTAAGCACTGTCCTTTCTGCCCACTCCTCTAGTACAGCAATGGTGTTCCAGCTTCATGAGACCACTGATGTAAAGATGCAGCTTTCTTACCCCTGGCCTTCATGAGTCTTTCTATCCTTCCCCTTAGTACCTTGTGTTTAATACTCCCATGACCTTACATGCATTCTCTGGCTTCATGCAAAATTTCGTCCCAAGTTTTTCTCCAAGGGTATCTCTACTGGCTTCCATTCCCCAACCACACACAAATCTCTTGCATCCATTCTAGACAGACTTTCTTTAATATTCTAGTCAGACAGCCTATGCCAAGTCTTTGAACTGGATGGAATACACATCTCTGGGTAAAAAGTGCATGGAATGCCAAGGGAAAGGCAGCTCATGTGAAATAGCCTTGGTGATAAGTAAGACACATCCCGCTTCCCAATCCATAGGGAGTGCTTGGAACCGGAGCCTAAGCAGTCACCTTACACTCTGGCAGTTCCTATCGCAAGTCAGAACATCACATGGTACATGAAAAATGTAAAAGGAAGAACATTCCAACACCTGAAGGCTGGCAGGAGAAATCAGTTATGAAGAATGAGGGAAGTGGAGTACCAGGGAAGATAAAGAGACAAAAACAAGAGAAAAAGGGAAAGGGACTAAGAACCTGGAGGTCACAGGCAGAAGTGATGTTTCTAGCTCAGGGGAACAGGTAACATTGGCAGAAAGTTTCCTGTGAGGAATAAAGGCACAGGAGAAGGTAGCACAAAGGAAAATGTGAGGCTACACAAAGGTAAATCATACACACAAACAGCACAGTATTTACCCAATGGCTACCAAGTCTTCATGGTGAGGTGAACAAGTAAGACAGAAAATTGTCCTGGGTTCTACGAAGAGGCGCTGGCTGTCATTTCTGTTAATCCAATAGCAGAAAACGACTCCTTTTTCATCTCCAGATACAATTAAGTCCTTTACACGAGGAGACCAATGTAATGCTGCTATTGTGTGCTTCAAAACAAAATTTAAAGTATACATTTGTTTCTCATTTGTCAATAATGGATTTTTACTTAAATTTTTTTTTTGTCTTTTCCTTTTTATCGGTACCGGGGATTGAACTCACGACTGCCTCCTTTTAAGGCAGGCGCTTATGCTGCTGAGCTAAATCCCCAGCCCCAATTTTTACTTAATTCTCAAACCAGCATTTTACTTAAATCTCAAACCAGCATAATGTAAGGCACATCACAGGTAACATGTGCTACTACTATTTTTCGACACAGAATCTTGCTATATAGTTCAGATGGGGCTTGAACTTACTGTGTAGCCCAGGCTGGCCTCAAACTCATGGTATCCTCCTGCCTCAGCTTCTTGATTGTTGGAATTACAGACATGTGCCACCACGCATGCTACATTAGTTAATATTATGCAGCAACATCATATTGACTAAGTGTTGGGAAAATATAGACTAGTTGGGCTAAAGAATTATTATGACTTTTCTTCCTTTAAATAGATCAAAAGAAAGTTCTTACAAAGCTTAAGTGAAACTTTTTCTTTCCTTTGTTTTCTCAAAAGGCAAAGTTTATCAAACAATGTTCTCTTTAGAAATGGGTTTCAGTTTCTCACTTATGGTTCATATTTAGTATGTGTGTAAGTTGCTATTAAATATTAAATATTAGACTTTGCAGGCCATGCCGTCTTTGTGTAACTCACTAGCTTTGCTGTGTGACACGAAAACAGCCACAGACAAGACTTTACTATGGTTGTATTCTAGTAGCTAGTTACAAAAACTGGTGGTGTCAGTTTGCTAACTTCTAATTTATTAACAAAATATGCATTTCCTTTTAAAAAAAGTTTTGAGGACACCTTAAATGATAAAAAAAAAGTCTTGTATCTAATTTATGGATACAGTTAAAAAAGTTACCTTGTACAACTGAAAGAGGAAACTGTATTGGAAACAAAAGAACCATACAGATACATAAAAAGATTCTGAGAAATCAGCCATAGTACCTGATGGAGCGCATGTTCCGTCACAACTGTTTTTGTCTCTACATCCCATATTTTCACAGTCCCGTCATCGGAGCTTGTGGCACAGAGATTGTACTGCCCAGGGTGATGCGAAAATGTGAAGCCAGAGACCCTTTCAGTGTGTCCCACCAACTCTCCTATGACTTTAAGCAAAAGCAGACTGCAAGTTAATTAAAATGCTATTCATGATTCCAGACAGAAACATACTATTATTAACTGAGTAGTGAACAGATGCTTTGGAGTCACTTAGCCCACATGTGTAACAAAAATATCCACAAATTCATAACTGAAAAGCCCAAATGCTGGTACTGACTCTGCCACGTGACTTCGCACGACTCATTTTTTTCTCTCTAAACTTCGGTGTTCTCAGCTGTAAAGTAATGCGGCTGTCCCTCCCCGTGCTTGGGTTGAGAAGCAGCTCAACTGCAGAAAGCAAAAGCCATTCTTACTCAGCTCTGGGCGCCGAGCTTTTGCGTGTCCAGTAGGTCACACCCCGAGGCAGAAGCAAAGTCTCCGCTCGAGCCTGACCGTACCTGCCCATCTCGTGCAACTCACAGAGACCTGCGTCCCTTATGTGCGAGATCTCAGGCCGGCAGCTGCACAAAGCCTGGACTGTACAGGCCCCGGGGCTGGTGAGCGCTCCGGCAGGGCTGGAAGCTGCCAGCGTCTTAAATGCCCCGGCAGCCGGGACTACCGCGGGGAGCCAGCGGCCCACGTGCGGGCGTCGGGAGGCGGGGCCGGCGGGCCTGGCTCCTCGCGGGTACCCGGGGCAGACCTCTCTGTCTACAAGGATCGACAGAAAAACAGATGGCCGCAGATGATCAGTTGGCGCCCTCAGGGAAAATAAGGTTCAGGCCCAGGCGCGGGGAGTTACCTCGAAACGGGGGCGTCCCAGCGGTCGCGCCCGCGCCCGGGCCCACGCGGACCAGGAAGACAGAGGTCCGCGCTGCGAAGCCGAAGAGGCCGCCCGGCACGGCATCGCTGCAGCGGGTGCAGTACCAGTTCGGGGAGGGTGGCAGCGTCTGCGGCTCCGGCCCCATGGCTGTCCGAGGCTGAGGAAGAAGCCGCGAGGGCCGATCATTCACGGCCTGTAGACGAAGCCAGGAAGGGGGTGGGGATAGGTCCGGGCTCCGCCTCCTCGACCCGCGGGTACGGCGTGCGCCAGGGCCCATCCCGCGCTGCGGGCTCCTTTCGAGTGGTGCGGGGCGGTGCACGTTGAGATCCGCCCTTTAATATCGCCCCGGGCGGAAGGTCCTGTTAGTGCCAACGGGGCGGAGGAGCGAGTGCTGCTTAAATTTAGCCTTGAGGTCAGGCATTCTTCCCGCAGCAAGGCATGTAATTAAGGAGTTAGTTTGATGAAGCCACCTCCCCACACTGCCGATTTGTTCTTTGGTCTTGTTCAATCACCACGCCCTATTGTTTGAACGCTATGTTCCAGAACACTTTGGTAGCTTTGAAGGTGTTTTAAAGGTTTCTAAGAAAGCTAGTTAACCAGAAGATTAAAGTTCGAATCAGATAGAAAAGAAAGGGTTTCTGCAACTGAGTGGGAATTTGGATTCTGGGTTCTTGATATTCAGAGATTGCACAGAAATCAAATAGACTGCTCTTTTGATTTGCTTTACTGAACGCTAACTATGAACGTCTTCCAATTCAAACATGCTAACGTGCTCAGATTTTGCTCCCCTCTTGTATTGCTAGTTTGCATTCAGCCCTGGCACTTCTGCATTATGGCGTTTTCTTAATATGGAGGGGTCAAAATATATTTAGAGGCACCTGGGGCACTAATTTTGGAAGCATCCACTTCTATACTGATCACTAGTTTTCCCAGAGCTCTAATCTATTCTAAATGTTTCTGATCTGAAGATATTTCTTGCCATGTTGGATTTCTAGGAGGAATAAATGAAGTTTAGTGAAATGCCATTATTGACAAAAAAAACTGAGGCCCACTATTTTCGGGAACTTTGTTCTCCCACTCCTTTCAGACCACTTGTGAAGTGAGGTTCACAAGTCTTCTGGATTTCCCGGAAAACACACTAGTTTCCTCTCCTTACTTAAATCATTCATTCTATGCTTTCGTAGTCTCCAAGACAACACCTCTCAGTTTGCCGATTGGTTAGATAGCTGGAGTACTGCGCATGCGTGTTGTCGGATGGCAATTGAACGCGGAGGCTTCCGTAGGGGGCGGGAAAGAAAATGGCGGCGGCCGTGTTGCGAGAGTTGGGTAAGGATTTAAGAGGTTGAAAGGCTGTGGAAGGGAGTTAAGACAAGAGTCTGAGTTGATTACTTGAATTATTGTTACAGGTGGATTATGGATACAGAACCTGAGGACCCGGGGGACGCTAACCTTGGGGTAAGTCTCCTCTTGCAGTGTCCAAGACCTGCCCACCAGTCCTGTCATTTACTGAGCGCTTATTTATTAGGTTGGTTTCAGGCTTTTGGGCAACTCAGAGAGCTCAAGTCTCTGCTTTGATACACTGTATTTGCAGCATCATATTGCAATGCCCCGTGGGGATCAGGGTTATTTCTCATTGCCCGAGGGTTGTTGTAAATATATTTTCTGAACAGTTCTTGCCTTTCTAAACGTGGTTGGATTCTTCCACCTATGTATTGGAGAGACCAACTTTTGTAGTTACCTCTTTAATTACTTGCTTTTATGAGTAGGGACTGTATTGTAGATGATTGTGCTTCACATCCAGCTTGACATTGTGTTGAACTCTTAATACGCATTATCTTTTCTCATCCTGTATACACAGTAGCTACTCTATGCCCATTTTTCAGATAAGGAAATGAAAGTCCTCAAACGTAACAATTTTTCCAGTGCTACTCAATTATAGGAAGTTTTTGAGGTCTTTTTCTCTGCAGACTTCAGGACAAAAACATTTCTTAAAGGCTGAGGAATTCTGTGATTTGAGTTTGGCCTACCCAGAAGCTTGCCTACACCCCACCCCCACCCGTTCTGCAGTACAGAATTTGATAACTGGAAATTGATACTGTGGTTCTGTGGTTGTAAATGTTCTGATTTCTGTATTTATGGGAGGAACAAGAGACCAGACGTAGTAGTGCACACCTGCAGTCCCAGCATTTGAAAGGCTGAGGCAGAAGGGTGTCCTTGAATTTGAGCCCATTCGGGGCTACATAGTGAGACCCTTTCTCAAAAAAAAAAAAAAAAAAGTAGAAAGGAACAAAGATTCCTCATAACCATGGGAATAGAAACGAACTAGAAAAGAGAATGTTAGGGCTCATGGCTGTCAGTACCATGCACTGAGTTAAGAAAAAAATTGCTTACTTTACACTAGCTATATTTGGTAGCAGACTCAAGATGTGATCACAAAAAAGTGAATGTTTAAATTTAAAAGACCTGCTAAAGTGAGACACATGATTGCTAATACCCATGCAACTACTCTCCTTTCTTTGAACACTCTTATCTCATTATTCTTGCCACTTTCTGAAGCAGTTCTGGAAATCCTCTTTTGTGTCTTTAATTGTGCTGCTATCACTGCCTTGATGTCCTGAGTAGATTCAAAATGTTTACATTTCATGGTTATTTTGACTTTGAGGAAGAGCCAGAAGTTGCATGGCGCCAGCTTTGGTAAATAAGGTGGATGAGGACACATTGTAATAATTTTACAAACTTGCCTTTCTGTTGGATGGCACTTAAGAATAACATTCACTATACTTTTTTTAAAGTCACATTTATAAAGACACAATGGAGGACTTCCACATTTGCTTCAGAAAGTGCTAAGAATGAAGCTGGGTGTGGTGGCACACACCTGTAACCCCTGCACTCTGGAGGTTGAGATAAGAGGAGCGCCAGGAGTTTGAGGCCAGCCTGAGCTACATATTGGAAGTGAATTTAAGACCAGCCTTAACTACATATTGGAAGCCTGTTTTGAAAAACCAAACCAAGCCAAGGAATTAGATTCTATGCTGGATGTAGTCATTAGCCACTCTGAAATCTTAGCTGAGATTACGTATTTTGTCTGTCAGCCTATAGGGAATATTGAGCCACAAGAAAAGAAATCAAAACAAGTTAGCTACTTTTCTTTGTAGTCAAGTCACTCCTAAAAGATTTTTCTAAAGTAAAGATATTATGTCTGAATTACATTTAGCTATGCTTTTACTATTTTACTTGCCACAATCAGCAAGATTTCACAACCACATTGATTTTCTCTGTCTCAGAACTTCTATCTTTCTCTTACAAAGCCAAGTGTGATTGTATTTAGGGCCAAACTAGGTCATCCAAGATAAGCTCCTTTCTTTCAAGATACCTGTCACATTTTGCCATTCACAGATTCTTGGCATAAAAATGTGCACATCTTTCAGGGCACCATTCAGCCTACTTCATTCTCTTGCAAAAGAGGTTCTGGAGATCATCTTAGACCTTTTTTCCGCAGAGAGCCCTGAAAATCACACTTTTACTACTCTTGTGGTCCAGAATGCCCCTTACCAGGTCTTTGTTAAAGTCCGTGCTTTGTCCAACACTCAGCTCACATCCCACTATCTTGAAGTCATCCTGATGACCTCAGCCCATATGCTGCTCCTGCAGACTTCTTTGTGTCTGTTGCACATTTCTGGTTCATTCTGTCTACCTAACTGAATTTCCTATTCTTAAAATTTGTTTTAATACATGTCTGCACCTCATAGTGATTACATTCTTAGTACAGAGTTGGTACAGGTCCATAGCACATCTTAATTTTTTTTATGTCCCCTCCCCCTCTTCTCTCTCTTCTATCTCTTGGCAAAAGATCCATATCCTTGTGGCCTGTTGCCTATTACCTTCTATTTTGCTTTTATTTTGGGTTTCTCCAATAAGAGAAATTCATGGAATGCTAAAGGTTGTATGTCTGATTTATTTTACTTAACATTATGGTCTCAGATGTCTTTATTTTCCTACAAATGATTTAAGCGTATCTTTCTTTATGACAGAATAGTACTCCATTGTGTATTAATACCATATTTTCTTTACCCATTCATCTGTAGATGGACACATATTAGTGGCCTAATATGTCCATCAACAGAGAATGAGTTTTTGATGTGTGTATCTCACAGGATTGGTCCCTAAGCAAGAGAGCAAATTTTGAGACAAAGAGTTGATGGTGGCAGAAAAGACTGGAAAATATGGACCCAGGTTCTATATCCATCTCAAGTAACTGATAAAGTGAGAATTTACTTTTTAATATAGAATGCTTCACAAATTTGCCTGTCATCTTTATGCAGGGGCCATGCTAATCTTTTCTGTACTGTAATCTTTTCTGTATTGTATTTAGTATTTATATACTGCTAAAGTGAGCACCTAAGTGAATTTTAAATCTCTTAAGCATTGGAAATATGGTTTTGAGGGGGAGGTTGGTACCTGGCTTCAAACTGACAACATTGCACTTGCTGGGCAGGTTCTGTGCTGTTGAGCTGTATCCCTGGCCCTTGGAAATATGTTTTATGTATTTTTGCATCCCCATCACTACTATGGAACAGTAACCATAGTGGTATAAGAAACACACACATATGGGCAGACAGACAGATATCTGTCTGTCTGTCTGTCTATCTGTCTATCCTGGAGAAAGGAAAGAGGGAGACGTTTTTTGTTTTTTGGCACAAAATTAACATTTTTAGAATTTCCTCAGTGAATATGTACCTAAGTTGAGTGTTTGTAGTACCATTTTAGCTTATTAACCAAGGGTGGTCTTACAGATACCCCAGTTAGTCACATGGACAGATGTGTGGGCAGCCTAGGCACCCCTTTGCAGCTGGCGTCTGAACTAGGGGCAGTGCTTTGGAGCAGAGCTCTTTAATTTGTGGAAACTGATTCTAACTCAGAGAGAAGACGGCATCAGTTGAATTCAGTTGTTAGAGAAAGAGAACCAGTGGGTGTTGGAGAACTGGCTGATGTGTGAATTCTCCATACAATTTGGGGTCAGAAAGAAAGATACCATAGTACCCTGTCCTTACTAGCTGATTAGTAAGTATAAATTGATAAAACTTTTAAGTCAACCTGACAGATGCAAGTTATAATCTGAAAGGTCACCAGAAATTGAGATTCCTGTTCTTCAGTTTTGATTGCAAATTAAGGATGGGTACAGGTTTTTAGGTTTATGTAATAGCATAGCTTGCTGCTTATCTACATTTTTCAGGCTTTTTAAATGATTCTTTAGGATTGAAGGAGGCCTTTGGAATTGCGTACTCCCACGCAGTAAGGTACTGATTACATTATGGACATTACTCTGAATGATACAGCAGTGATCTGAAATGATTAATTGCTTTTTTCAAATGATCATTGATACAAGGCCTCCAATAGTTTCTCTGAGGGAAAACTTGAGGTCTGTGAAATGGAAGTTGATCAAGAATATATATGTGCACTCCTGGATTTATCCTCAGATTATTTCTTTTTTTTTTTTAATTTTTTTTGTCGTTTTCCTTTTTATCGGTACCAGGGATCGAACTCACGACTGCCTGCTTGCAAGGCAGGTGCTTATGCCACTAAGCTAAATCCCCAGCCCCTTCTCAGATTATTTCTTGAAATTATTTTGCTCCAAATTCTGATCTTTGTACTTGTGCTTTGTTTGGGTTCTTTGGGGTTTAAAAATTTCTTTAAAATTTTAAAGAGAGGAGGAAGGGGGAGCAGGGGATTGCTGAGAACCCTGGGGTCGTTGTGACTGCTTTGGCTTGAGTGGAGTGGTAGTGTGCTCTGACTCATGAAGTGCATGGTTCCTCTGGGCTGTTCTCTCTGAAATAGCCTGGGGTGAAGCAACAGGGGTAGCTGGGAAGAGCTTGGAGTGCTCCGAGTGGAAACTGGTTTCTTATTGGCTGTGGCTGTGCAGCAGGTGAATGGTCAGGTTCTAGTAGAATAGAATTTATGACCTGAGCAACTGGAAGGATGGAGGTGCCATCTGCTGAGGTAGGAAGATTTCCCGTGAGCAGGTTGGAGGGAGTCAGTCAGAGATCAGTGCAGGACTTGGTAGGGTGCAGAAGTCTAGGAAGCGTCCCAGTGGAGATGTGCATTGGGTTTGGAAGGTTGGAGGGAGGAAGTGGTATAAATTTGGGACAAATCAGTGTGTGAATGTATTTACAGCTATGAGATTGATTGACTTCGTGCGGGAATAAGTATAGATGAGACACAGAACCTGAGAATTAATTCCTACCTGAGGCAGCTGATGTTGCAAATGAAGGAGATGAGGGGCTCACAGAGGAGACTGTGGGGTCTGGCAGGGAGATAGGAGGAAAACCCAGTGTCCTGCAGCCCAGCTGAAGGTGTTCCCGGATGGTGAATGACGGACATTCTCAGACCGCTCTCAGAGAACCCACTGTCACAGATACCGTCAGTGACTTTGACAGAGGGGTTTTGGTTGGCGGTTATTTTTCCTGTCTGTAGGGCTAGGATGCTACGTGGCCTAAGAAAACAGAGTAGAACTGCTGAGCACCTTAAGGGCCTTGCGGTTGCTGAGTGTGATTGTAAAATATGAAACGTGGCCTCTTGCACTACTGTCTCTGGTGTACGTATTGAGAAAGTCTGGCTTATTACTCATTGATGTGTGTGTCCTACGATGACATGAAGCTTTCGGAATAGAGACGCTGTGCTCCTTAGTCTGTCACCCCTTCGCCCAAAATTACAAAACCCTGGATTTTTGTACTGTTAATATACCTAATAGTGTCTCAACTGGCTCAAACTCGGGGTAATTTTGCCACCCCCACCCCACCCCAACACTATGCATTGCTTGGGATATTTGTGGCTCTCACAGCTTGGGCAAGGGCTGCTGTTGGCATCCAGTGGGGACAGATGTGAAACCTCCTACAATGCCTGGGAAGGCCCCTGCCCCCAACCAAGAGCTACCTGGTCCAGAGCTTGCACAGTGCATAGGCTGAGAAACCTGGAGTGGATTGTAGCTCAGAGTTGCTGGGGTTTCATTGTTTTGTTTGCTGAGTTCTTGTTTCCTTGTTTGTTCTTGACTTTCTCGAAGTAAAAATGTGTTGTTATGAGATTTATATTTTAATTGTGGCAGCAGGGAGGCTGTGCTTCCGTTCAGTCTCCAGTGTAGCATTCACTAGAGCGCTCAGAAGTATATTTGGAACAAAGAGCTTCCTGCTTTGATGAATATAGCAGCATGATATTCTTAAGATTGAGCCTGAGGCCTGTCTTAACTTCACTTGGGATTTAGGTATTTCTGGTACTAAATTTCAAAATGAACTTTAAGTATTAAATAGGTGTTAGTGCTCCTAGAGTTACAGCTTCAGGAAGTCCTCGCATACTCTGTCTTATCTGAGTTAACTCTTAATCCTAACATTTGACTTAGACGTATCTGCTACTTTTCATTGTCTGATGACTGTGGGCAGAATTTTACAAAAGATCTTAAACTACTTTTTAAGTATTGGTGAGTAGAAAATGCCTGAGTAGTGGAAGCAAGGCAATCCTTTAATTATTGTCTTTTTGAGACAGGGTCTATGCAGTTCAAGCTGGCCTTCAGCTCACTTTGTAGCCCAGGCAGGTCTCGAACTTGCAAATACTCTTGCCTCAGCCTCCCAAGTGCTGGGATTACAAAGGTGCACCATCACACCCAGGTTTTTCTGGTGCCTTCTAACGTTGCCTTTCAATACTTAAAACAAAACAAAACAAAAACAAACAAAAAAACTTTTCATCATCCCAGACTGGGCAAGTGTGCTACTTAGTGAGATCCTGTCTCAAAATTAAAAAAAAAAAAAGGCAGAGCGCAGAGTGGGGATGTAGCTCAGGATGAAGTCTCTGGGTTCAGTCCCCAATACCACACACAAAATAAAACTTTGAACTTATTTTGATTCTTTACAATGCTAATAATAAACTAGAGTAATACTTAGGGCTTGAAGTTTTGTTGGAAAGTGATCCTGATAATAACCTGTGTCATCCTTGTATTTGTTTTTTTCTAGTGAGTCTTCACAGCTTCTCTCAAAAGTCTCACGAAAACTTCGTTATTCTTTTTTTCCTGAAGTCAGTAAGACTTCACTATGTAGTAGTCCAGGCTGGGTAAAAGCTTCTATCTTGAGTTAGATTACACTTTTGATTTTAAGGTTGCTTTCTTTTATGTTTGAATCTGGTGTTATTACAAAAGGTTGCCAGGAGAAGGCACACAAGAGCTTTTGATTTAATATACAGCATTTGTAAATCAATTACCCCGTCTGGAATAATATTAATTTAGTATTTGCTTTATAGTTCAATTTATAAACATTGAACCTCAAAAGTGTTGTAGATACTCAGAAAGCTTAGTCATTATTAATTCATAACATTTAATTTAGTAAGCATTGTATTTAATTCACCAAAGCAGTGTTGTAGATTTTCTTTTTCTTTCTTTTTGGTGGTTCTCAAGATTGTACCCAGAAAGTTCTGAGCTACAGCCACAGCCATTTTTGTTGTTTTATTTGGAGACAGGGTCATGCTGAGTGGCCTAGGGTAGCCTCCAGTGTACGATCCTCCTCCAGCCTTAGGGTTAGGGTTAGGGTTGAGTGGCTTGTGTGGAAGTCTGGAGTACAGGCATGTGCCACTTGGGGTGGGTTATGAGCGCTGTGGAACGAACCCTCAAGTGATCTTTCTGGTTTGTTAACACAGTAGTAGTGTCACTGGAGAAGTGCTGTCAGAGCTAAGGGGTTTTTATTTCTGTCATCCTGTCAGTGATGAGATAAAAGATAAAGTTAGTTCAGCTTCTACTAATGGTGTGTAAAAATCCTTCTATAGATAAGCCAGGCCCCAAGAGGTGACCCGCTCAGTGTAACCACTAATTGCAGCTGTGAAGAAAGGTAAAGGCTCATAATCACATGTAGTGTGGAGCTTGTAGTTCAGGATTGTTCTGAGGGGAGACAGGGAGAACTGCTCAGAGGGCCTCGTTTTAAAATGCGTTAGCAAGCTAGTGCTAGCCGGGTGTGGTGGTGCATGCCTGTGATCCCAGCCACGTGGGAGGCTGAGGCAGGAGGATTGCTGCCCTGGGCTCCTAGTGAGGTCAAGGCCAGACCTGACTACGTAGCGCAGCCCTACCTCAGGAGCCCTGTCCTCTGGATCGTGGTCACCAGTCACCTGAATTATCCTTGGAACCCTCTCCTCTCTGTTCCTTTAAGTGTAAGTGGTTTTATACTTTCCTGTAATTGCACTGTTTATTTGTTTAGCTGACTCAGCAAAGATGGGCAACTCCACAGGTCAGATCAGGGTCCAGTATGTCTTTAAATTTTCAAGACTGTACTGACTTACAGTATGGACTCAGCATTTCTCGGTCAGTCAAAGCAGTTTGACTCACCTAAGTCCTCACTTTTCCCTGCTCTCAGCCTCCAGACTCCCTTGGTGAGGTTTTAGGTAAAGACAGCCCCTCCTGATGAGCACTTCCCGCGTGTTTACGCCTGTGACTGTGGAGCAGGTGCGGCTCCGGAGATACACAAAGCCTGCACAGAGGTTCTGAGTTCCTCTTGTTTCACAGGCTGCCTTCCTGTCCTGGTGTTTTAGCCCTGTCACACGTCCACACGAGCGCTCCTGTGTCCGGCAAGTGGGAGAAGAAGAATACGGTTGTTTACCCTCCACAGCAGCCCGGCGAGCCTCGCAGGCCAGCGGTGAGTAGACCCCATCTCTTACTTTTTATAAAGTGCTGCTGTCCTGTGGCCAGCAGTTATTTATTTTCCCACATTAAGAAAAAATTGCTCCTTAATTGACCTGATTTTTTAACTGACAGAAGATGTATCACATGTCTCTCCTTGAAGTTTAGAAAGCTTGTCACTGCTGCAGAGGTCACTGTATCCCTTCCTGGACAGAGCCACCTTACCCCGTCTGACCCCCGGTGGGAGGTGGCTGACTTTGCCCCTTTGCAGAGGGGCCCGTGAAATGGAGTGCGACCCACTGGCAGGAGCGGCTCAGACTGCCCGAGTGGCAGTCTGTGGGGCTTTCAGTGCTGGGCATCAGAATACAAACACACTTGTTTTCTTTTTATAATACACACAGCATTTAACTCCAGGTTGGAAAACCAGTGGATTTCTACCAGCGAGTTGTCTTATCTTTTTATGTTTGAATAATTTTACTCTCTCTAAACTGCTAGTGAATGTTGTAGTCTGAGAGGAAATTACCCTTCAGGTTAATGGGAACTTGCCATTGAGTAGACAGACGTGCAGAGAGGTTTAAGCAAGTAATAGCACAAACAAGGTGGGAGCACCAAAACCCTAAGAAAAAGTTTGGCAAGTTCTGTTTTTCTTTTTTTCTGTGCCACACTCTACCCTTTTATTATTGGAGGGGTTACATTGGGGTTTTTTTTTTGAGGCCAAAAGGATGGAAAATTAGTATTTGTTTATAAAGCCTGGTGTGCGCCAGTGTTGCGAGTTCTATAGAACTAGAATTACGCTGCTAATTTCATTTTACAGTTTTTCTTAGTACAGTGCATGTTTGCAGTGCATAATTATATTACATTCATTGTGGGGAGTTGGTACATATACATAACACATCTTTTTCATATTAATTTAAAATTATTCAGTTCAGCAAGCATTTTTTTAGGCCTGTGGTATTCAGAACTAGCGGATAACCACTCATCTGAGTGATAAGAAGGACCATGTCACTTGCTTAGTTTTTCTCTGAAGCTGACAGCATATGTTTCATTAAGATTCACTTGCTAAGTGAATATAGTTGAATATAGTTTTATTTCCTCTTTTTATGTTTAATTTGGGAGAGTTACATAATGAGTTTTTTTTAAAAAGAGCTCCCACTTGATTAAGAATTCAGAGGAAAAAGCTGTAATCTCAGCTATTTGGGAGGCTGAGGCAGGAGTATTGCAAGTGTGAGGTCAGCCTGGGCAACTTAGTGAGATCTAGTCTCAAAATAAAATAGAAAGGACTGGGAATACTGGGAATGTAGCTCAGCAGTAGTGCTCACCTAGGTGAGGCCGGGAGCTCAATCCCCAGCACCAGAAAAAGAGGAAGTGGAAAAAGTGATACAAATAGCTTAAACAGAGAACTTTAAACTTTTGTATTTCACATTTTATCACAATGTCAGGACTTGAAGTTAGATAAGTCACAGACTATGGGCTATTAACTATTGACTCTACTGTGTAATTAATCAAAATTTAGAACAAGGTATATATTTGCACCAATATCATAACTCAAGTGTTACTGCCTATAAGTCAGGTACTTTCTTTACTTGTTGAACGTAGATATTAATTGGAATTGTATCATGACGGTGTTTTTCAGGTCCAGAATGTAGTAGCAGAATTTTGTACAATGTACTGTTATCTTTTTGTTTTTGTGAGGAAAAAAACCACATTTTATTGTGAGAGGAAAAAGAATCACGTGCCATGAAGAGACAATGTATTAATCTCTAGAAGATTTTGGTATCATTTTTGTTGGGGGTTGATGACAGTGGTACCAGTGAGTGAATGGGGACACATTCAGGATTAGTGGGTGTCCTGTCTTTCCATTTTACAAGAGGCACTGGTCACTGGGTGTGAAATCAGTCACAGAGACCTGGCCTTTTATTTACATAAATAACAGCCAGGAGAGCATACAATAGAAAAGGCCTCACTTATTGTCAGAACAAAAGAGAGAAAGTAGCTACCAGTAAACAAAAAATATGCAACACCACAAACACAAAACTTTGTATAAAAAAATCAAACCTTTGTATTTCAGCAGAAAAAGGCAAGCACATAGTAATTTATGCTGTTAGAGGCATAGTCTAGTTTTACAAATTTAATTGAACCTCAGAATGTTGGGATTAAACAAACTGAAAAGCTCAGTTCAAAATACTTACAAAAAAAAGCAAGGCTAGCCAGAAAAACTGTACTGACATGTAACTAGATAGAGGTTGAGAACAGAAAAAGGTAAAAAATAGATCTACATAGGAGAATTTAGTAGAGGATGAAGATGACATTTCAACTTAGTAGGAAGAATGTGGTTTATTTATTTAAAAAATGGTAGAATGCCAGGATACTATAAAAAACAGAATTTGGTTTATACTTCATGGTATGAAAACTTCCAACTTTATGAGAACTGATATGTTCAAAGTACTTGAAATCAAGGGAGGATTTTTTTAAAAAGATTTTAATGTGATAAAGCTTTTCTGATTGCTTTAGTTTTCATCTTGTCAGCTTCTTTTGAAACAGATGAAATCTGCTGTGTGTTAAACAATGGCCGCTAGAGAAAATGCTGCTGTTTTATTTGAAAATTTCTACCTGCAGTCTGAGTGTTGGAGTTTTGAGATCTCTTTTTCTGTTGTTTGCCTTCAACTTTTTAAAGTGTTGGTAGGGTTAATAATGGAGAAAAAGCAGGTGTGGATTTTAGAGTCAAAAGGGGAACTTTGGGATGTACACGTGCCAGACCTCGAATTAGGTCTCTGTTCTCAGCCTTCCGACTTTGTGTCATTCACTAGACTTGCGGTCTCGAACACATCACTTGGGTTTTCAGAATCAGCTTATTTAACAAACGGAATATATGGAAACCAAGCTTTGTAAATGAGGAGGAGAGAAGGAGTCAGTAAAATCTAATAAAAAAGATTACGGAAGATTTCCTCTCCGTCCTCATAATTAGATTACATGAAAATATGGGTGAAATAATGGGTGTGAAGGTGGAGAGAGGGAGGTAAAGGGGCTGAAAGAAGTTGAGATGTGTTTTGTGCCAACTCCATACAATGTAAACACATCGTGTACTACAGGCAAATACCAACAGATAAATAAGGAAGGGCTCAGGAGGAGAGGCGGGCAGGGAGGAGAGGGAATCAGGATGTGTTACAGACATGTACTAATAGATGAAAATTCTTTGTGAGCTCCAAATTGTTTATTAGATGATTAAAAATGAAACAGCTTATCTATACCACTTTAAGTAGAAGACATTAAAAGTCAATCTGCTAAATGTTTTTACTTTCATCTGTTTCCTAGTCTTAGCTCTGGACAGAAGTGTTGCAGCTGTTGGCGTGCACTGGTGATTTCAGAGCTTGTGCTTCTTCCTTAGTAGTCTGTTAGTCTTTTAGGGTAACTTTGTGTAGGGGCACTGTCCAGGTGTTAAATGATGTCTTCATTTCTCATGGTACCACGTTCATTGGACCCAGAAAGTAGAAACTTTGTGTGTCACTGTAATTTTGATAAACCTGCTGAGACTTTTTTCCCGTTTTATAAGGAAATCTACCATTGTCGAAGACAAATAAAATACAGCAAAGACAAGATGTGGTATTTGGCAAAATTGGTAAGCTGACTATTATTATATGATACTTTGGAAAAGAAGCTATGCATTTCTCCCTAGCACTTAAGCAGTAAAAAAACAATTTTGTTCTGATTTTCCCAAGAAGTGAGGCACATATAATTACATATAATCAAAAGAATAATTGTCCAGAGATGTGTGATTTTGCTTAATTTTAGCCTATTTTCTGAGAAACTAAATCACGTTTAAACAAAGTCATCAGGAGTCTGACTATATAACCAGAGAATCTAGGGAGCTTACCTACTCACTTATCTGTGAAGGTTGATTCAGCCTACTTAAATACTGTTCATTTTTTAGTTTTTTTCCTTAGAAGGTGAAATGTGTAGATGAGGAAAGAAAAGCAGCACATGGAAGTGTAACAGTTGCGTCCTGCAGGTGGAAGAGAGTCTCTAATGCTAGCAAGGTTTTGCCAGCCGTCATTTCTTTCTGTGGCATCTGCCCTCTTTAAATGTTGGGGCTGTCAGACTCCAGGTTTTAGAACCTTGACCCAAAGAGAATGGAATGCCTTAGCAAACTTTTCCCCTTTTGCCTGGGTTTAACCCACTGTTTCTAGTAGTTATTTAGATTATATAAGGTTTTTAATTTTTATCGAAAAGAGAACATTGACTTTGTAATTTATTTGTCTTCTCCTCTTTTACCCTTGAATTCTAGATTCGCGGGATGTCCATTGACCAGGCTTTGGCTCAGTTGGAATTCAGCGATAAGAAAGGGGCTCAAATAATCAAAGAGGTAAGCCGCAGGGTTAGGTTAGGGGAGACGGGCCGCAGGGTTAGGTTAGGGGAGACGGCCGCAGGGTTAGGTTAGGGGAGACGGCCGCAGGGTTAGGTTAGGGAGACGGCCGCAGGGTTAGGTTAGGGAGACGGGCCGCAGGGTTAGGTTAGGGAGACGGGCCGCAGGGTTAGGTTAGGGAGACGGGCCGCAGGGTTAGGTTAGGGGAGACGGCCGCAGGGTTAGGTTAGGGAGACGGGCCGCAGGGTTAGGTTAGGGAGACGGGCCGCAGGGTTAGGTTAGGGGAGACGGCCGCAGGGTTAGGTTAGGGGAGACGGGCCGCAGGGTTAGGTTAGGGGAGACGGGCCGCAGGGTTAGGTTAGGGGAGACGGGCCGCAGGGTTAGGTTAGGGGAGACGGCCGCAGGGTTAGGTTAGGGGAGACGGCCGCAGGGTTAGGTTAGGGAGACGGCCGCAGGGTTAGGTTAGGGAGACGGGCCGCAGGGTTAGGTTAGGGGAGACGGCCGCAGGGTTAGGTTAGGGAGACGGGCCGCAGGGTTAGGTTAGGGGAGACGGCCGCAGGGTTAGGTTAGGGGAGACGGCCGCAGGGTTAGGTTAGGGGAGACGGCCGCAGGGTTAGGTTAGGGGAGACGGGCCGCAGGGTTAGGTTAGGGGAGACGGGCCGCAGGGTTAGGTTAGGGGAGACGGGCCGCAGGGTTAGGTTAGGGGAGACGGCCGCAGGGTTAGGTTAGGGAGACGGCCGCAGGGTTAGGTTAGGGGAGACGGCCGCAGGGTTAGGTTAGGGGAGACGGCCGCAGGGTTAGGTTAGGGAGACGGCCGCAGGGTTAGGTTAGGGAGACGGCCGCAGGGTTAGGTTAGGGAGACGGGCTGCACTTGTTTCTCAGGCGTAGGTGCACTCCGCATAAACCCTGAGCTCCCTAAAGAAGTCCTAAATAATGCTACGTGCTTTAAGGGCTTTTACTGAGATACTGCTTTTAAAAAGCCATTTATTTATTTTTTTACTGTCAAATGAAATGATAAACCTTAGTTTTAATGATTTGGGGCTTTGCATATGTTTTAGAAGATTTTTTCAGGGAATGGAATCAATACACATGAGAACTTATAACTAGTTCAATAGGAAGAACACTAAAGTAGAATTCAGGAGACTTGGAATCTCAGACTTTCTCTGATAGTGATATATATATATATATATATTTTTTTATTCTTTCTTTCTTTCTTTCTTTCTTTCTTTGTAATGACCACAGCCCAAAAGAGTTAACTTGTCTGTTTCTTTTTCTATTCTTTTTTTAAATTTATATATTAGGTAGAATCAGACCTGATAGTTTCCAAAGACTCTTCCAGTTTTAAATGTAGCTGGCTCACTAAGTGTAGATGTGTTGCATCCATTTTAAAAAAAGTTTTGTTGACTATTGTTCTTTATTGTTGAGCAATTTCAGTGCTATTTTTTATATCTTTAGTTAATTCTTATCTAAAGTCTGCCCCACCCTGTGGTACTGGAGATTGACAAGCTACATCCCAGCCCTTTTTAATTTTCATTATTTTGGCACAGAGTCTGGCCAAATTGCTAAGTAGCCCAGGCTAGGTTCAGTCTTGAGATCCTCCCGCCTCAGCTTCCCAGAGTGCTGAGCAGATTACAGGCATGTATGTACCATCATGCTTTGCTCTAACATCAGTTCCTTTTTCTTTTTTTGATACTGGAAATTGAACTCACGTCTTTGCACTTGCCAGGCAGGCCCTCTAAACTCGGTTCTTGCTAAGTGTCTGTTTTGTTGTATCTTCAGCCTTGTACCTTGTTCTTCGTCTGTAAAGCTGTGAGCTCTAGTTTGTTTTATTTCTCAAGCCAGTTGTCTTACTTTTAAAAATGTGTTCTGGAGGAAGTTAATTCAAAATGTTCATGGAGAGTAAATTTAATAATTTTAGCCTCTTTGAGGGAATTGTCAGGTTTGATATTCTCTACCTAACTGAGGCTGTTGATGGTAACTTGGATCTAAAGTTTAAGGATTTTCAGCACGATTTGACTCTTGGGTGTCTTGAACTTTTTGACAAGTCCCTGACCAGACATACAGTCGTCTTTTCGGGGTTGGTGGGGGGAAGTGTACTCCCCCATCTCCTCCAGCTCACCATGCCATTTAGCACATGGACCCCTCCTCTGCTGTAGCAGGTTGTGTCTGAGAAAGAAAAGCTTATTGCATCCTTTGTCTAGTATTTCTATCATTTGATTGTCTCCCTTTAAAAATGATAGTAAAACTGGGGATACAACTCAGGGGCACAGCACTTGCTGGGAAACATAAGATTGAGAGTTCAATCCCGGATTAAAAAAAAAATGATAAGATGAGGCACGTGATTATCAGAGGTCACAAGAGATGAGCGATTTAATTCTGATCAGTTCAGAATTAGATGTGAAAATACCTTTCTTCTCTTTAAGGTTCTCTTACAAGCACAAGATATGGCAGTGAAATACCACAATGTGGAATTCAGGTCCAATTTGTATGTAGGTATGTTTTTAATATTCTTAACATTGAAAATGTCGTACAGTGGTGATGCCATGTTTTTTATCTGACAAAATTCTTTATATCTAACACTTAGGTCTGGTTTTGACAGTGCAGTTTACTGATAACTACTTATTCTTCAACTGCAACTTTATTGGTGTGACTGTGTCATAAGTAATAGTGTCTGTATTTTATTTTTATCTGTTCTGTAATGACACTAAGATCATGAAATCTCTTGCCAATAATTATTAAATAATGGATTCTATGGTACATAGACTGGTCCTTTAACCTTAATAAAACTCAGAAGCAACATAGCTGACTTAAAGGTAAAGTAAATATATACTGGAACGAAGGATTACATGTGAACTTAAATATCTTTATATATAATATGCCAAGCCAGATGCCTCATCCACAGAGATGTCCTGTGATTTCACCTTCGAATTATCAGAATGGAGGAGCTGCCGAATTATAGAAGTCAGCAGCGTAGCTCTGGGAGGTGGTGCATACCTGTTATCGCAGCACTCCGCAGGCTGAGGCAGGAGGGTCACTGTAAGTTCGAGGCCAGCCTGAGCTACAAAATGAGTTCAAGGCCAGCCTTAACTGCATAGCAAAACCCCATTTTAAAAAGACAAAAAGAAAGAAAGAAAAAGAGAGAGGAAGAAAGAGAGAGAGGGCAAAAAAGCCAATAGCCCTGGAAGGCTCAGATGACCCACATGTGTTTGCCCCTGTGGCTTACCACACTGTGAGGCACTGGACCTGCTGCTGCATGCCTGTTCCATCTCAGACTAAATTGACGTCCGTGCAGTGCCTCGGGGAGCCGGGCGCGCCGTCCACACGCAGGGGGTTCTCGCAGCGCAGCTCCACGCAGCCCCATGCCTAGGGGCAGTCCCCACCGTTACCGAGACTCCCAGCTCAGCACTTTGTGTTCAAGCAGATACAAGGGTGATGACGTGACGCTTTCTCAGTCTCTCAAAGCCTGCATATCCGAGGGCTGTTTCAGCTAAAAATACTTGAAATTTCAGGTATGGGAGGCATCTATTCTTCTGTGTGAGGGGGAGGGCTGAAACATTGCAGGGAGAATTAGTTGTGTTTTATGATTTTTCCACAATCAAAGTGAAAAGAATCTAAATTTTACCTTGTGACATAACTTCTGTCTTTCTGGTGATGTTAATTCTGGTTAAAATCTCACCTCAGCTCACTAGGCATTGGTGCAGGCAAACATACCACCTTCTGAAACTGGAATTGGCTATGATTTTCAGTTGAAGTGCTGTATCTTTAAAGCCGCATCGGTGTAATTTTATTCTGATGTATGCACAAATTGGCAACTCAGAAAACAGAAGGCCGCGGAGGTTTAGCATGAATGTTCCCCCCTTCTGGGAGTGGGGCGAACAGGTAATTCTGAGGAGGGCCCAGAATCTGTGGGAGGCAGGAAATGGGTAAGGAGCAGGACCACTTAGTTAAAACCTCTGGGAGACCTTTCCCCCTCCGTGATTCCTACCATCAAATCTAATTTAATTAGCTTTACTCAGTTTCATAGGAATGTGGGGTTCTTAGCTGATAGGCTTTGTAATGGGATTCAGATACAAATGAAACTGGGTTTGTCTTTAAATCATTTTCAAAAATTGTCTTTTAATCCTTTTCTGTGATTGGAGAGAGACAGATGAAGAGTTTAATTCCGTCACCCCAAATGAAGGAGAAGAATCCGTTGCTGCCGTTAAGCACAACTGTAGTTAACCAGCGCTCCACAGATGAGCCTTTAATTCCGAGGGCTCTTGTTCACTTTCTGGTTGAAAAGTCTCTGCCTCACCCAGACTCTTTTCACCTAGTGTTGTGTAAAAAATAGTTTTTTTTAAGTGGAGCTGGTAAGTTTGGATTTGCCCTATAATTTTAACAACTTTTAAGTTGGGAGTGCTGCTATGTACTTGTAACCCCAGTGCCCTGGGAGGATAAGGGACAAGAGTCCCAAGTTCACGTCCAACCTGGGCAACTTGGTGAGCTGGTGAAACCTTTTTTCAAAATTAAAAAATTTTAAAAAGCAGATGGGATATATAGGTCAGTATAAAGGACCTGCGTTCAATCCCAATCCTGCAAGAGCAACAACAAAAGCTTTTCATTTATTAAATATTTTGATTCCTGATTCCATAATCTAGGGGTGAATATCTTTAGGAGATGACAAATCTTACCATGACATGTTATTTATCTCTGTATTTGGCGGATTTCTTCTAGAGTCATACAGTGTTCTTATTAAAACAAATTTCCCTTACAGACTCACTGGCTTTGAACCTGAGGGGCAGGCCCAGGAAGCTTCTCGTTGATGGTGCCTTAGTGATTCTTACAATACCTGGGACACTGCTTGTCTCATTCCATTGTCGAAAGCTCTCTGTTTCAGTTCCATTAGAGATTTGGAAGACTTGTCACTTGATAGCTCTTGTTTTGGTTTAGCAGTGGTTCATATAGCACCCTGAAATAAGTACAGGCATTTTAAAGGAAATGCTTTTTTGGTAGCATCTGTTCTCGTATTTGGTAATTCCTTCAAATGTCAGTCATCAGCCTGAAGCTAATACCTGGTATCGGATGACGGCAGATTTAGGTAGTTTATTTTCCTTTTACACTTACACATTACACATTACAGTGATAATTAATGATGCTGGGAATAGACCTTGGCAAATGGACAGTGTTACTGCTTGTGATTCACAGCATCTAAAAGGATTCACTTTAGGAAAGGCGATCAACCAGCTTTGTACATTAGTCTTCTGGGCCGTAGTGTTGGAGTTACGGAGACCCTCTCCTGTTCAACTGTCAAGACTTGCATTTACCTGGATGACAGTAAGAAGAATCACTGGCGTTATTTTAAATACATGCTACTTCTTGGGAACTGTCTTTAGAGAGTAGGTCATTTCTGTTTTTGTATTTTTTTCACTCAAAAAGTATTTAATTACCTTCGTATGCATGCCACTACTATTAGGTGATGGTATAGCTTTTCCATCACTTTAAAACATCCATCACGTATAGTTTTGTTCTTTGACAGTAGTATTCCTTTGGAAGGATACATAAACTGTAAGTTGAACCAAAATCATGCACATTGTTAGTATTATATCCATTTGGAAAACTTTGAAACATGTCAGAATTTGAATGTTTCCACTAGTTTGTCTATTAAAAAATAATACTAACTAGCAGAAGAATAATACTAACTAGCAGAAGAACATTTTGAAGAGGAACATTATTTCTGTTCTTTGTGTATCATAAACTTATTGGGCGGTGTGAAAATAGTTTTAAGATTTGTTGAGAAAGTGACTGTTACAGATGAAATGTCAATACCTATAAAAATAGCATATAATCTGGGGCCAAAATAAAGAGTAATACAGATTTTATTTATTTATTTATTTTTGGTAAAAGGAATCAAACTGAAGACCTTGAGCTTGTCAGGCAGGTGCCTATGCCACTGAGCTACATCCCTAGCCCTAAATGGTCTTGTTGAAGTAGAAGAGATCAGTGTGGGTTAGGATAGTTGTGGAGATTTTCTTGAAGAATTTGGCTGCTGAGCACAGGCTTTTGGGGATCTGGAGGCATGTCCAGGGAGACGGATCTTCACATTTGGGAAACCATGTACACACAGCACATAAATGGCAATGAACTATAATTGTGCAGCACAGTAAGCAGTAGAGTATTGGGGGCCAGGTGGGGCTTAGCTTTTAAAGACCTGAACATGCCACGTTTTCACACTTCGCTCAGACTGTATTGAGAGGATGGGCCACAGAGAGTTTTGGGCAAGAGATTTATGTTCTTAAGGAAGTGGTTAAGACTATTAACTGTAAGCAGCAGTTTTAGAGTTGTACTCTGTGGGGCCCTCTGGTGGGGTCCATGGTGTCCGAGTCATCGCTTTGCTCTTGGAGCCCGGGAGAGAACCCGGTATCCAGCAGGAACTCAGAAACATGTTTTGAATGAGGAATGGCATGTTAGGAATCTTCCCTCCCCTGTTTCAGTGGGGACAAATTCACCCAGCAGTGTTGTTATGCATCGGGCTTCTGTGTATTGCACCAGTTTAACTGAAATGTTTCCACATACAAGAGCAGTCTGCAGCCCTTCACATACAGGGGTAGAGGAGGAGAGGTTGGCAGATGCGAGACTGGCTGCCAGTTTGAAGGTGACACTCTTTCCACACCTACCTTGGAGTGCTCTGTTGGTCAGCTCTCCATCACTGTGACACATGCCTGAGATAGGTAAACCTGTCAGGAGGGGAGGGTTATTTTGGCTCACAGTTCTGGAGGCCTGAGTCTGTGGTTGACTCACTCTGCTGCTTTTTGGGCCAGTGCTGAGGGAGCACATTGTGGTAACAGCATCATCCACCTCATGGCTAGAAAGTGCAGAAAGAGACTGGGGTCCCCCAGTCCCCATCCAGGACACACCGTCAGTCACCAGCACCCCTCTACCCCGTTAAGCTTCACCTCCTGAAATGTCAGTGTGTGCCACCTCACTGAGACTCACCTTTTCACAGCACAGGCGTTGCTGAGTTGGGTTTCCCATCACAGCCTGACAGAATGCTGGGGTTTTGGAGGAATTAGTGTTCAGTTTTGACATAAAAGAGGATGGCGTTATACACTGTAAGACAGACAGGTGATCTCTCAAGGCTGAGATCGTGCCTGGCATTTACCAGGTATTGATCTTCTGCTTCTCTGTAGAGCTCCATAGTTTGTATTTTGGGAGAGGTGGAAAGAAAATGGGAATTAATGTAGACCTGGTGATGGGTTGCTCATTGTGTTTTTGGTAGGTGGTAATAATGTCGAACAATTTGTTAATTTTTTGTTGGTCATGTTTTTGTTTTTGAGGCGGAGTCTCCCTATGTAGTTCAGCCAGGCCTTACCTCACTCTGCAGCCTAGGCTGACCTCGAGCTTACAGCACTCCTCCTGCCTCAGCCTCCTGAATGCTCAGATTACAAGTGTTTGTGCCACTGTGTCCAGCAGCATGCTAGCTTTCATACTTCCTTTACTAGAGTAATATTCCTATATCAGAGTATTTCCAGATTGGAACTCCAGTGGAGTAGCAGTGTCAGATAGAAGCAGCCGCTGTGTTTGTAAAATGCTTTTTAGGATGCTTTCCGCCCTCTTCTCCGTCTCACCATTCTTCTGGGCTTCTTTCCAGCACGCTGACCCAGTGAACTCAGTGATGCTTCATGGTAAAGTGATGTGTGTGGTGCTGCTTCTCTTTGAAATTCTTAAGTTCGTTTCCATAGTGCTGGGTGCATGGAGTTGGTGCAGGGCCCCCGGCGCGCCCCGTATCTTACTGAGACCCCAGCCGCTTTCACAGACCCTTTCAATCCTTAGCTTTCTCCTCGAGGCCAGGAGGCTGCTTCCTCAGGAGCCCTCTTCATGGGCCAGCACTGGTGTTACGGGGTTGTTACATATGTATTGCACAAAAATCTGTGTATTTATAAAGTTATGTTACCGTATGAATATAAGAATGGTGAGTACTGAAATGGGGTAGTTCAATATGCAGTGTATACATTTTACCTTTTAAAAAGGCTTAACTGGGCCGGGGATTTAGCTCAGGCGTGTCTGTCTAACAAGTGCAAGGTTATGAGTTCGATCCTCTCCCCATACCAAAAAAAAGGCTTACTAATTCAAAAAGTAACTAAATACATCCAGAAAATAGGAGGTGGGCCCTGCAGGATTCACTGTGGGGGAAGAGACAGTCAGCTTTCTCATTACTTTTAAAAAGTTTCCTTGTATTTCCGAGGTTGGACTTTGATGTGTGCCAGCGGGAGGGCTGCTTTGGGGCAGTGTGATGGCTGGGTTCCTGACCTCCAGGTGGCTGAGGTCCTCAGGTTACATTTCCTGGCTCACCTGGCACGCTGAGCTGGAATCCCCTGACATGAGGAGCTCCTATCTGGATTTTAAACACCGAGAGCAGTGTTGGGGAACTGTGGGCTCCAGGGGTCCATCCTCACAGTTAGAATGGAATCAGGACTCTTTCCTATAACCTACAGGGCCCCATAACCTATTCCTCATCCTCACTTCTGGCCTCTTCTTCCAGGTTGTGCCACTCATATCCTTGGGTTTCCTTTTCCTAAAGCAAGCCACTTACCTTTCTACCCCAGGGGTGTCCTGGCTGTTCCCACTGCCTGGGTGCTTGTCCCTGCATTGCACGGATGATGTGCTCTATCCTTGGATCAAATGTCTCTTCCACCTGGAGCCTCTTGACCCCCAGTGTGCAGTTGCCTCACTGACCTCTGTTTCTTGCGCACTGCTCTGATGCACTGTATTCCTAGCACTGCTAACCAAAATCACTGCATTTTTCACGTTTCCCTTCTAGGATGTAAACTGTGTGGAGGTGGAGCCTTGCCAGGCTTGGCTCATCCTTTTTCTCCTGAAATAGGACTTGGTTCATAAGGCTTACTTAGGTGCTACTCCTTTTGATATGAGCCTACTCCTGCGCCCAATGAGCTCACGTAATCTTCAGACCCAGCTGAGGAAAGGACAGAAATTGATAGCCCAGAATAATGGCTATTTCCTCTCATCTTTCTTTTTCTTCCCTCTGTAGCTGAGTCCCACTCGGGGCGAGGCCAGTGCCAGAAAGGCATTCGCTACCACGGGAGAGGTCGCTTTGGGATCATGGAGAAGGTGTATTGCCATTATTTCGTGAAGTTGGTGGAAGGACCTCCACCTCCCCCAGAGCCACCAAAGACGGCCATGGAACACGCCAAGGAGTACGTTCAGCAGCTTCGAAGCCGGACTATCACCCACGCCCTGTGATGGGGTGCACCCTTCACAGTGTATATATTTTGCCATTTCTAAAAATAAAAATGTAAGACAAATATTTTTCATAATTCGTCATCAAATTATTGAAATGTGATGTATAACTGCACATTTTATTTGAATGTTTATAAGGCTTTGCCCATCTCTTTTGAAAGCCTCTGGGTGCATCTGTATGCATTTACAACTTGGAAGGAGAAGGTGGCTTTAAATATAGTGATGGACTGTAATTTGCAAGGCATTTTGGAAAACCTTTTGAAGGGACTGTTAACTGTCCTGCTGATGGCTGTTTGAGTGCTACAGTTGAATTCGAGTGTGATAGGTGAAGCAAGTTTGACCTGGTTTGGCTTGATTTTCTCTTGGAACAGAGGAGGGTATGGCGGAGGTGACCATGGCAGCATATTGTTCCATTGCAGTACTTTAGGGAATTCAGTGGTTTTGTTCTCCTTCCACTGTGGGCCCAGGCCAGTGCGTAAAAGTTTGTATTTTCCTTTACTGTTGTAGCAGAACCTTGAAATTACCGGACTTACTAGATACTTAAAGCTCCAAAAACACTTTAATTTTGAAAGTTTTCTTCTAGTTAAATAAGTTCTATTTTTGTTTCTTACCAGTAGTGATTTCTATTATTTGCATATATAATTTAGAGTTGATTTATTTTTCATGATGAATTCAGTTACAGAACTGAAGAGGACTCAAACCTCAGCCTTGCATTCTAAAATCAGGCACTAGGTGGCACTCACCGTCCTCTTGTTAGTGGACAGTTAGCTGTTCACCACCACCTGGCCCTTAGCTGGTGACTGGAGGCACTGTCCACAGCCCTGCTTTTCATGCCTCACACTTTTCCAGGTGAAGGAAGGATCTGGGTTGCTTCTTGTTAGTGCAGATTTCTGGGTCCCAGCCCAATGATTCTGATTCATTATATGTTGTGAGGGGCTGTTTGCAAAACTTGGTTTTAAGCAAGCATTTCCAGATTTTTCTGTTTTGTGGATCTACTGTGAGAACATGCTTCTAGTCAAAGAAAGACTAGAGCTTTAGTGCCTGTTTAAGATGGCATTTTTTTTTTGTCTTTTTTGTTTTTATCGGTACCAGGGATCAAACTCACGACTGCCTGCTTGCAAGGCAGGCGCTTATGCCACTGAGCTAAATCCCCAGCCCTTAAGATGGCATTTAAGAGCACCTTCCACTAAGGGGACAACATAAGCAGCAAGCTATTGCTCTCATCTCCCTGAGCTCCTCTGAATCCGCCAGTTTCTTGGTGGAGCTAGGGAGGTGCCCTCTGGTTTCCCAGCCCGCACACCAGCTGGCTCATGGGAAGGCATGGCTTGTCCTCTTGCTGAGTCTCCTCCAGATCCCCATGGTGGAGCCGTGGCAAAGCCTGGCTCACGGGAAGGCCTGGTCTGTTTTTGGATTTCTGTAGTTAACCTATTTCCCAGGTGTCTTAGACACTTTACTCAGGCAAAATGCCTGATAGCCATGGTTTCACAGAGGAGAATGATCTTGGCCTGTGTTTTCAGTCTGTGACCCCGAAAGACAGGGTGGAGAACTGGCCAGAGGAAGGCTGCTGTGTTGCAGCAGCCAGGAGCAGAGCAAGGGAGAGTGGGGAGGGAGCAGTGCTCTTCCGGGTCACACCCCACTGAGCCACCCCTTCTGATCCAGCCCCATCTCCCCACAGCACATCGAGTGGCCGAACCCACCAAAGGCTACACCCACTGTGGGAACAGGGAGCCTTCATTCCAGTCCTGTGCTGGCAAAACCACAGCATGCGTGCCGCAGCAGACACACAGGGCCCCCTTTCAGCATACAAGCTGGGTCACCCCAGCCTCGAGCCTTGGATAACAGTTGTTTTTCTAAACTAAAACCTCAGGTTCAGGTTTAATTGTGGTGTTGGTACCTTGCGATAAATGAGTGGGTTTGGGGTTGAAGTATGTATGGGCACTTGGTCTCCTTCCTGCCTTGTCACCATTGCACTTCTACTGTGCTCCCTGACCAAGAGAAGTCCCTGGGCAGGTCCCCTTCCTTGCTGGTCTCCTTTCATCTATAAACCAAGGCTCTGCTCTGAGGACAGTCTCCAGAATTGAGGAATTTTTTCAAAAGCACAAGGTCCTAGATGCTACTCAGACTAATATCCTCAGATTTCTCCTGCCCATTTTAATAAGTGTCTTGGTGATGTCCCTGGTGCAGGATCACTAGACTGGAAAGCTTCTGTGCTCTTTCAGTGTGGATGCTCCATGCTTCTCACAGTAACATTGAAGTTTTGACTTCCTCAGCTGTGATTAAAATAAGGCAGGTGGTGACACAAATGCCATGACTATAAATTACATAAATGAAGACACTGCCTAATTCAGGCCATGGGAGCTATTTTGAAAAAGGTTAGAGAAAAAACTAGCCTTGGGTTTTTTCTTTCCCTTTTTGTCCTGGGGGTTGCATGCTGAGCACGTCTTACCATTGAGCTACTCCCCTGGTTCTCCAGACTCTGGATTCTAATGGAGAAAATCTGCTTGTGACCTAGGCTCAAGCCTTCATTTGGAATTGCTTCTGATGCATATAAAGCATAGTCAGACTTAACACGTAGCACTCACTGTGTACTTGATACTCTTTTAAGTACGCAACATACATAGGCTTAGTGAATGAGTCTTTCCCATTGTGACTGTGGTACAGAGAGCTCTGATGTGTTCGCTTTTAGTCGCTGAAACAACACAACCTGAAGGAAGGTTTATTTCTGGCTCACAGTTTCAGAGGTTTCAGTGCATGGTGAATGCTTTTCGGCCAGGTTGACTGAGGCAAGGCAGAAATACCATGGTGGAAGGGGTGGAAAGCCATTCGTTTCATGGTACCGGAAAGCAGAGAGAGGGACAGAGCCACAGAGTAAAGGGCTGGGGACAAGACAGAGTCTCCAACACATGCGTTCATGACGTGAAGTTACCATGGCCGAAAGTTTGCTTTCTGACATAAAAGCGTGTGGATTCCACTTGAAGTTTAACTTCACGTTTGTAGCAAGTAATATTTATTGTTCTTTAATAGTCTCTGAATACTTGTATTTTCCTTCTTTCTTTTTCAAAGAATTTTAATGGGCTTCAGCATTACTGCTGGAGCGGGTCCCGTTGAGAAAGCATGCCAGTTTACTGCTTACAACTCTGTAAACGCTCATCTGGTGACTGTGCCCCAGTACTGCCCATCAGGTCAGGAAGTATGAACATTCTTAGCAACCGTGAGAACCCCTTCATAACCTGTCCCAGCCATGTCCCCTTGGTATTCCCCAGAAGTAACCATTATTCTGACCTCTAACATATCTATCATTTAAAGTCTTTTTTGTTAACAGCGTATTTTACTGGACAGTCAGTAAAAACACTTGCTCTGAGAAAAGAGGCAGTGAATGGGGTTAGAGCCACTGCCTAGTGGAGCTCACTGTGCTGTGGGAAGAGACTACAGATGCGCCACAGCAGGGCTGGTGGTGCTGCATGGTGGACCCTGACAGGACAGGACGGTGGGGACAGATACCAGAGGGTCTTGAAAAACAGTTCCTTAAAATATGCAATAAGTGGAAAGGATAAAACAAATATATGGTCAGTAAAGGGTTGATCTGCTGGAGCAGTTTCATTTGTACGGTGTGAACAGCAGGGTCGTTCATGCCTCCACAGACCTACGGGATGCAGTATCTGTGGGATGGCAGGACAGACGCTGTCTGCAGAGTTGACTCAGATGCAACAAGCAATCAGGAGAGATGCGTAAAATGTTCCACAGACACTGCATCATAAAATAGGTGTATTTCTTTGTAAGTGATGGAAAGTAATTAGATTTTCCCCAGGCATTTTATCTTAACTCAGAAGTTGTAATAGCAAATTTAGTTGTATAAGAGGGTCTCACATTTGTGGCTTGTTGTTGTTACTGTTTTGTTTTTTTAACATGGGGTTTCACTATGTAGCCAGGCTGGCCTTGAGCTCGTGGCCATCCTCCTTCCTGCCTTAACCTCCTGAGTGCTGGGGTTACAGACGTGCGCCACCATGCTTGGCTCAGATATGTGGTTTTAAAACAAAATATTTGTGGAGTAGATGAGCATCCAGACAGATTCCAAAGCAGGAGAAAGTGGCATAGGTAACATTAACATTTCTTTTTTCTTTCCTTTCCTTTTCTTTTTTTTTTTTTTTTTTTTGAGACAGAGTCACCCTACACAGTTCAGACTGGCCTTGAACTCACTATATGACTCAAACTAGCATGGAATATAGAGTGATTCTCCTGCTTCTGTCTCCCAGGTACTGGGATTACAGGTGTGTGCCACCATACCTGGCTTTCTTTTTTTGTTTGTTTGTTTTTTTTTTTGAGACAGGATCTCCCTGTGTAGCCCAGGCTGACCTCAAACTCTCCATGATCCTCCTGCTTCAGCCTCCTCATGTGGGTTACAGGCAACATTAACATTTCTTTAACTGGACATCTCTTTGTAAGGTGCTGGTGTAACTGTCCAGCCTCTGATTTCTGTTTGAGAGAGGGGCTTTCTCCTTAAACCAGCCTACTGTGAATTCTCTTACTATATAACTTATGTTATATCTGCCGTATATATCTGCCATATATCTGTTCAGTGTACAAATACACTGAAAGAGGAAATACTAGTACGTGAGTTGTACTTGTGCACTAAAATGAACGTTTAATGTCTTTCCATTAGAGATTCGTATGAGTCGTTGTTTTTACTTATGACCCAAAGAGAGTCTCAAAGACTGCATTTTGGAAAACAAGATTGGCAGGGGAAGGAAGGAAACGGTGCTGATGAAGCTCAAAGTGTTGTTTAATGTGCATGCGGAGAGGCTCGCTCTGAGTCTCCTGTGGAACGTCTCTAACCCTGAAGATCATCTGTAAATTCCAGTACGGGGTTTGGCCCTGAGGTAAGAAACCCTGAGCTTAGTGCTTTGTCTGTCTAGCCCGGTTCTTCATGTTCTCCGTGTCCAGGTTCTTTGCAGTGTGACTTTCCAGCTCCCCTTATAAAGCCGTGAAACTCGGACTGTATTGGCTTTGTGATTTCTTTACTGAACAGTGACCTTGGCCGGTTTGCAGCCTACGCCTCGGAGGCCTT